GAGTCAACAGACCGAACAAACACGTCGGCAGTGTGGAAGCATTTTGTCACGTCGGCTCCGTCTGAGGCTGACTTCTTACCCCGGACTCTCACAGGCGGCCTGGGCGCCGCGTTACGGCTGCCGTAGCTAATCGCTGCCATTCTGGTCGGCGCTTGTGATCACAGCAGAAGCGGCTCCGCTGCACGGAGAGCCGCGCAGCACCGAGCAGATGAGCCGGGCGGGAAGTCAGACGCAGAAACGAGAGAATCAGGTCGATATTCAAAATAAAATACTTTCTACAGACGATCGTATAAAAACAGTTTAACTACGCAGCCTTTTTAACCAGAAATCAAGGACAACTTACCAAATCAGCTAAATCTAAACAATTCAGCTAAATCAGGGAGGCAAAACGCTCTTATTCTGAAATGGAACTGGAGGAAACGGTTCACAGAGCGCTGTGATTGGTTGTAGAAGCAACAAGTCAACAACGTGGGGCAGACTAAACGCTCTGACAGGCAGGTTAGAGTCAGTTTGTCTCTTTGGTATGAAGACAGGCTGTGAAGACATTATTTATCAAACCGGGTCGGACCGGATGGATTTAGTGCGAAGAGGAAACACATGTGACAACGTACGATTTTCAAAATAAGGCGTCTGTACAGGATGGAAATAAGATTAACTGGATTATATTTACAGACGGTAGAAAACATATTACATGAGTCCATTAAAAGTAAATGGACTCTCGGGCCCCGGGCCCCCCACCATAGTCACTGAGGACAAAACACATGACGGTTTAATTCATACTGTGGTTAAAAAAAAATAAAAAATGTGTAAAACTTTGTTCGATATTCAGGAAAGTTCATTATTTTCAGCTAAGAATCTTCATTTCGCTGCGTCGCTAGAAAATCTAATGTAGAGAAGATGTGAGGTCTTACATGTGTACTGAAGGTAGGAGTGTGGCGGCGTGGCTGTTGACCCCGCTGTTTCCTCCTCAGGCCCGACGGCCACCAGAACAACCTGCGCTCGGCTGCCTACGAGGCTCTGATGGAGATCGTCAAGAACAGCGCCAAGGACTGTTACCCTGCGGTCCAGAAGACCACGCTGGTCATTATGGAGAGGCTGCAGCGGGTCCTACAGATGGAGGTGAGAGGGAGCGGGGACGGGGGGGGGGTGACGGGGGGGTTACTTTCTGAAAACCGTCGGCCTGTCTGGAAACGCGTGTTCACACCTGCCGCCTCTTTCTGTGTCTCAGTCTCACATCCAGAGCACCTCGGACAGGATCCAGTTCAACGACCTGCAGTCGCTGCTGTGTGCCACTCTACAGGGTGAGCCACCCGAGCCGTCAGTCACAACGCGCTCTTATTCTGAAAGGCCGGGCTTTAACGCTCTTACTGTGGCGGTTTTCCTACAGAACGTCCTGCGTAAGGTGCAGCATCAGGACGCCCTGCAGATCTCAGACGTGGTGATGGCGTCTCTGCTGAGGATGTTTCAGAGCACCGCCGGCTCCGGGGGGGTTCAGGAGGACGCCCTGATGGCCGTGTCCACGCTGGTGGAAGGTACGCACACACACGGCGCCCGGTACAAAGATAAGAGTGTGCGCGTCAGACTGAACTCTGCTCTGTGTTTCAGTTCTGGGCAGCGACTTCCAGAAGTACATGGATGCCTTCAAGCCTTTCCTGGGAATCGGACTGAAGAACTACGCTGAGTATCAGGTACGACAGTCTGGCCCCGCCCCCTCCAGGCGGCATCACGGGATGATAAGTACAGCTCTTAGAAATACTCTGTGGAGCTGTGATGATGATGCTGCTGCGGTTGCAGGTGTGCCTGGCGGCGGTGGGTCTGGTGTGCGACCTGTGCAGAGCTCTGATGTCCAACATCCTGCCTTACTGTGACGAGATCATGCAGCTGCTGCTGGAGAACCTCGGGGTGAGGAACCCTCTCTCTGTCTCTCTGATCCTCACTCTGAAGTTCCTCTGAGTCCAGCCTCAGAGCTTTAGTCTCCCTCTCTCGTCCTCAGAACGAGAACGTCCATCGGTCGGTGAAGCCTCAGATCCTCTCGGCGTTCGGTGACATCGCTCTGGCCATCGGAGGAGAGTTCAAGAAGTACCTGGACATCGTGCTGGACACCCTGCAGCAGGCGTCCCAGGCCCAGGTGGACAAGGTAAAGACCCAGCGCAGGTGTCCTGCAGAGGAGAACTTCCTCGCCGCGTTGGGTCCGTGATGATAAACATGCACCACGCTGACCGTGATGTACAACCAACCACGTTTATCTGAGACCTGGAGGAGGGCTGATCAGTCTGACCCACCGCTGACGACGGATCCCCGGCGTGACGAGCGGCCGTCTGAGTTTTCATCATTAAATAAATGAATTTGTGTAAGTTTGGATGTTTGAACAGCTGTGTGTGTCTCTGCAGACGGACTACGACATGGTGGACTACCTGAACGAGCTGAGGGAGGGCTGTCTGGAGGCCTACACCGGGATCATCCAGGGCCTGAAGGGGGACCAGGAGAACGTGCACCGTAAGAACGCACCGATCACGTGACCTCACGCCGTCAGGCGACGTCGGTTCCTCTTCCTGCGCTCAGTGAAGCAGGAGGATTTTACGACGTCGCAGAGAAACTCGGGTCTCTTTCACCCAGGAAGCTTCGGGCTGCGGCCCAACGGCACAGCTTCCTGGTTTTGCGGGACCCAACAAACAAAGTTGTGATTTTAAAAGTGACGACGTGAACGTTCTGATCCGTTTTATTTTCTCCTCCCGCAGCTGACGTGATGCTGGTCCAGCCTCGGGTGGAGTTCATCCTCTCCTTCATCCACCACATAGCTGAAGATGAAGATCACTCTGACGGAGTCGTGGCCAACGCCGCCGGACTCATTGGGTGAGGAGGGGGGAGGGGCTAGACCTGGATCTGGTCTGTGAAGAGGGATCGTGCTCTGCAGCGTGATGACAAACTCACGTCAACATTAAAAGCCTCAGTGGTGTTTGTTTGTTTGTTGTTGACGTCTGTTTCCTGTCTGTGTGCGCGTGGACAGCGACCTGTGCACGGCGTTCGGAAAAGACGTGATGAAGCTGGTGGAGGTTCGCCCGCTCATCAACGACCTGCTGACGGAGGGTCGACGCTCCAAAACCAACAAGACCAAGACGCTGGCCACCTGGGCCACCAAGGAGCTCCGCAAGCTCAAGAGCCAGGCCTGGTGAGACGCGCAGAGGGCGCCGCCGCGCAGACGCTGGAGGGGGAGGGGCACAGATTCCCGCCCTCCTGCTGACGCCGTTTCTTCTTGTTGTTTCAGATTGTTGCTGGTGGGGGAAGAGAGAGAGAGAGAGTTGAGTGATCGACATCAGTGAACAATGAGGACAAACTGCCCACTGGAACGAACTCTTCTGTTTGTCGGAGCGTCCGGTCGAAGCAGAAGTGAGATGACGTGTGAGCTGAGATGAGTGTCTGTGTGTGAGAGAGAGAGACGTGTGAGCGAGCGAGAGATGACATCACACCACCTTCAGTTCCAGCAGGCGACCCCCCCCACACTCCCCCCCCACCTCCTCCCTCTTCCTGGACGGCCTGTGGACTGGACTCTGACTCCCCCCCCCCCCACCCCCCCACCCCCGGATCAAAACAAACAAGAACTCACCTTCGAGCCCTCCCCCCTCTCCCACAATCCACCTCTCTCGCCGTAGCCGGGGCTCTCCTGACGTCACCGAGCCGCCGCCCCTCGAGCCGGGGGAGGGGGGAGGAGGGGACATTAAGACATGACGAGAAAATAAAAGACTTTTGTGGAATCAAAGATAAAACACCGAGCGGACTTTGTGGACTTCTGTGGAAAACTTTTTGTTCTTATTTTTCTTCTTCTTCTTCTTCCGAGCACTAAAACAGCGAAGGAGATCTGACGGACACGAGCGCCGCCACCCGCCCCCCCCCCTTGTTTCGACGCTCTTATCCCAAAACAACAGCACTAAATTCCTACAAAATAAAAGTAAAAAGCCGACGAGGAATCCTCGAGGGAGCGAGTGCCAAATGGAGAGTAGCTTAGCGGAAACAAAACGAGCTGTCTGAGCTGCCGGTGAAGCGTTCCCGTTTTTCTTTCCCCGCTGCACCTGGTTTGGGAAAAGGTCACTCACCGTCTTTGCTTGTCTAAAAACAAAAAAAAAAGAATTGAAGACGTTTGTATAAGGTTATATTTTTCCATTGCTCTGCTGAAAATAGTTAAAACCAATAAAATGATATGAAACATTCCCCACGCAGTTCTGGTGATTTGGCTCCTCCTGTCGTCTGTTGGACTGACGGGAAGTTTTGGACTCTGATGATCGGAGGCCGGACTTTGGCTCCTGAGTTCGGTGGCCGCCTCCCGCCGACGGTTTGTTTACGCCACAAAGAACCGTGATTCTTCTTTTTTTACTTCATGGCTTGTTTGGTAGCAGCAGCTCGGCTCTTCGCTGACGGGGAGATATCATTTTTACATTTTTTCTTTTTTTGGGACGTTGAGTTTGTTGTTGGTGTGAAAATCCCGACGGCGCTGCAGAAACCTGAGCGTGCTCAGTGCTGCCGGTCCGCCTCGTCTCCGGGTCTGAACGCTTCACTTTCAGTCGGTAACGATAATCAAACACAGAACGACTTCCTCAGATTTAAATAAATGAATAATAAAAAAACAGGAGTGGAAGTTTTCTGATTTGGGAAATAAAAGTTCACAAATAATTTTCTTTGAGCAGAAAGTGAAGTGTTTGCAGCCTCGGAGGGCTTTTATTTTGTAGAGGTGCGGCAGCCGTACTTCCTGTTGACATGATGATCCTGGCAACAAGATTATTACTGAATTGTGAATCATTTAAAGCCAATCTGCTTTTTATTTCATATTCAACTTTAGTGAACTAATAAAGTCTATATTGTACTGAACGCTCTGCTGCTTCTTCTGACCACAAACACAAAATGTTTCTCAGGTGTGTTCAGGTGCTGCTGCTCCTCCGGACTGGACTGATCCAGACTCGGTCCAAACACCTGCACGTGTGAAGTACCGCTGCTGTTACACCACATCCTGCAGGGGGCGCTGCTGCTCCTCAGTTCTGTCGGCCTTTAAACTGAGTTAGTGTCTTGAACAACAACAGGAACTCTTTCTGGGCCTCAGGACGCCGTCCCCCTGGTAGATCTGTTCTGCTGTTATTGGCTCTTTAAAGAATGAGAAACATTACGATTAACAGGTTTTATTTACCTGCTGCAGCTGGAAAAGTGAACAAAAGTGCAGAAACTAAATGTTGTCAGACACTTGTCCCCTTTTAAAGATGAATATCATTAAAAACCACCTGGACTAATTAAGATCCTGCAGCAGCCTTCACACGGGTCAGTTTACACTGAGCGACCCGGCTCAGATGTTCCTGTTTCACATTCATTCTTTTTAGAAATGGGAAAAACAAATTATGATTTAGGGAAACTAAATTATTGAACTGCAAACAGAAGGTTCAGAAATCACTTCAGACTGAGACACAGATTATTTTACATTTAGTCACCCGACAGACGCTTTAATCCAGAGAGACTAACACCTGAGGATCAACACGTACTGAGAGCTGTGAGCTCGTGCAGCATCAGCGGGGTAAACACCTGGAGGAAGAGTTCACGATTAGTGCAACTAATACAAGAGAACTGAGGAGACAGAAGAGCGCAGGAAGTGAGGTTAGAGGTGTTATCAGAGTTCTCTGCAGATATCCTGTTCACATGTTGCTGATCTGATAACAACTTAAAGCTCAGCAACGTTACCTTGATTTGTTTTCTTTTTATTGGTTCAAACCAAAATAACAAATGTAAAATATTACAAAGAATTTAAGAAAGTACAACAAATACTTTTGAAAGAATACATGTTTTTAATAGAAATGTAATAAAATACAAAACCTTGTTTCTGTTGAAACATTGTGTTTGTCGGCGCTGTCCTAACGGATCACGTGAGCAGGTGAAGAGTTTAAAGAACCAGACTACCTTTGATTTTATTGATCTTTTTTGTTCCTGAATCTGCCAGATGAGGAACTTCTGATCATAAACGGATCAATAAAGGCAGATTTAGGGGACAAGCGGTCCTGTGACGGGGAGAGCATCAGCCAATCAGAGCAGAGGATCGATCAGCCTGGTTATTAATGCCGTAAAAAACGTATCGAAAATATAAAAATACATTTTAATAAATTAATTCTGTTTTTGATCGAGAAGTCATTCAGTCCCCAGCAGCTGATCTCAGAGCAGCGTCTCTCCGCGCGGGGTCGAACCTGCTCACAGCGATGAGTTCCGTACCGGAAGTGACGTTTTGATCGAGTTCAGTTGACCCGAGGACACCCGAAGAAGAAACTGACGTATCTTAACCAGAATGTATTTATTTATTTATATTTGTCATTTTCTCAGCTGAAGGTTTCACAGTTCAATAAGAAGATAAATTCAAAGCTTTACAAAGAAAAACACGAAACATTAATGAAATAATAAAAAGTCACAAATTCAAGAATTTGATCAAATAAAAAATAAAATAAAATATTTGTTTGAGAAATTGCTCAGCAGATTAATCGATATTTGTTGATGTAAACTGTTATAATAAGATTATTGATTAGAGCGGCTACACGTGCACGCGCAGAGAGAGAGAGAGGGGGGCGGTAGAGAGACCTCCGGTAGTGACGGAGGCTCTCCGTTACCGGGAAGTGTCGGATGGAGCTTTCGGTTTCGGGGTCCGTCGTTCAAAGAGAGCCGAGCCTCCGTTTATCAATCAGCTGATCGATCACTGATGCCTCCGCGCGCCGCCTCCCGGGAGGATGAGTCGGTAGGAGGCTAACGGCGAGCTAACGTTACCGGCCCGGTCTCTCATGTCTTTTCGTGTTTTCACGTCGTTAGCAGCGTTCAGCGGAGCCCTTACCGAACCGGTCCGGACCTCCAGCGGCTGTCGGTCGGTGCCCGGTTACCGGGAGGATGCAGCAGCTAGCCGCCGTTAGCTCCGCTGTTTATTTATATAGCCGTTATGTAAGAGCCCGATTAGCAGCGCGAGCTAACGTTAGCCTGCCGTGATGAATGACGCGCAACAAGAAATGTCTCCGGACTTCGTCCTGATGCGGCTCGTGTCCGCGGCGGAGTACGACCGGCTGGACGAGCCCGACGACCTGAGGTCCGGGAGCGGCGGGTTCGGGCCCGTGAAATCGGTGCTGGGTCACCGGAGCGGCGGGTTCGATGTGGACCCCGGCAGCCCCGCAGGAGGCCTCGGCTCGGCCTCCCCGCACTACAGCTCCCCGCTGCCCGGGAAAGGAGAGCTGGACGGCGGGCTGCTGCTGACGCAGGCCCCGCCGGGCTCCGAGGCGCCGCTGTCCCCGCCGCCGCCGGAGGACTTTGCCGTAGCGGCCCAGCGCTTTGTGGACTACCCGGGGCCGCACGGCTCGGGCGGGCACGGTTCGAGGGCGCAGCTGATGGTGTTTCAGAACCTGCTCCGATCCGGGGACCGGATCCTGGAGTGCGGACTGGAGCAGCCGCCCGGCTTCCTCCAGGAGGAAACGGAGAGACAGAGACAGCAGCTGGACTCTGGACCAGGTACCGGTCCCGGTAGCACAACAGCCGGCCCTGGGGGCGGGAAGGACCAGAACTCTAACTGCATCCCCTCTGCAGAGGAGAACCTGCAGCCGCAGCAGTCGCAGCTCCTCCAGTGGCATCCGGTCCTCACGCTGTCCAGGGGGTCTGACGGATCCCAAACTCCCCAGCAGGGTGTCCCGGTTCTGGACTCTGAGTCCGGGTCAGTCCTGTGCCACCGACATCGCCTTCTGACAGACCGACTGGCTAAATGGCCCCCCGGGCCTGCTGGACCAAGCCCTGCGTCTGGGCCTGCTGGAACCCAGGAAGAACTGCTCCGCCGGAGGGGAGGACCCGGTTCTGGCTCTGGCCCGGAGGCTGGGTCAGCTGGGTGAGGGGAGGGAGGGAGGAGGCGGTGAGATGGTGCTCCCCCTCCCTCGCTGCTCTTGTCACAGCGTTCTGTCCTCGGGGACGGGGGGGCCCGGCGAGGACCCGAGTGAGACCAGCGATGCCCTGCTGGTTCTGGAAGGTCTGGGTTCTGAAGAGGTGGGAAGGTTGGGGGAGGCAGGGGACCAGGATGTAGTGGACATGGGGGACGCTGAGAAAGGGGAGAGGGTGGGGGGAGTCAGTGGGGGGGCGGGAGCGGTGTTCTCCAGCGGGACTCTGAGTGGTCTGATGCGGCAGGTCCACAGACTGGCGGAGGAGGCCGGGGTCTGCACCGACCAGAACTGCCGGTCCTCACTGGCGGTCCTCGGTGCCGCGGTGTCCCTCCCCCCCGTCGCCAGCGGCACCAGCCCCTGCCCGTACCCCCCGGCCCCTCAGGCTGCAGCGACCCCTTGCAGTCTCCAGCTGTCCCCCGACCCTCTCCCGTCCTCCACCCCCGACCCGAGTCCCCGTCCCCCGCACCAGCACCAGTCCCGCTCCCAGCCCCAGAGCCGGGCCACCACCCCCAAACTTGGCGTGGCCTCGGGAGGAGCCGGCCGGTGCGCCTCCCCCTTGGTGGTCCTCGAGGGGGAGGCGGGAGGGGGGAGGGAGGGGGGAGAAGACGCCGCGAGGGAAGTCGAGGAAGGCCGGGTCCCTGAAGGTCCGGCTCAGCAAGCTGTTCAGAACCAAGAGTTCCAGCGGGGGGTCGGGGGGGCTGCTGGACAAGAGGCCGTCCCTGGCGTCGTCCACCTCGTCCGGGGGGAGTCTGCTGGACGTGTGGGGGTCCACCTGCAGCAACACGGACCAGGACAGCAGCAGGTAGGAGCCCCTCATCGATTATTAACATTCTGTTGATCGATTGGATGCTGAGATAAATCCAGCTCTAACAACAACAGGGGGTGGACAAAATAACAGGAACACCTTAAAGGACCGGTTCACTGGTTCTGGTTGTGAATGTTCCCTCATTGAAGTCGCTCAGCTGACCGGACCACGTTGCTGCAGAACAATGATTTAAATGTTCAGCTGTTTTTGTTTGAGTTGATTCATTTTAATGTAAAAGTTTTAACCTTTTTATTTATTCTTAAAGTTGTATTATTTTAATAACGTTAGCTTTACTCATGCGGCAGAAACTTTTATCGAAAGAGACGTACATTTGATTGTAGGTCAGAATCAGGGAACATTCTTGATGCGAAGCCTGTAGGTCATAACATAGGGAACAATCTCGAAGCGGCGCCTATAGGTCATAACTTAGGGAATCTTGTCTATGCAGTGCCTGTAGGTCAGAACTTGGGGAACACTGACATTATTTCTTCATGACTCATCAGGTGAGTTGTTCCTGAAGCGGCGGATGTGAGCAGGTGTGAGGCCTGAAGCCTGTCAGAGTTTCACCGTGTTAAGGTGTCAGTTAGAGGCGCTGTGATTGGCTCAGGTGCAGCAGGTGTCAGGTGACGCTGCCTCTCAGGTAACGTCTGTGATCCTGTGTTTGTCTCCAGGCTGCAGGTGTCCAGACCTCACAGTGCCTTCTCTCCGGTGCCCTTCACTCCTGCTTTCACCGGTAAGAGCTCGTGTGTGTGTGTGTGTGTGTGTGTGTGTGTTTGTGTGTGAGACACCAGGTGAGGTATTTTTACCTGACTTTGTCTCTCAGGTGTTTTAAGGAACACAGCAGCTTCAGTGCTGCTGAGATATCAGAGTTAAATCCACCTGAAAGCACGTTTGGATGGAAACACCTGTAGTAGTGCTGTAGTAGTACAGTGGCAGTGCTGTAGTAGTGCTGTAGTAGTACAGTGGTAGTGCAGTAGTAGTACAGTGGTAGTCCTGTAGTAGTACAGTGGTAGTCCTGTAGTAGTACAGTGGTAGTGCTGTGGTAGTGCTGTAGTAGTGCAGTAGTAGTACAGTGGTAGTCCTGTAGTAGTACAGTGGTAGTCCTGTAGTAGTACAGTAGTAGTGCTGTGGTAGTACAGTAGTAGTGCTGTAGTAGTACAGTGGTAGTACAGTGGTAGTGGTGTAGTAGTACAGTGGTAGTCCTGTAGTAGTACAGTGGTAGTCCTGTAGTAGTACAGTGGTAGTGCTGTAGAAATACAGTGGTAGTGCTGTAGTAGTGCTGTAGTAGTACAGTGGTAGTGCTGTAGAAATACAGTGGTAGTGCTGTAGTAGTGCTGTAGTAGTACAGTGGTAGTGGTGTAGTAGTACAGTGGTAGTGGTGTAGTAGTACAGTGGTAGTGGTGTAGTAGTACAGTGGTAGTGGTGTAGTAGTACAGTGGTAGTCCTGTAGTAGTACAGTGGTAGTGCTGTAGTAGTACAGTGGTAGTGCTGTAGTAGTACAGTGGTAGTGCTGTAGTAGTCCTGTAGTAGTACAGTGGTAGTCCTGTAGTAGCACAGTAGTAGTACAGTGGTAGTGCTGTAGAAGTACAGTGGTAGTGCTGTAGTAGTACAGTAGTAGTACATCAGTAGTGCTGTAGTAGTGCTGTAGTAGTACAGTAGTAGTACAATAGTAGTGCTGTAGAAGTACAGTGGTAGTGCTGTGGTAGTGCTGTAGTAGTGCTGTAGTAGTAAAGTGGTAGTGCTGTAGTAGTACAGTGGTAGTACAGTAGTAGTGCAGTAGTAGTACAGTAGTAGTACAGTGGTAGTGCTGTAGTAGTACAGTGGTAGTGCTGTAGTAGTACAGTAGTAGTGCTGTAGTAGTGCTGTAGTAGTACAGTAGTAGTACAGTGGTAGTACAGTAGTAGTACAGTGGTAGTGCTGTAGTAGTACAGTGGTAGTGCTGTAGTAGTGCTGTAGTAGTAAAGTGGTAGTGCTGTAGTAGTACAGTGGTAGTACAGTAGTAGTGCAGTAGTAGTACAGTAGTAGTACAGTGGTAGTGCTGTAGTAGTACAGTGGTAGTGCTGTAGTAGTACAGTAGTAGTGCTGTAGTAGTGCTGTAGTAGTACAGTAGTAGTACAGTGGTAGTACAGTAGTAGTACAGTGGTAGTGCTGTAGTAGTACAGTGGTAGTGCTGTAGTAGTGCTGTAGTAGTAAAGTGGTAGTGCTGTAGAAATACAGTGGTAGTGCTGTAGTAGTGCTGTAGTAGTAAAGTGGTAGTGCTGTAGAAGTACAGTGGTAGTGCTGTAGAAGTACAGTGGTAGTGCTGTAGAAATACAGTGGTAGTGCTGTAGAAATACAGTGGTAGTGCTGTAGTAGTACAGTGGTAGTGCTGTAGAAATACAGTGGTAGTGCTGTAGTAGTGCTGTAGTAGTACAGTGGTAGTGCTGTAGAAGTACAGTGGTAGTGCTGTAGTAGTACAGTGGTAGTGCTGTAGAAATACAGTAGTAGTGCTGTAGTAGTACAGTGGTAGTGCTGTAGTAGTCCTGTAGTAGTAGTACAGTGGTAGTCCTGTAGTAGTAGTACAGTGGTAGTCCTGTAGTAGTAGTACAGTGGTAGTCCTGTAGTAGTAGTACAGTGGTAGTCCTGTAGTAGTACAGTGGTAGTGCTGTGGTAGTGCTGTAGTAGTACAGTGGTAGTGCTTTAGTAGTACAGTACTAGTGCTGTAGTAGTACAGTGGTAGTGCTGTGGTAGTGCTGTGGTAGTACAGTGGTAGTACAGTGGTATTGCTGTGGTAGTGCTGTAGTAGCACAGTAGTAGTACATCAGTAGTGCTGTAGTAGTACAGTAGTAGTACAGTAGTAGTGCTGTAGTAGTACAGTGGTAGTGCTGTAGAAGTACAGTGGTAGTGCTGTAGTAGTTCAGTAGTGCTGTAGTAGTGCTGTAGTAGTACAGTAGTAGTACAGTAGTAGTGCTGTAGTAGTGCTGTAGTAGTAAAGTGGTAGTGCTGTAGTAGTACAGTGGTAGTGCTGTAGTAGTGCTGTAGTAGTAAAGTGGTAGTGCTGTAGTAGTACAGTGGTAGTGCTGTAGAAGTACAGTGGTAGTGCTGTAGTAGTACAGTGGTAGTGCTGTAGAAATACAGTGGTAGTGCTGTAGTAGTGCTGTAGTAGTACAGTGGTAGTGCTGTAGAAATACAGTAGTAGTGCTGTAGTAGTGCTGTAGTAGTACAGTGGTAGTGCTGTAGTAGTCCTGTAGTAGTAGTACAGTGGTAGTCCTGTAGTAGTAGTACAGTGGTAGTCCTGTAGTAGTAGTACAGTGGTAGTCCTGTAGTAGTACAGTGGTAGTGCTGTGGTAGTGTTGTGGTAGTACAGTGGTAGTACAGTGGTAGTACAGTGGTATTGCTGTGGTAGTGCTGTAGTAGTACAGTAGTAGTACAGTAGTAGTGCTGTAGTAGTACAGTGGTAGTGCTGTAGAAGTACAGTGGTAGTGCTGTAGTAGTGCTGTAGTAGTAAAGTGGTAGTGCTGTAGTAGTACAGTGGTAGTGCTGTAGAAGTACAGTGGTAGTGCTGTAGTAGTGCTGTAGTAGTACAGTGGTAGTGCTGTAGTAGTACAGTGGTAGTACAGTAGTAGTGCTGTAGTAATACAGTGGTAGTGCTGTAGAAGTACAGTGGTAGTGCTGTAGAAGTACAGTGGTAGTGCTGTAGTAGTACAGTGGTAGTACAGTAGTAGTGCAGTAGTAGTACAGTAGTAGTGCTGTGGTAGTGCTGTGGTAGTGCTGTAGTAGTACAGTAGTAGTGCAGTAGTAGTACAGTAGTGCAGTAGTAGTACAGTAGTAGTGCAGTAGTAGTACAGTGGTAGTGCTGTAGTAGTACAGTGGTAGTACAGTGGTAGTGCTGTGGTAGTGCTGTAGTAGTACAGTGGTAGTGCTGTAGTAGTGCTGTAGTAGTACAGTGGTAGTGCTGTAGTAGTACAGTAGTAGTACATCAGTAGTGCTGTAGTAGTACAGTAGTAGTAAAGTGGTAGTGCTGTAGTAGTACAGTGGTAGTGCTGTAGAAGTACAGTGGTAGTACAGTAGTAGTGCAGTAGTAGTACAGTGGTAGTCCTGTAGTAGTACAGTGGTAGTACAGTGGTAGTGCTGTAGTAGTACAGTGGTAGTGCTGTAGTAGTGCTGTAGTAGTACAGTAGTAGTACAGTGGTAGTGCTGTAGTAGTAAAGTGGTAGTGCTGTAGTAGTACAGTGGTAGTGCTGTGGTAGTACAGTGGTATTGCTGTCGTAGTGCTGTAGTAGCACAGTAGTAGTACAGTGGTAGTGCTGTAGAAGTACAGTGGTAGTGCTGTAGTAGTACAGTAGTAGTACATCAGTAGTGCTGTAGTAGTGCTGTAGTAGTACAGTAGTAGTACAGTGGTAGTGCTGTAGAAGTACAGTGGTAGTGCTGTAGTAGTGCTGTAGTAGTAAAGTGGTAGTGCTGTAGTAGTAAAGTGGTAGTGCTGTAGTAGTACAGTGGTAGTGCTGTAGTAGTAAAGTGGTAGTGCTGTAGTAGTACAGTGGTAGTACTGTAGTAGTACTGTAGTAGTACAGTGGTAGTGCTGTAGTAGTACAGTGGTAGTACAGTAGTAGTACAGTGGTAGTGCTGTAGTAGTGCTGTAGTAGTACAGTGGTAGTGCTGTAGTAGTACAGTGGTAGTGCTGTAGTAGTACAGTGGTAGTACAGTGGTAGTACAGTGGTAGTACAGTGGTAGTACAGTGGTAGTGCTGTAGTAGTACAGTGGTAGTGCTGTAGTAGTACAGTGGTAGTGCTGTAGTAGTACAGTGGTAGTACAGTGGTAGTGCTGTAGTAGTACAGTGGTAGTGCTGTAGTAGTACAGTGGTAGTGCTGTAGTAGTGCTGTAGTAGTACAGTGGTAGTACTGTAGTAGTACAGTGGTAGTGCTGTAGTAGTGCTGTAGTAGTGCTGTAGTAGTACTGTAGTAGTACAGTGGTAGTACTGTAGTAGTACAGTGGTAGTGCTGTAGTAGTACAGTGGTAGTACAGTGGTAGTGCTGTAGTAGTACAGTGGTTTTACAGTGGTAGTACAGTAGTAGTACAGTGGTAGTACAGTAGTAGTACAGTGGTAGTACTGTAGTAGTGCTGTAGTAGTACAGTGGTAGTGCTGTAGTAGTACAGTGGTAGTACAGTAGTAGTACAGTAGTAGTGCTGTAGTAGTACAGTAGTAGTGCTGTAGTAGTACAGTGGTAGTGCTGTAGTAGTACAGTGGTAGTACAGTGGTAGTGCTGTAGTAGAACAGTAGTAGTACAGTAGTAGTACAGTGGTAGTACAGTAGTAGTACAGTGGTAGTACAGTAGTAGTACAGTGGTAGTGCTGTAGTAGTGCTGTAGTAGAACAGTGGTAGTGCTGTAGTAGTACAGTGGTAGTACAGTAGTAGTACAGTGGTAGTGCTGTAGTAGTACAGTAGTAGTACAGTAGTAGTGCTGTAGTAGTACAGTAGTAGTGCTGTAGTAGTACAGTGGTAGTACAGTAGTAGTACAGTGGTAGTGCTGTAGTAGTACAGTGGTAGTGCTGTAGTAGTGCTGTAGTAGTACAGTGGTAGTACAGTAGTAGTACAGTGGTAGTGCTGTAGTAGTGCTGTAGTACAGTAGTAGTACAGTAGTAGTACAGTGGTAGTGCTGTAGTACAGTGGTAGTGCTGTAGTAGTACAGTGGTAGTACAGTGGTAGTACAGTAGTAGTGCTGTAGTAGAACAGTGGTAGTGCTGTAGTAGTACAGTGGTAGTACAGTAGTAGTACAGTAGTAGTGCTGTAGTAGAACAGTGGTAGTGCTGTAGTAGTACAGTAGTAGTACAGTAGTAGTACAGTGGTAGTACAGTAGTAGTACAGTGGTAGTGCTGTAGTAGTGCTGTAGTAGAACAGTGGTAGTGCTGTAGTAGTACAGTGGTAGTACAGTAGTAGTACAGTGGTAGTGCTGTAGTAGTACAGTAGTAGTACAGTAGTAGTGCTGTAGTAGTACAGTGGTAGTACAGTAGTAGTGCTGTAGTACAGTGTGTGTTACTGCTGAGCTCCTTCCTCATTTTACAGTTTTTTATCTGTTGTCATGGCGACCACGGTTAAACAGCAGAAATAGACCAATCACATGACAGAGGCGTGGCGACCGGGAACACTGCCGTTTCTTCTTCCTCTGTATTTCTTCTTCTTGTGCGTCTGAACACTAACACTTCTTCTTCTCTGCTAACACCTGCCTGTGTGTGTCCAGGTGAGACGGTGTCTCTGGTTGATGTGGATATTTCTCGGAGGGGGGGGAACTCTATTCACCCCCCGACCCCTCCCCCCCCGCCCAGACGGAGCCTCAGCCTGCTCGGTACTTTTCTCCTTCTTCTTCTTCTTTGTGTTGTCACTTCCTGTCTCCTGACCCCGCCCCCTGCAGGTGTGTCACTCAGGTGAAAGCTTCACGTCTTTCTGTCTCTTCTTGGTCTCCAGATGATTTCGGGGTTCCTCCTCAGCAGCAGGGTCCCTTCATGGAGCGCAGCGTGGGGGCCTCCATGCAGTCCCTGCCCCCCCGGCCGCTGGTCCTGCCCACCTCCCTCAGCACCATCCAGCACAGCCTGAGCCTCAACGGTGACACTGAGACACACACACTGAGACACACACACACACACTGAGACACACACACACACTGAGACACACACACTGAGACACACACACACACTGAGACACACACACACACACTGAGACACACACATACACACTGAGACACACACACACACACTGAGACACACACATACACACTGAGACACACACACACACTGACACACACACACTGAGACACACACATACACACTGAGACACACACACACACTGACACACACACACTGAGACACACACACACACTGACACACACACACTGAGACACACACACACACTGAGACACACACACTGAGACACACACACACACTGAGACACACACACACTGAGACACACACACACACACTGAGACACACACACACTGAGACACACACACTGAGACACACACACACTGACACACACACACTGACACACACACACTGAGACACACACACTGAGACACACACACACACTGAGACACACACACTGAGACACACACACACTGACACACACACTGAGACACACACACACACTGAGACACACACATACACACTGAGACACACACACACACTGAGACACACACACTGACACACACACACTGAGACACACACACACACTGAGACACACACACACTGAGACACACACACACACACTGAGACACACACACACTGAGACACACACACTGACACACACACACACTGAGACACACACACTGAGACACACACACACACTGAGACACACACACACACTGAGACACACACATACACACTGAGACACACACACACACACACACACTGAGACACACACACACTGAGACACACACATACACACTGAGACACACACATACACTGACACACACACACTGAGACACACACACTGACACACACACACACTGAGACACACACACTGACACACACACACACTGAGACACACACTGAGACACACACACACACACACACACACTGAGACACACTGAGACACACTGACACACACACACTGAGACACACACACACACACACACACACTGAGACACACTGAGACACACTGAGACACACACTGAGACACACACACACACACACACACACACTGAGACACACACACTGAGACACACACACACACACACACACAGAGACACACACACACAGAGACACACACACACACACACACACTGAGACACACACACACACTGAGACACACTGAGACACACACACACACCCACTGAGACACACACACACTGACACACACACTGAGACACACACACACACAGAGACACACACACTGAGACACACACACACTGAGACACACACACACTGACACACACACTGAGACACACACACACACACACAGAGACACACACACACTGAGACACACACACACACACACAGAGACACACACACACTGAGACACACACACACTGAGACACACACACAGACACACACACTGAGACACACACACACACACACAGAGACACACACACACTGAGACACACACACACACACACAGAGACACACACACACTGAGACACACACACACTGACACACACACACTGAGACACACACACTGACACACACACACACTGAGACACACACACTGAGACACACACACACTGACAAACACACTGAGACACACACACACACACTGAGACACACACACTGAGACACACACACTGAGACACACACACACACACACACACACACACACACACACACACACTGAGACACACACACACACACACACACTGAGACACACACACACACACACACACTGAGACACACACACACACACACACTGAGACACACACACACACACACTGACACACACACTGAGACACACACACACTGACACACACACTGAGACACACACACACTGACACACACAAGTTCCAGGTTCCAGGTTCCAGGTTTCAGGTGTGGCCCTGCAGGTAAGTGTCGGACTAACCGCCGCTTCCTGTGTGTTCAGACACCTTCTTGCGAGGATTACCAAGGCCGGTCCCTCTGCGTCCCGACGGGCAGCACCCCCCGCCCCGACTTGTCCCCCGCTGCCCCCTTGGGCGACCCGACGCCGGCAGCTTCGCCACCAGCCTCAGAGAGCTGGAGAAGGTACAGGCCCCGGGGCCACAGACACTTTGGATGAACTCGATTTATTGCTGAGGGTGCAGAGCTCACCTGTGTGTGTGTGTGTGTTTCAGTGTGGTTGGTACTGGGGCCCGATGAACTGGGAGGATGCTGAGATGAAACTGAAGGGGAAACCGGACGGGTCGTTTCTGGTCCGGGACAGTTCTGACCCGCGGTACATTCTGAGTCTGAGCTTCAGGTCGCAGGGGGTCACACACCACACACGCATGGAGCACTACAGAGGTAACACACGCATCACTTCCTGTGTCCCATACAGTATCTCTCAAAAGTGAGTCCACCCCTCACATTGTTGTGAATATCTGATTCTATCTTTTCATGTTTCAACACTGAAGAAATGACACTTTGCTACAGTGTAAAGTAGTGAGCGTGCAGCTTGTATAACAGTGTAAAGTAGTGAGCGTGCAGCTTGTATAACAGTGTAAAGTAGTGAGCGTACAGCTTGTATAACAGTGTAAAGTAGTGAACGTGCAGCTTGTATAACAGTGTAAAGTAGTGAGCGTACAGCTTGTATAACGGTGTAAAGTAGTGAGCGTGCAGCTTGTATAACGGTGTAAAGTAGTGAGCGTGCAGCTTGTATAACAGTGTAAAGTAGTGAGCGTACAGCTTGTATAACGGTGTAAAGTAGTGAGCGTGCAGCTTGTATAACGGTGTAAAGTAGTGAGCGTGCAGCTTGTATAACGGTGTAAAGTAGTGAGCGTGCAGCTTGTATAACGGTGTAAAGTAGTGAGCGTGCAGCTTGTATAACGGTGTAAAGTAGTGAGCGTGCAGCTTGTATAACAGTGTAAAGTAGTGAGCGTGCAGCTTGTATAACAGTGTATAGTAGTGAGCGTGCAGCTTGTATAACAGTGTATAGTAGTGAGCGTGCAGCTTGTATAACAGTGTATAGTAGTGAGCGCGCAGCTTGTATAACAGTGTATAGTAGTGAGCGTGCAGCTTGTATAACAGTGTAAAGTAGTGAGCGCGCAGCTTGTATAACAGTGTAACGTAGTGAGCGTGCAGCTTGTATAACAGCGTAAAGTAGTGAGCGTGCAGCTTGTATAACAGCGTAAAGTAGTGAGCGTGCAGCTTGTATAACAGCGTAAAGTAGTGAGCGTGCAGCTTGTATAACAGTGTAAAGTAGTGAGCGTGCAGCTTGTATAACAGTGTAAAGTAGTGAGCGTGCAGCTTGTATAACAGTGTATAGTAGTGAGCGCGCAGCTTGTATAACAGTGCAGCTTGTATAACAGTGTAAAGTAGTGAGCGCGCAGCTTGTATAACAGTGCAGCTTGTATAACAGTGTAAAGTAGTGAGCGTGCAGCTTGTATAACAGTGTAAAGTAGTGAGCGTACAGCTTGTATAACAGTGTAAAGTAGTGAGAGTACAGCTTGTATAACAGTGTAAAGTAGTGAGCGTGCAGCTTGTATAACAGTGCAGCTTGTATAACAGTGTAAAGTAGTGAGCGTACAGCTTGTATAACAGTGTAAAGTAGTGAGAGTACAGCTTGTATAACAGTGTAAAGTAGTGAGCGTGCAGCTTGTATAACAGTGCAGCTTGTATAACAGTGTAAAGTAGTGAGCGTGCAGCTTGTATAACAGCTTGTGAACACTGAAAGCTGTTTGACATGTTAACCGTCTCCTCTGTCTCCTCCTGCAGGTACGTTCAGCCTCTGGTGTCACCCTAAGTTTGAGGATCGCTGTCACTCTGTGGTGGAGTTCATTGAACGAGCTATCATGCACTCCAAGAACGGGAAGTTCCTCTACTTCCTGCGCTCCAGAGTCCCCGGTAACCAACCATGTCTACCCCTGTCTGGCTCCACCTGTCTGTCTGCCTCCACCTGTTTTTACCTGTGTGTGCCTGAAAGCTCAGAACAAATCATTTAAAAATCAAACCGAACTGAAAATCATTTGATCAATGTTTTTATTAATTAAATGTAAAACTAAAAATAGGTAAATGTTCTAAAAGACGAGAACCGTCCTCGTGGAAGTCGGGTTTCTCAGAAACTCGTCTGTTTGGTTTTATTCTGACAAAGGTTCACTTCCTCCTTCTTCTGTTCTTGTGAGGAAGCACAAGTTTAAAGTTTTTTTTCTGCTTTCTACCTGCGTTCATGTGTGGTCCAGGTCTGCCCCCGACCCCTGTCCAGCTCCTGTACCCGGTCTCCAGGTTCAGCAGCGTTAAATCTCTGCAGCATCTCTGTCGCTTCTGCATCAGACAGCTGGTCCGAATAGACCACATCCAGGAGCTGCCGCTGCCCACGTGAGTACACGCCGGTGCACGTAGACTCATGTTGGATGATGAAACATTATCAGGACATTAGTGACAGCAGTGAGTTCACTGCCAGAGTTTGGTCCAATCAGTCGGTAACATTTGGGCTAGAAGAGCTGCACAGTTATTATTTTAGCGGAGGGCCAAAGAATCAAGAATATTTTGTTACTGGTTTAAAAGAGAAAAATAACACTACTTTATTAATCATGCACAGTGCAGCCTAATGATTCATTCACACAACAAAGAATCAGTTTGTCCTTTTTCAGAGATTTTAATATACATTTTTCATTTGGTTTCGCAGCACCTTTAGCACCATCACAGACATTTTGTGATTTCATTTTCCCATTAAAGTGCTGTTTGCTTCTGCATGTTTAAAAACACAAAGACGGGGAGGGGCTTGTTGCAGATAGTGATTGGTGTTTACTGTAGCCAATAGCTTGACGGTGCGTTACACCCCCCCCCACCCCGTCATGTAGACTGTGGACTGGTTCAGCTCTCAGTGCTTAGACACTGCGACAGCCTCCGAAACCCACAGAGGCCAATTTTGACGACAGGGAATACAAGACCGCGGTGGTTTTTTGCACCCCGGGGCTGACTCGTCTAATAAAGGACAGCTAGCATCGCGGCTAACCGAGCTAACTAGCTACAGATACAGTTAGCGGTTTAGCAAAAAGTAAATGTATCTGTCCGTCAACAAAACCTGTAAATCACCGCAGCACTATATTCCCTGTTGGTCGGTCCCATTCATGTATACTGGGAGGCTGCTGAGCGCAGGTTTGTTGCACGCACACTCGCTCCCGTTCTGGGGCGCCGCTCGCTGACATTATCCTGGCCTGAAAACCTCTAGTGCTTGAGTAACAGGTGTCACGTTAAACACAAAACACTCCCCAGGTGCTCCGAGCTCTCAGTCCGGCCTGAGACAGCTATGACCACGAGGCTAACTGAGCTAATTATATACCAGCAGCTAGTTAGCCGCGGTCAGGCAGCGAGGCAGCTAACAGAGCTGCTGTCAGCTGCGTGTTTGAGCCACAGAACTAAAACTGATAGATTGTTCACTGTAGCGCCATAGTAACGATCTCCTGAAAAGGCAGATCATGGAGACATTTTAATCGTCCACGATCAAATATCGTAATATCGCCCACCCCTAGCGTCGAGTCACTGCAGGAGTATAAATCCAGCGCCCCTTCTGTGCTTCTGATTGGCTGTCGCCTTTTTCCACCAGTGAGTTTTAGGGAAAATGCACACAGGTAAAGACGCAGCCAAGACAAAATCTTAGTCGGCAGATTTTTGGGCACAGACTCAGTTTAACATGTCAGTGTTAGTTTAGCCTGTTAGCATGCTAACATTAGCGTAAACACAGCTGAGGCTGATGGGAATGTCTGTAGTTCTGCAGGTGACAAAAACACCTGACGTTTTTTCTGCTTGATACAAAAGGAAAACTCTCCATGAAAATAACTTCGTTACTGAGCTACAGGATACACGCTGCTGGAAACGGACTGACCCGATAGAGGGGACGGAATCGATTTTCGCTGTTCTAGTTGTTTTCCTTCCAAAAACAGCGGCGCCTTGTGTCAACAGAGACCGACTGGCGAGCTCTAAGTTTCATTTCTGTCGTCAGATTGAAGTACAGAAGAAGAGTTTGCTTTGGCGGTCTTTATTGGCCTCTGCTGGCGACCCGTAGGAGCTACAGAGACTTCCATGATTTGTCTGGATTCGTCTCGTCTCGGCGAACAAAAGAAGATCAGCCCTGTAGGATGTTCTGTTCTCAAGCTGTGGCCTGTAAAGCATGGGAGTGCTTTTATCAATATTTCTTTTCCTGGAAATAGGTGTTAGGGTTCATGTAAACAGGCTCTGCATGCACAGCGAACCACCAATCACATTACTGATCAGTTTATCTGTGTTTGTCACAGACAGGGTTTGATAACGTGGTGCAGCCCTGCTTCCACCACACGCTGTGTTTCACACGCTGTCGCTCTCTCTGCAGGCCTCTGATCTCCTACCTGAGGAAGTTTTATTACTACGACCCCGAGGAGGAGATCCACCCGTCCCTGAAGGAGAGGGGGCCGGAGCCCAGCAGCCAGCCGGGGGTCCAGCCTCAAACGTAGCACTGGAGCCTGAGAGGACAACGTGAGTCCGCCGCCGCCGCCATTTACTAACTAATTCAGGAGTTTCTCGGTGGAGTTTGGAGTCAGGGTGGGTGTTAGCTTAGCTTAGCATAAAGACTGGAAACAGGGGGAAACAGCTAGCCTGGCGCTGTGCAGCTTCTAAAGCTAACTGATGAACACGTTACATCCTGTGGCTTTATGGTCACCGATTTAGCCCTGAGACAGGAAGTGATGTCACGTTTGTGACGCGGGTAATAAATATTGATCAGTGTGAGTTTATGGTGTGATGTTGAAACAAGTTTAAAAAGTAAACCGTGTTTCTGTTGGCCTTCCGTGCTGCACGAAGCCGGCTGGAGGTCGCGCAAAAACCAAGGGAAGTCACCTGAGCGCACCTGGTGGCACAACTGGAGGCCCTCAGGTAGCGCGGTGCCTCCATCCGTCCGGCTGGTGGAGGCCCCAGCAGATGCTCTACCTCCCCCTGTTAGTCTGAGCAGCTATTTGAGGAACTTGAAATGTGTTTAAAGATTTACGTCTTCAGGAGGAACCAATGAGCTCGCAGCTGAGAGCCGCAGACACGAAGTCAGGCAGGCTCATGTTGATCTTTGGATCAATAATAATGATTAATAAACTTCCTTTCTTTCTTTCTTCCCTCCAGTTATTTTCTTTTCTCAGTTTTTTTCTTCGGTTCTTTTGGACACTCGGTCGCTGAAGGACGTTCAAACACTCAAACTGGACTCAGCCAATCAGCTCCCTGCGCTCAGTCCTGAATCCGGGCGGGTTTCAGATGATCCACCTTCCTCTGAGCACTCTGATTGGCTTGGGGGAGGTACATGGGGATGTGGAGACTCCGCCTCTCTTTTGATGTCATCACTGAGCAGCCGGACTAAGGGAAACGTGACATGGCGGTTAGCGTCCTCGCTAACCGCCATGTTAGCGGGGACACGTCGTGTCGCCTCTGGGATCCTTCAACTTCCAGCTGAACATGAAGAGATTTCACTTCAGATGTCTTTATACTCAGTTTAATCTACAGGACGACCAACTCAAACTCTTACTGGAGCTTTCAACCGTGCTAACAAAACCTACCAGGAGGAAGTTTATTCGCTCGCACAGGTGAAGTGAACGAGCTCGGAGGCGGCGTCATTGTTAAACCTGAAGGCCGGATCGCACCGGAGAGCAGCAGCCACACGTCTTTGAGAAGTTGGCGCTGCTAGTTAGAACTACTGTAGCTGGAGAGCTAACGTGCTAGCCAGCTGGGAAGATGTTAGCGGCTCCAGAAGTGTGTTAGCTCGGTGGCTAACGTGATGCTAAGTGTATTAAGCGTGAGGTCATAGTTATCCAAGGAAGACGTTTCGTCCCTCATCCGGGAGGAAGCCGCTGAGATGAAGGACGAAACGTCTTCGAGTATCTTCAACCAGGTCCAGCTGTTATTGATTTTATCCTACCTTTGTTTTCTTCCATGTTGGACTCTCCGGCTCTCCGTCCAATCAGAGCTTGGCGCTGTCTTGTTATTGGTCTCTGAGTTGGGCCGGACACAAAGCCTGCGAGCGCGTTTCCTTCCCCTCTGCGAGTGAATACACTGATTTTGGGATTTAAACGCTGGTGATGAGGTCTGACCTTCAACCGGACTAATCTAATCTGCTCCACGTCAGCTCCCAGAGAACCCTGGGTAAAAACACGCCTGGTTATTCTGGTTGTACGCAGCAGGATGTGGGCTGAACCACGCTGGTGATTTTTCACAAAGCCATGCTGTTCCGTGGCAGAGCTGCCTGGGGCTGAACGATCTAGATTGAGATTAATTTGACGGAAATTATGATTTCATCTAAATTTGATAGAAAAACATATTAAACTGATGGCAGTGAGATTCTTGAGGTGATTGATACCAAACAGATGTTTTCTTAACTCTGTAGAATATGATGTGCAGCCCAGCACGTCTCTGCAACAATACTCGACAACATTTGGATTAACCTGTTCGGCCCTACAGCTCCCTGAATCTAAACGTCTCCCAGCTGAAAACTCAAAATCCCTGGGAGCCATTTTCAGATTTAGCAACTTCAGAAAGTGCTGTTGGACTCCAGAGTGTTGGATCTCACCTCCAGGTCCATTTAGTGGCAGTTCTGGAGCTTTCCAATGGGTCAAACCATCTTCCTCGGCAGACAGAGCTGCCTGGTTAAACTCACCCACACACCGACACCGATGGCAGCGAGCTGCTGGCTGCTGGACCGCCATCGGGGGCAGGTTGGAGATCAGAGTCCTGACCGAGGACATGTGGACCTGAGGAGCCGGGGATCGAACCCCCAACACAAAGTAGTCGTGGCCTGTAGATTCTTTTCTGAGCACTTTAAGGACTTTGGCTTGAAAGCTGAGATTGGGAACAGCAGGTAAACACCAAGTAATCTCACCACGAGGTCCGTTTAGTAGCTGCTCTGCTCTAACAACAAGTCTTTGGATGAAACTCCCTGCAGCTTGGTGTTAAACCTCGAGATCGTCCTTAGGGCTGGGCCAAAAATGTTGTCACGATAAAAACATTTCACATCTTTTGACATCGGTAATTATCACGATAAATGTCAAGTCTTTATTCCTTTCAAGTTTAAAGGCAGATTTTTGCTCCTGACTGAAAATTGAAGAAACCAGATGGTTAATTATGTGATTAAACTTTTCTTTATGGTCAGAATGTTGACGCCAAACAGAGGATCACTCCACAAGTCAGAGGTAGAACATTCAAAACTATTATGATAAAATCTTTTCAACAAATATGATTAGAAAGTCTTTTTTCAGTCCCTTTTCCTCAACAAAATAAATATATTAATAGAAAGTGCTAATTTGTTTGTGATTCAAATGAATGAAACCAAATATTTATTGACGATATATTAAACATTTATTATATTGATTATTGAGGAAAATTAAATTGCAGTAAGCATCATTATTGTTTTATTGCCCAGCCCTGCGATGAATTGTACCTGAAGTGCTCTGAAAAAACAAAACGTGAACATCTAAATTCACACGACAACTGGCCAAACTCTGAATCCAGGACTGAACGGACCTCGAGGTGAGAAACTGCTGCTTCTGAAGTCAAGAATGAACTTTGTTCTCAACTCAGTGAACCGTTTTAATTTAATGTCCTCATTGTTCACTTGGGTTTGATCAGGTTGGTGCTTGTTGGACCTTTTTATCTGCCGTACCGGTCCACACCGGAGTGTCTTTAAACGCTGCATACTTGACATGTTAACAGAGTTACTGTGAGCTTATGTTGAGGTTATTTATCAGATGCTAAGAATGTTTCTGTCTGATACCTTTTTATTAGAGTTCTGTTAGCAGACCCGACCCAAACCATCAGTAGAGCCTCAAAGAGAGAGCATCATGTGACTCCTGCTGATGAAATGTCATTGATCAGGGAGGAGGATCATCAAGATCACAGCTTGACTCCCAACTTGATGTTCTTGCTAGTTAGCATTAGCCAACGGTAGCGATAACTTGCCCCAGCAAAAGCAAGAAGGACCGAGTAGTTTTACATCAGCTAACGTTAGCTAACACTGCTGGGAAATTGTTTAAGTTTCTCGGCATGTGTTAGCTTCTTGTAAGCTGCTAACTGGTCGTTGCTCCATTATGCTGGAGGACGCAGTATTTTAGGCACTTAAAGATTGAGTTCCTGGTCAGATGTGATGGTCTGAGTTTTTCCGAGATCTTCAGGCCCGTCTACACGATTCTTCCAACATCAGACAACTTCAACGCACCGCCCTATAATGGTATAAAACTAAAATACAGCTTCCGGTCTCGGCGTAGGGTTCGGGTCCTAAAGATGCTGGTTCAGCCGGGTTCGGGTCTCTTGCAGAACTCTAACTTGTAGTCTCTCGTTCCCTCTTTGAATCTAAAGCAGCACAGAACTGATTCGTGTCTAGTTTTTGTCAACGTTTTTTCCAAAGTAGAGCAGGAACATCATCAGGGTGAATGTGCAGCAGGAAGAACCCTGTGATGTTCATGTTCCACCAGTTACTGTAAAAACAATCCTCCACACTGGTGAGGAAGTCGGGATCCCAGAGGCGACCGGCCGCAGGCTGCTGTGGCGACATTACCAAAAAATGAACAAAAGAAGCAGCTAATGTGACGACTACTGAACGTTTCCTCGATGGACTGATTTATTCAGGCGCTGGTTCTGAGTAAGTTCTGGCCCAGCAGAGACTGGGAACACTGGAGCCGGGACACTTCCATGATGTCAAAACAGTGGGGGGGGTTGGGGTCATTGAATGCAGCACACTGAAGGACTGGACACCTGCTGAGATGGACTGAACGGTGGAGCAGTAACCTGTCGTCTTCGGTGCAGAGCTGTGGTTTTTGTGCAGTCAGCTGTTAATAAACAGTGTGGGCGGGGCTAATGTGTGTTTGCAATGTTTACTGTCTTTTACTTTTTGATTGGCAGGCGACCCTGCTGGGCTTCAAAGGGTTTTTTATGCATCCAGAGAGCTTCTATAAACCAGACCAGGCTTCTAATTGAGACCTGCGTTTATGGGTAGGCGTCTGTTTGGGACTCTGCTTTTACAGTTTTACAGTATTTGCTCTGATATTGAACAATTTCAAACCATAACCAGTCTTAGTTGCCAGAGCTTCATCACACCAGGCTCTCTCATGTCTGGAGGCAGGTTTAGCAGCATGCTAGCAGCTCTGTGAGGCTAAACTAGCTGCTGACCTCACCATGCTAACACGATGAGGCAGATGGGATAGAGAGCCAGAGTCACTCGCTTCAGCTTCCGGCCCATGGGACCTTATTTCGGGAAAAATATGTACGCTAGTCAACGGTGAGAGACAACTTATCTTTTTATCCTGTTAGAATTGAGCCCTGAGTTACACACATGTTTGTCAATTTTAAACAATAATTTTTGAAAGTCAAGAAAGTCGCAGTTTGTCATAAATCAGTAAAGTTACATGTCGTTTTGTGTGAAACCCGTTCAACGAACTACATCTCGTCTCACACAGTATACGGCAACATGTTAGTGCGGTAATGTTAGCTAACGTTCGTTGCCTTCTTGCTGCTAGCTAGATAACTCAGCTGTGTTCCACGTAGAAATATATCTCACCTGATGTGTTTAATCCAACGACTCTGTCCTTTTATAACATCATCCTCTCATCTAAGTTTTTTGTCGTTAGCTTCAGTAACGTTAGCTTGAGTCATTGACGTCACACACGCGACTTTTGGGTTTGTGGTCTTTGTAATTATGTATTTTCACAGTCTGATACCTCAACAGTTTTACAACAAATTGTGACTTTCTTGACACTTAAATTGACAAACATCATGTGTGTAATTCAGGGCACAATTCAAACGGGATAAAAATATTTGTTGTCCCTCGCCGTTGACTACCGTACAGTATTTTATCGATCAAGGTCCCATGGTGGTCCACTGGAAGGGGAGGGACTTAGGCTCTCTATTGTCGTCATAATGTCGCCTGACCACTTCTGGAAAAGCCCCCTTGTGTCGACGACGCTGCTGTTCAGACAATATTATTCATGTTACCTGTGCAGGTGGATTACAGGTGAGTCTGCTGCCTCTACAGGTGAGTTAATGGTGTCAGAGAGATCCTGCTGAATTTGATCACAGTAAAATGATCGATCACAGAATGTCATTTTGTCGCTCTGTGATCTGACAGCCTGTAGTTACTGTAATAAACGCCGCCACGATGTTTCCACGGCACGCTCTTTCTAAAGGCCAGTTTATACTTCGTCCAGTCTGTGCGGTAGCGTTCTGCGTAGTCACGCTGTCAAGAGCGTTTATAATTGAGTGTTGACGTCTGCGTCATTCTGCAATTACATTTGCAATATCTGTTCTGCTGTAGCAACGTTTACACACAAAGCCGGCGACGGGCGTGAAACCTCCTTTAGAGCACAAGATAAAAGCCGGACGAAGGTAAAACACAAAGACTGATAAAAGTTTGTATACAGATTTTAAAAAAGTATCTAAAATAATGTTTGCAGCATAAACAAAGTGTTCTTCAGAGACATAAAAACTTTAACATTTCATTTTGTTTTAGGGAGCAAACTGCCCATTAAACGATGACGTCAGTCTCTTAATATTTCACCTTTTCTCTCGATCTGTGGAAAAGGTGAATGTGCAGAAAGTTTTGAACGCGAGTCAGAGATGAGTTTCAAGTTACATCTGGCCCCGGTCTCCCCTACAGATCGGCTTCCACGTGGATTCTTTTTTTCATGAATTAATAAAATACCAAAACAAAACTTTCTTCAGTTGAGTTAAAACAGGTCTTGTCTGATAGTATATACAATCTCAGTTTTTAATATGTGGTAATGTTGATGCTGCAGGAGGAATAATAAGTGAAACATTGGGTTTGATTAAAAGCACGATGAAGAGTTCAAATTTATCTCTACAGCAACTTTTTAAAACAACCATAATCAATCAGGATACACGAACAAATACACAAAGCAAAGACAGCAGAAAGGTCAAAGTGTCAAAACTCAAATTGTAAGCTAAAGAATAGAGGTCGGTGTTTCTGCAGCTCTTATTTGAGTAAGTAAATTATTGCAGAGAGCCTGAACGGCTCGGACATCTTTTTATTTTTTAACCTGAATCTAGGAACATGGAGGAGCTTCTGATCGGACCTCAGGGCTTTGACAGGAGTCTGAACAAGTTCTGATGAACCCGTGACCCAAGAGTCCGCTGAGCAGGTCTCAGTCTCCGTCAGGATTAATGAAACCCTGGCCCAATCCCAAGGTCCCCCCTAAGCCCTGAACCCTCAGACTTTGCGGACGACTTTACGGTTATGTTACAGCCTCAGTCACTTACCAGGTGACGTCAGTAAAGTCTGTGAGGGTTCAGGACTTGGGGGGACATTGGGCTCTGTTGGACTGTTTTGTGTCTGTACGGCGCCGTAAAGTGTGCAAATTACATGTGCAGACCACATAATGGGCTCTATTGTTTCTATCTGACATTAAACTCAGCAGGTTAGTGCTGAATGCAGAGGATGCTCTTGATGTTACAGCCTAATACAGCTGTTTGCACTGTTTTATCACGATTATCGGAGCTACACTGGTGCGATGTGGCTCTGACAATATCTGAATAATCATGTTCGCACAGAACATCCAGCCGCACTCAACCCAACTAATGATATTCTCAGATTCATCCCACCTCTAGGCTACTGGTCCTTTTAACTCTCCAGGTGATTTCTTTATTGTGTTGATGCATGAGTGTTTTCTTTAACGTTTACTTTCATGATTAGAGAGCGTCAGTCATTTTAAACGTTTCCATCGGCGCTGTAAAGCAAATAACCTGGAACATTTATGCAGCAAAACTAAAAACTGTAGGTGTAAACTTGACAGGACAGAGGAAACAGAATTCAACATTTTAGTTTCTGAAATAATTGAGACGCTCTGATGGAGCTCTGGATGGATCAGGAGGACGGCTGCTTTACTCCAGTTTCACTTTACGAACCTGGACTTTGTGTGACACCTTCTGGAGTCAGATTCTGACTGATCCTGTCGCGTGTCAGTTTAAATATTTTGCTGCTGTGCGTAAATGCGCATATTTAAAAAAGGTTTTGCAGCGGTGCTCAGTTATTGCGCGCACAAGGTTTTCATGTTCTTCATGTGTTTCCCCAAGTGTGGACGCTGGAACAGTTTTTCAAGTTGAAATGAGAGGCAGTGTAATCAGCTGCGCCCGCATGGCCTTCATTTAAATTGATCGTGTTATCAATGGTTTTTATATAAATGATTTTATTTTTACATACATACATATAATTACGGAGGTCTGGACCTCGGTGACCTCATAGGACCCTGCTTGTTACCACTCTGTGTTGAAGGAAAGTGCGTAACTGCGTGCCCACACAGTCGTGTCATGCGCGCAGTGTTCGTCAAGTTACTTCCTACTGGCAGAGGAGACGTGAGCATGCGCTTTGGAGGCGCAGCGGTTTTTCGAGACCCTTTGGTTGCTATGATGCATAGTTTCCGTGGAGGTGATGTGCTGCAAGTAGGCTACGTGATTTTACTGAATATAAAAATACTGCAAAGTACGTATGCTCTGCATGAAGAGAAGGCTGAAACATGTGGAGCGAGGGGACGGACTCGCCGTACGTGGGTCCATCAGATTTTGCGTGCGAGGAAACACCTCGGCGAGAAGGCACATTGTTTCTGAGATGGCTCGGCGTGGTGTTTGTCCCGCCCTCCTGCACTGTGGTTGGACGGCTGAGTAAAAAGTGACGAGTGCTGTGTTTTTTCTGGTCAGCGATCTGATGCGAACAGAAGTCCCTTAAACCTGCATTGTATTGAACGGCCAGCAGGGGGCGACTCTTCTGGTTGCAAAAAGAAGTCCAGCACCATTAGAAAGAAAATGTTTCTGCTTCTCAGCTGATTTATTCCCTCAGTAAACACTTTCCTGATGAGTTTATGGTCTCAGTCGCTAGTTTCAAGTCTTCTTCAACACAGCATGATGTTCATTTAGTAAATTATGGTCCCATTTAGAGGAACAGAGACCAGGAAGCAGGGGAGGCACATTTAGTTTAAGCCTGTTGTTCGCTACACAAAGTAATCAGCCCTGTTAAAATGACGTTAACGTGAACTACAGACGCACCTCGCTAAGCTAGCTAGCTAGCTCCGCACGCAGCTGTTAGCTCCACCGTCTCGTCACCTCCTGGTTGCAAAAACTCAACATGGCGGCGCCCTATCGGCTTCAAAACGGCGGTCCATAAACCAATGGGTGATGTCACCATGACTACGTCCATTTCTTTATGCAGTCTGTGGTTTTTCCCAAAGTTGAACAACGCTCAGCGCCTCGTCACACTGCTGCCGTTTTCACCAGGTTGAAAAAACGCTGCGCTCCCATTGCAGTGAAGTGAAAAAAGACGCTGGCCTCAGGAAAAAAACGCTTTGGTGGACACGGGCCCTTAAGCACAAAAAATACTTGGTTAAGGTTAGGAAGAGATCATGGTTAAAATAACTACGTACGTCAGTTAACTTACGTAACTCGAGTAACTTCAATAAAATATTTAATGTTGCCTTTTTGTTTCACACGGGACACGAACCCCGGTCTTCCGGGTCAAAGTCGGGGGTTCTGGTCATTGTTTGTTTGGTCAAAGAAGCTCGCCAATCTGTGTTTGAGGCCTGAAGTGGCGGGCCTCGGAGCGCTGGCCATCGCCGTCTTCATCGCCGTCATTTCAGCCACTTATCTTCTGAGGCCACGATGGAAGCTCTGTGCAGCGTGTTTGCTGAGGAGAAGGTCTCCGAGGTCTGGGATCAGATCGACGAGTGCCTGAAGAGATGCGAGATGAACATCAACAACAGGGCCGAGCTGCTGAGCGACATCAAACGGATCGAGCGCCACCTGAGCGCCGCCGTCACCGAGCTGAAGAACTCCACGGTGAGGGATGCTGATTCACCTGGTGAGAGGGACTCAGACCTGCGACCCTGTAGAGAGACTCCTCTCTACTTACCTGGGAGACCTGGACCTGCTGTTTGAAAAGCACGAGGAGGCGGTGAAGCAGAAGAGCGAGCTGCGAGAGCTGTTGTTTCTTATTTATTAAAAAGCAACACAAGAAACAGAATCGCTTTTCTGGTTAAAAGGTCCTGGTCGGACTAGGCGGCCTGTGGCGTGGGCCGCAAAATGTCACAGGGGCGCCGCACAAAGACGTTTTCACCTTGGTGTGAATGTGAGCTGAACTTTACTGGACGTGCTGAACACAGGCGGTCCAGGGCCTCAGCCACCAGGGGCCCTCGAGATTTGTCTCTCCTTTTAAAAGTATCCTCAGCGCGTGTTGCTTCGGTGCAGCAGCCTTTACCCGAGTCACCTGATGAACTCTCTGTATCCTGTGACTGTTCTTTATTTTATCATATCGGTGGTGTTGAACGCAGCTCTTTTAACACAAGAAAACACAACCCGCAAATATTCACCACTAATCTGGTTTACTGCAGCGGTGTGAATCCAAAAGAAACATTTTGCTGTTGCAGTGAACGGATTAAAATTACGCTGAAATGATGCTGATTAGTTTAACAAATGAATTCACGCTTTTTCAAGTCTGTCAGCAGGATAACAAGCAAAAAAACTTTTAAAACGCTTGTTTTCTAAATGGAGTTCGGATCCTCCTGTTGTGTCCGGTTACTGTGTAAATATGAAGTCGTGTCACAGAGCAACTCGCTGCAGCAGACATGTTGAGAAGCGCGAGCGACGATAAATCCACTTTTTAAGCCCAAAAATTAAAACTAAAAAGTTAATTTAATAAAAGAAATGTACTCTGAGCTCCTGCTGCCAGTAAACGGCTATTATGACCACAGCCTCTCTGACCACAACATGACCATGAGGGCCCGCGTTCTTCTTTGTCCAGGGCCTCCATATCACTAAAACGGCCCCCAGTGCTGAAGTTACCGTGTGGATTTGTGGTGAGATTGATCACAAGTGTTTCCACCTGAATAAGAATACTGTGGTGCGTTCAATGTCCTAAGTGGAAGTGGGAGAAGTCCATGTCGCTGCTGAACGGCACAATCTGGCACGTTTTATTGCTCCTATAATGTAATTAGTGCCTTTTAAATGGAACTTTCACTGGTATTTTATATATATATAAATAAAATGTTGAACTGAAAAAAAAGAGTCCTCAAATATAAAAATGTATAAAAGTGAAAAATGAAAATTGATAATTTTTTTCAAAATAATTCCAGAACTGAATCAATAAAATTTAAACTGGGAAAGAATGGTACAGTTATTTTTAGTTTGAATACCTGGTTGTATTTTTCAAGTTTACGACCAAAATTTAAATTTAAATTTTTGTTTTTTACAAATTAATCAAACCTGTGGCCCTGATTTAGCTCCATAACAGCTCCTTAAAAACATCACCAAGAGTTCAATTGCTAAACTAATTAGCTAACAGCTACAGGAGAAAACAGGAAGCTGAAGACTTCAGTGGATTATTTTATTTTGACGATACACAGGTTTAATAGTCGAGAACAGAGCAGAACAACACGTTAATCAGAGAAACAAACAGGAACCAGCTCAACCTAAAGTTTAGGTCTGTTAGTTTACTATCAACGGAGCATGCTCCAGCTGTGACCTGTAATGAATATGTCGTTTAACTGGGGGTGGACAAAATATTAGAAACACCTGTCAGTGTAATGTTAATATATTTCAACAGTGGTGGAAAGTAACTTGGTACATTTACACACATAAGTACTGCTCGACATTTATCTGACAGCTTTATACTTTTCAGATTAAGACGTTACGTAAAAAAACCTCAAAATACGTTTATAAAATGCACATTATTAAAAAATAATCCAGTGGTTCTCAGCCTTTAGGTCTTGTTAGGGAACTTTATGAGACTGAGACTTTTCTCACATGGTTTCATTTCAGTAACTGTTCTAATGAACAGAACCCTCAGATTTATCTGGGGACCCTTTGGAGGGCCCGACCCCTAGGTTGGGAACCAGTGGACTAAACTTTCTATCTGTATATAAAGTAGTTAAACTGTTGTTAAAGTCGTCGGTGAGCGGGCTGTCAGGGGCAGGGGGGAACGTTGAGGCAGGGCTCAACTTCAACTTTCTTTCCGTTCTCGGGCGCCGCGCCGCAGTCAGCATTCGGAGTCCCGAAGAACGTCGCGGGGTCCCTCTGACGGCCGATGGTAGGACTGAAAACACACAGAGTCATGTTTCCATTACATTACGATGACTTACTTTAAATCCTCGGAGACCTACTCTAACCTTAAAACCCTTCACACTAAAACTTACTGTCCTCACGCTGTGGGGACTTTATGGCGTTTGGTCGAGTCCCCACAAAGTGAAAACACAGTTATGGCCGACATGGGTAATAACCACCAACACGCACACACAGCGTATTCAGAAAACTCTGTGTGCCCTCAAGCATATCTTTGATGTTTCTAATGTCAGTCGTAAATGAGCGACCCAGTATCCTGGGAATTACAGTGCGTTCAGTTTGCAATGGGAAGTCAGATTTTTCTGAGATCCAATTTTGAAATTTCACATTGCTGCAGCTCCTCTTGTGTTTGTTTTAGCTATGGAGTGATGCATCTTGTCTCTAAATGATCTTTGTTGGGAGTTGCACATGCTCAGTTCCTAGTTAAGGACTACTAGCCAATCAGAAGCAGCGAAGGGCGGGTCAGCGAGAAGCCGGTAAACAGCTCGGGTTCAGCCGTACGTGTTGCCGACCGGCTCGGCAACACGGACTGGAGCGAGAGTTTCAGAGCGGTGAGTTATTAATCTGTATCCATAAAGTTTTAACTGAGCTCTGTCTCTACATCACAGGAACAACTTTATGTCACTGACTGCCTGGAGGGTAGCTAGTGTTTGGAAGGGAGAGGAGAGCTGTGTGCTGCAGCTCGCTGTTTCTGAGGGCGTGTCGGAGTCGCCGCTTGGCGTTATAACGCGCTGTTTTCAGGCAGCAGAGTTTTCTGTGGGAGATGTGAACTCCCTTTGGGCTTTTTCACTTTGCAAACCTGTTACATGCACAAAAAAGATATATAACTAATAAAGGAGAGGGGAAAAGCCAAAAAGCAGAACACCACCTCTTTAAGACGGATTACCGACTCGGAAAGTCGGGAGAACCTCACCAACCCTGACCTCAAAATCCAAGATGGCTGCTCCTGGAAAAAGTAACTGCCTGTTTTTTGCACACAGTCTTATTTGTGTCTCATTAAATAGAGTCCTGTGCAGCTTATCTGTGTAGACATGTAGCTGCTGTGTCTGTATGTGCAAAATACAGCGTAACACCTTGTTACCAGCTGGTTCTGCTAAACAATGACCAGAGGTGACAATCTTAGTTTCCACTTAAATCTGCTGTTGTACTGGAGCGCTGCGCACCATTACATCCATTTCCACTCACTGTCAGGACAGGAAGTAGTGAGTCCTTTAAAGGAAAGCGGATATTTGGAGACCAGAGTCCTCGTCCTGTCACAGAGCTTCAGTTAACTGGATTTTGGTTTTGTGTTCATGTTTTTCCTGTTGCAAGTCTGTTTTAATGGTTTGGGGTTCTGTGTTTCTTCTGTTCTGCCTTGTTTATTCTCATGTTCAGTTTAGTTCACTTTACCAGTTCTGTCTCATTTCCTGTTTTCTTATTTTGTGTCTTAGTTTCGATCTCACTGTGTAGTCCTGCTTCGGTGTCTTAGTCTTTAGTCCTGTGTCTTCATGTCTCAGTGGTAGTCCTTGGTTCTGATTCTTAGTTCTTTTGTTCGGTTTCCTTCATCCTAGTCTGCCGTCATTTGTTCTGGTCCTTGTTAACCAGTCAGTCTGTTTGGTCCTGTTTCTGTCTTGGTAAGTCCTGATGTTAGCCTTGCATCAAGTTACAGTTTGTCCGTGTGTCCTGTCTGTTCTCTACTTGTGTCTGAGTTGAAAATGTGCGTAGAAACAGGTGGATGGAAACAGGCTTTCTACATCCTGTCCTTCACTCATTGACCCACTGTCTGGTGCAGAATCAGTGAACTCACTTGTATTCGCTGTAATCGGGTTTACAGTATCTCTTCCTGAAGCGTTTGGACTTTCCTCCACAGGACGGTTTACACAGACTCCACTGCTCCCAGCCGTCCCAGGTGCCTTTCACTGTAACACACACAGGAATGTGAAATGATGAAGACTAAACCGGTTTCAGGAGGAGTTGAGTAGCAATACATTTATACAGGACATTTCTCAGAACCTAAACTCATCGATGGGGGAATATCAACGTTTGATCAACTTTCACCTCAAAGGTACTCTGATGTGCAACATGAAGGACATTTTCATGTTAAAGGGGCAACATGTAGTTTTCAGGAGCCACTAGCAGTGACGGTTTTCAGATTGCAACCAGCTGAGGACTGGAACTCATGAGCGAGCAGAATCCAACACACAGAGAGCAAAACACCAGAGACAGCTTCACACAACATGCTGGAAACATTACAGTAATAGTTTTATCAGCTGCAGGTTGAACTAATCCATGCATGATAACGGTATTTACTGCATTTAGCCGACGTGCTACTTCAGCGTTAGCTCGTCTGCTGCTTTCAGTCACTAACTTTACTATCTGTGTATCTTTCACTGGAGGCTCAGCAGTGTGAGCACAGCTACATGTACTGGATGATAATGGTTAGTGGGCTGGACTGAATATTGTAAATGAGATTGTGTCACACTTTATAACAGTTAGATCTCAGTAAGTAACGTTAAAGCCGACTCTGGGTCAGTTTTGTCTGGTCCAAAACAAAGCGGGGGTCTCTCCGTGACTCCAGTCTTTCTGATGTTCGATCATCGATCTGATTCTCGTTTGTCCTGACGGGCTCCAGCTAATAAAACTTTATTGTTGTTCTTCTCCCTACGTGGGGTTTGCGTTGTGTTGGCAGCCGGTTGTTTTGTGGTGTTAGTGGACTATGCAGTCGTTAGCTGTTGCGTTGTCGCTGTAGTTTGGGAGAGGCTCGGTAGCCCGACCCGATTCCTTCACAGAAGAAACAGAATAGTGGCTGATGCAAGCGACAGAGAAAACAGCTGTGTGCTTCATTTCTAAGTGAGGTTAGAGCCCGTTGAGTGACTAATTAAAGGAGACCTATTATTCTGCTTTTCCAGTCCTATATTGTAGTTCTGTGACTCCTGTACGGCAGATTTGCATGATTCAAAGTTCAAAACAAATAATCTTCTGTCTTATACTGGCTCTTCATGCAGGCCTTCATTTCAGCCTCTGTCTGAAACAAGCTGTAGATGCTCCTGTCTCTTTAAGGCCCCCCCTCTCAAAGCCCACTGTCTTCTGATTGACCAAGAGTATCTTTCTGTGGCTAACTGTTAATAACCGTGCGTGCTCCAAAACAGCTGATTCAAACTATCAACTCCTTATAAATCCTGAGGCTGCTTCAATCAGCTGTGTTGAAGCAGGGAGAGACTAAATCATGCAGGACAGGGGGTAACTTTCTCCAGGAGAGGGATGGGAAACACCGTCGTAGTACATAAACTTCAATTCAACGAAGATCAATTCATACAGCCAGCAAAGTCTTTGCACACTATTTAACGTTAAGTGTGAAAAGCTAAGTGTGAAAAATAGAGATTTTTATTTTATCTTTTTTTGGACAAATAACTAACTTGAGCATCGTCAACATGTTAAGACAAATGCAAACCTATGCCCTTGCAACACGCTTTACAAAAACAAACACACAGTAGCTTCATACAGTCTATGAGTTGAAGAACAAAAGCTAATCCTGCTACTTCTGGAGCTAACGCTAGCCACCGTTAGCGTAGCCTAACGTTACCTATGTAGCGACAAATAGGCTAACCTAACTTACACGCGTGTAACATTCTGTAATTTGTGTGATTTAGATGTACAATACTGTCAGCGGTAGCTATTGACGGCGAATAAATGCATTCAGACTTTACTCAATGTTTTGGAAAATGCTAAACAGTCACCTACTGCTGTCGCGATGTGTAGAGTAGCGAAACAACCGAGAATGCATCACGTTAATGTCCTGTGGGGACGTAAAAACTGACCGGCCTGACAGAGGAGGTCTGCAGTTGGACCCCTCTCGAAATCTGAGGTTTTTGCTCACAGGGATTTCTTTTAAATACTTTAACCTCATTATTTGAAGCTTTGGCCATGTTTAACATGAACATCCAACTTAGTGTTAGCTGCTGGGTTGTCGCTGTATTCTGAGAAAGGCTCGGGAGCCCGATTGTAGATAAGTCATAAAATGTGGAAAAGCATAATAGGTCTCCTTTAAAGAGGGATTTCATTGAAAAACTATATTTAGCCCCTTTAATGGGTTTATTCTGTTCCTTCTTTGATTGTCTTCAGTAGATTTCTCTGCAACACGTCACTCAGACGTCAGAACTGTTCATCGTGTCAGTTCATTTTTATTCTGGCCAATACACCTTTAAGGTCAGGGTTAGGTTCAGGCAGGTAGTGTGTGTGTGTGTGTGTGTGTGTGTGTGTGTGTGTGTCACCCACAGTAACAGTTGGTGACATCATAGCAGACCCGTCTGTCCAGCTGAGCGTCCCCGCTGCAGATGGATCCGTTGTGAGCTCGGTGAAGACACTGGCGCTCTCGAGTCTGACTGCCGCCCAGCTGCTTGCAGCGGATTTCCCGATTCCCGAACGGGAATTTACACTGATTCCATGGCGACCATTCCGACCACATCCCGTCCACTGCAAACAGACAGACGTCACACTCGTAAATACAAATGGAGGTGATTTAGAGCTGCCCTTCTGTCTGCAGCCAGGATTCATCTTTACACAGGTGAAAGGTTAAAGCACACATATACCATGCTGCTGCTGCTGCAGGAGGAGGCACAGCTGATTGGTTGGTTTGCAGAGTGTTACAAGTTTTCATGTTTTAAAAGACAAGCATCAGGTGTGTACCTGGACAGTGGACGTTGGTCTTACAGATGCTGGTTCGACGTTCCTCTCCATGACAATCTTGGCCGCCATGTGCAGGGGCGGGGCTGTTACATCTCCTGGTTGACACCTGAAGTCCTACCCCACAGGTAACAGGACAGGAAGACAAGGGAGACCAAGATCCCCAACCTCCGTCCACTGGTACAGGGACACACAGCAAGACAGATCACATCAGTGATCACCACCAGTGGACAACAACGTTATCGTTAAAACACCTGGGAGTGTTTTCGTCTCTACGTGGACACCGTCGTTAAAACACCTGGGAGTCGTTTTCGTCTCTACGTGCAAAACGTCGTTACAACACATGGGAGTCATTTTCGTCTCCACGTGGACACCGTCGTTAAAACACATGGGAGTTGTTTTCATCTCTACGTGGACACCGTCGTTAAAACACATGGGAGTCATTTTCGTCTCCACGTGGACACCGTCGTTAAAACACATGGGAGTTGTTTTCGTCTCTACGTGCAAAACGTCGTTAAAACACATGGGAGTCGTTTTCGTCTCTACGTGGACACAGTCGTTAAAACACATGGGAGTCGTTTTCGTCTCTACGTGCAAAACGTCGTTAAAACACATGGGAGTCGTTTTCGTCTCTACGTGGACACAGTCGTTAAAACACATGGGAGTCGTTTTCGTCTCCACGTGGACACCGTCGTTAAAACACATGGGAGTTGTTTTCGTCTCTACGTGGACACAGTCGTTAAAACACATGGGAGTCATTTTCGTCTCCACGTGGACACCGTCGTTAAAACACATGGGAGTTGTTTTCGTCTCTACGTGCAAAACGTCTTTAAAACACATGGGAGTCGTTTTCGTCTCTACGTGCAAAACGTCGTTAAAACACATGGGAGTCGTTTTCGTCTCTACGTGGACACAGTCGTTAAAACACATGGGAGTCGTTTTCGTCTCTACGTGCAAAACGTCGTTAAAACACATGGGAGTCGTTTTCGTCTCTACGTGGACACAGTCGTTAAAACACATGGGAGTCGTTTTCGTCTCTACGTGCAAAACGTCGTTAAAACACATGGGAGTCGTTTTCGTCTCTACGTGGACACAGTCGTTAAAACACATGGGAGTCGTTTTCGTCTGTACGTGCAAAACGTCATTAAAACACATGGGAGTCGTTTTCGTCTCTACGTGGACACAGTCGTTAAAACACATGGGAGTCGTTTTCGTCTCTACGTGCAAAACGTCGTTAAAACACATGGGAGTCGTTTTCGTCTCTACGTGGACACAGTCGTTAAAACACATGGGAGTCGTTTTTCGTCTCTACGTGCAAAACGTCGTTAAAACACATGGGAGTCGTTTTCGTCTCTACGTGGACACAGTCGTTAAAACACATGGGAGTCGTTTTCGTCTGTACGTGCAAAACGTCATTAAAACACATGGGAGTCGTTTTCGTCTCTACGTGGACACAGTCGTTAAAACACATGGGAGTCGTTTTCGTCTCTACGTGCAAAACGTCGTTAAAACACATGGGAGTCGTTTTCGTCTCTACGTGGACACAGTCGTTAAAACACATGGGAGTCGTTTTTCGTCTCTACGTGCAAAACGTCGTTAAAACACATGGGAGTCGTTTTCGTCTCTACGTGGACACAGTCGTTAAAACACATGGGAGTCGTTTTCGTCTCTACGTGGACACCGTCGTTAAAACACATGGGAGTCGTTTTCGTCTCTACGTGGACACCGTCGTTAAAACACATGGGAGTCGTTTTCGTCTCTACGTGCAAAACGTCGTTAAAACACATGGGAGTCGTTTTCGTCTCTACGTGGACACCGTCGTTAAAACACATGGGAGTCGTTTTCGTCTCTACGTGGACACCGTCGTTAAAACACATGGGAGTCGTTTTCGTCTCTACGTGCAAAACGTCGTTAAAACACATGGGAGTCGTTTTCGTCTCTACGTGGACACCGTCATTAAAACACATGGGAGTCGTTTTCATCTCTACGTGGACACAGTCGTTAAAACACATGGGAGTCGTTTTCGTCTCTACGTGGACACCGTCGTTAAAACACATGGGAGTCTTTTCGTCTCCACGTGGACACCGTCGTTAAAACACCTGGGAGTTGTTTTCGTCTCTACGTGGACACCGTCGTTAAAACACATGGGAGTTGTTTTCGTCTCTACGTGGACACCGTCGTTAAAACACATGGGAGTCTTTTCGTCTCCACGTGGACACCGTCGTTAAAACACCTGGGAGTTGTTTTCGTCTCTACGTGGACACCGTCGTTAAAACACATGGGAGTTGTTTTCGTCTCTACGTGGACACCGTCGTTAAAACACATGGGAGTCTTTTCGTCTCCACGTGGACACCGTCGTTAAAACACCTGGGAGTTGTTTTCGTCTCTACGTGGACACCGTCGTTAAAACACATGGGAGTTGTTTTCGTCTCTACGTGGACACCGTCGTTAAAACACATGGGAGTCTTTTCGTCTCCACGTGGACACCGTCGTTAAAACACCTGGGAGTTGTTTTCGTCTCTACGTGCAAAACGTCGTTACAACACATGGGAGTCATTTTCGTCTCCACGTGGACACCGTCGTTAAAACACATGGGAGTTGTTTTCATCTCTACGTGGACACCGTCGTTAAAACACATGGGAGTCATTTTCGTCTCCACGTGGACACCGTCGTTAAAACACATGGGAGTTGTTTTCGTCTCTACGTGCAAAACGTCGTTAAAACACATGGGAGTCGTTTTCGTCTCTACGTGGACACAGTCGTTAAAACACATGGGAGTCGTTTTCGTCTCTACGTGCAAAACGTCGTTAAAACACATGGGAGTCGTTTTCGTCTCTACGTGGACACAGTCGTTAAAACACATGGGAGTCGTTTTCGTCTCCACGTGGACACCGTCGTTAAAACACATGGGAGTTGTTTTCGTCTCTACGTGGACACAGTCGTTAAAACACATGGGAGTCATTTTCGTCTCCACGTGGACACCGTCGTTAAAACACATGGGAGTTGTTTTCGTCTCTACGTGCAAAACGTCTTTAAAACACATGGGAGTCGTTTTCGTCTCTACGTGCAAAACGTCGTTAAAACACATGGGAGTCGTTTTCGTCTCTACGTGGACACAGTCGTTAAAACACATGGGAGTCGTTTTCGTCTCTACGTGCAAAACGTCGTTAAAACACATGGGAGTCGTTTTCGTCTCTACGTGGACACAGTCGTTAAAACACATGGGAGTCGTTTTCGTCTCTACGTGCAAAACGTCGTTAAAACACATGGGAGTCGTTTTCGTCTCTACGTGGACACAGTCGTTAAAACACATGGGAGTCGTTTTCGTCTGTACGTGCAAAACGTCATTAAAACACATGGGAGTCGTTTTCGTCTCTACGTGGACACAGTCGTTAAAACACATGGGAGTCGTTTTCGTCTCTACGTGCAAAACGTCGTTAAAACACATGGGAGTCGTTTTCGTCTCTACGTGGACACAGTCGTTAAAACACATGGGAGTCGTTTTTCGTCTCTACGTGCAAAACGTCGTTAAAACACATGGGAGTCGTTTTCGTCTCTACGTGGACACAGTCGTTAAAACACATGGGAGTCGTTTTCGTCTGTACGTGCAAAACGTCGTTAAAACACATGGGAGTCGTTTTCGTCTCTACGTGGACACAGTCGTTAAACACATGGGAGTCGTTTTCGTCTCTACGTGCAAAACGTCGTTAAAACACATGGGAGTCGTTTTCGTCTCTACGTGGACACAGTCGTTAAAACACATGGGAGTCGTTTTTCGTCTCTACGTGCAAAACGTCGTTAAAACACATGGGAGTCGTTTTCGTCTCTACGTGGACACAGTCGTTAAAACACATGGGAGTCGTTTTCGTCTCTACGTGCAAAACGTCGTTAAAACACATGGGAGTCGTTTTCGTCTCTACGTGGACACCGTCGTTAAAACACATGGGAGTCGTTTTCGTCTCTACGTGGACACCGTCGTTAAAACACATGGGAGTCGTTTTCGTCTCTACGTGCAAAACGTCGTTAAAACACATGGGAGTCGTTTTCGTCTCTACGTGGACACCGTCGTTAAAACACATGGGAGTCGTTTTCGTCTCTACGTGGACACCGTCGTTAAAACACATGGGAGTCGTTTTCGTCTCTACGTGGACACCGTCGTTAAAACACATGGGAGTCGTTTTCGTCTCTACGTGCAAAACGTCGTTAAAACACATGGGAGTCGTTTTCGTCTCTACGTGGACACCGTCGTTAAAACACATGGGAGTCGTTTTCGTCTCTACGTGGACACCGTCGTTAAAACACATGGGAGTCGTTTTCGTCTCTACGTGCAAAACGTCATTAAAACACATGGGAGTCGTTTTCGTCTCTACGTGGACACCGTCATTAAAACACATGGGAGTCGTTTTCATCTCTACGTGGACACAGTCGTTAAAACACATGGGAGTCGTTTTCGTCTCTACGTGGACACCGTCGTTAAAACACATGGGAGTCTTTTCGTCTCCACGTGGACACCGTCGTTAAAACACCTGGGAGTTGTTTTCGTCTCTACGTGGACACCGTCGTTAAAACACATGGGAGTTGTTTTCGTCTCTACGTGGACACCGTCGTTAAAACACATGGGAGTCTTTTCGTCTCCACGTGGACACCGTCGTTAAAACACCTGGGAGTTGTTTTCGTCTCTACGTGGACACCGTCGTTAAAACACATGGGAGTTGTTTTCGTCTCTACGTGGACACCGTCGTTAAAACACATGGGAGTCTTTTCGTCTCCACGTGGACACCGTCGTTAAAACACCTGGGAGTTGTTTTCGTCTCTACGTGGACACCGTCGTTAAAACACATGGGAGTTGTTTTCGTCTCTACGTGGACACCGTCGTTAAAACACATGGGAGTCTTTTCGTCTCCACGTGGACACCGTCGTTAAAACACCTGGGAGTTGTTTTCGTCTCTACGTGGACACCGTCGTTAAAACACATGGGAGTTGTTTTCGTCTCTACGTGGACACCGTCGTTAAAACACATGGGAGTTGTTTTCGTCTCTACTTGCAAAACGTTGTTAAAACACTTGGGAGTTGTTTTCGTCTCTACGTGGACACCGTCGTTAAAACACATGGGAATTGTTTTCGTCACTACGTCTCTATCTCTCTATCATTGACAGTAGCTGGACAGACAGGTGTACCTGGGCAGTGCGGCAGGTGGTTGCAGTTTTCTCTCTCCCTGTCGTCACCCTGGCAATCTCTGCCAGGCGGGCTGGAGGAAGGGGCGGGGTTTGAGCAGAAGCGCTGGCGAGTTCTGACAGAAGCTTGGCGTTGTGGGATACATGAAGTAGAACACTCACTCCAGACAGACCACCCGGACCAGAACCCGTCGACTGTCAGAGACACAGACAGACAAAGACAAGAACAAAACACGCAGGGAATATTAACCATCTATCCATCGTCAACCGCTTATCCTGCGTTACAGGGTCGCGGGGGGCTGGAGCCAATCCCATGTGTGTGTGCGTGTGTACCTGTGTGTAGTGTCGGCTGATATGTGTGTGTGTGTGTGTACCTGTGTGTAGTGTCGGCTGATATGTGTGTGTGTGTGTACCTGTGTGTAGTGTCGGCTGATATGTGTGTGTGTGTGTACCTGTGTGTAGTGTCGGCTGATATGTGTGTGCGTGTGTACCTGTGTGTAGTGTCGGCTGATATGTGTGTGCGTGTGTACCTGTGTGTAGTGTCGGCTGATATGTGTGTGCGTGTGTACCTGTGTGTAGTGTCGGCTGATATGTGTGTGCGTGTGTACCTGTGTGTAGTGTCGGCTGATATGTGTGTGTGTGTGTGTACCTGTGTGTAGTGTCGGCTGATATGTGTGTGTGTGTGTGTACCTGTGTGTAGTGTCGGCTGATTTGTGTGTGTGTGTGTGTACCTGTGTGTAGTGTCGGCTGATTTGTGTGTGCGTGTGTGTACCTGTGTGTAGTGTCGGCTGATATGTGTGTGCGTGTGTACCTGTGTGTAGTGTCGGCTGATATGTGTGTGCGTGTGTACCTGTGTGTAGTGTCGGCTGATATGTGTGTGCGTGTGTACCTGTGTGTAGTGTCGGCTGATATGTGTGTGCGTGTGTACCTGTGTGTAGTGTCGGCTGATATGTGTGTGCGTGTGTACCTGTGTGTAGTGTCGGCTGATATGTGTGCGTGTGTACCTGTGTGTAGTGTCGGCTGATATGTGTGTGTGTGTGTGTACCTGTGTGTAGTGTCGGCTGATATGTGTGCGTGTGTGTGTGTGTACCTGTGTGTAGTGTCGGCTGATATGTGTGCGTGTGTGTGTGTGTGTACCTGTGTGTAGTGTCGGCTGATATGTGTGTGTGTGTGTGTGTGTGTGTGTACCTGTGTGTAGTGTCGGCTGATATGTGTGTGTGTGTGTGTGTGTGTGTACCTGTGTGTAGTGTCGGCTGATATGTGTGTGTGTGTGTGTACCTGTGTGTAGTGTCGGCTGATATGTGTGTGTGTGTGTGTACCTGTGTGTAGTGTCGGCTGATATGTGTGTGTGTGTGTGTACCTGTGTGTAGTGTCGGCTGATATGTGTGTGTGTGTACCTGTGTGTAGTGTCGGCTGATATGTGTGTGTGTGTACCTGTGTGTACCTGTGTGTAGTGTCGGCTGATGTGTGTGTGTGTGTACCTGTGTGTACCTGTGTGTAGTGTCGGCTGATGTGTGTGTGTGTACCTGTGTGTAGTGTCAGCTGATGTGTGTGTGTGTACCTGTGTGTAGTGTCAGCTGATGTGTGTGTGTGTACCTGTGTGTAGTGTCAGCTGATGTGTACCTGTGTGTACCTGTGTGTAGTGTCAGCTGATGTGTACCTGTGTGTACCTGTGTGTAGTGTCAGCTGATGTGTACCTGTGTGTACCTGTGTGTAGTGTCAGCTGATGTGTACCTGTGTGTACCTGTGTGTAGTGTCAGCTGATGTGTACCTGTGTGTACCTGTGTGTAGTGTCAGCTGATATGTGTGTGTACCTGTGTGTACCTGTGTGTAGTGTCAGCTGATATGTGTGTGTACCTGTGTGTACCTGTGTGTAGTGTCAGCTGATATGTGTGTGTACCTGTGTGTACCTGTGTGTAGTGTCAGCTGATATGTGTGTGTACCTGTGTGTACCTGTGTGTAGTGTCAGCTGATATGTGTGTGTGTGTACCTGTGTGTACCTGTGTGTAGTGTCAGCTGATATGTGTGTGTGTACCTGTGTGTACCTGTGTGTAGTGTCAGCTGATGTGTGTGTGTACCTGTGTGTACCTGTGTGTAGTGTCAGCTGATGTGTGTGTGTTTGTGTACCTGTGTGTAGTGTCAGCTGATATGTGTGTGTGTGTTACCTGGACAGGGACTCTGACAGACGCTGCTCTTAGTGCTCGGTCCGTCACAGAATCGGCCGCCATATTTAGGGGCGGGACGATCACACCTCCTGATTGACAGCTGAAGCCCCTCCCCACAGGAGACTGAGCACGGCCCAGGTGGAGACCACGCCCCCCAGCTGCCGTCCACTGCAGAGACAGCCAGTCAGAACACACGTTTTTCATTTAGAGACTTTACCCTGATCTTTCTATCCGAACAGTTTGTTCGCACACCTGGACAGTTTGGGAGCTCGCTGCAGTCCAGGGCCTGGAATTCGTCTCCAGGGCAAGCATTTCCAGGTGGCGCCGTGTCATTGGAAGGGGCGGGGTTAGAGCAGGAGCGATATCGCAATTTGGAGGGGATGATGACAACATCGTCCCGCTCACTGATGCACCTAGCAGAACACGGAGACCAATCGGTCCAACTGGACCAGCCGCCATGAACTGGTGGAGATAGAGAGAGACAGTTAGACAGGTGGAGACAGAGACAGTTAGACAGGTAGAGAGAGAGAGCAACAGTTAGACAGGTGGAGACAGAGACAGTTAGACAGGTGGAGACAGAGACAGTTAGACAGGTAGAGAGAGAGAGCAACAGTTAGACAGGTGGAGACAGAGACAGTTAGACAGGTAGAGAGAGAGAGCAACAGTTAGACAGGTGGAGACAGAGACAGTTAGACAGGTAGAGAGAGAGAGAGACAGTTAGACAGGTGGAGACAGAGACAGTTAGACAGGTAGAGAGAGAGCAACAGTTAGACAGGTGGAGACAGAGACAGTTAGACAGGTAGAGAGAGAGAGCAACAGTTAGACAGGTGGAGACAGAGACAGGTAGACAGGTGGAGACAGAGACAGTTAGACAGGTGGAGACAGAGACAGTTAGACAGGTAGAGAGAGAGAGCAACAGTTAGACAGGTGGAGAGAGAGACAGTTAGACAGGTAGAGAGAGAGAGAGAGACAGTTAGACAGGTAGAGAGAGAGAGCAACAGTTAGACAGGTGGAGACAGAGACAGACAGGTAGAGAGAGAGAGCAACAGTTAGACAGGTGGAGACAGAGACAGTTAGACAGGTAGAGAGAGAGAGACAGTTAGACAGGTAGAGAGAGAGAGAGAGACAGTTAGACAGGTGGAGACAGAGACAGTTAGACAGGTAGAGAGAGAGAGCAACAGTTAGACAGGTGGAGACAGAGACAGTTAGACAGGTAGAGAGAGAGAGAGACAGTTAGACAGGTGGAGACAGAGACAGTTAGACAGGTAGAGAGAGAGAGAGCAACAGTTAGACAGGTGGAGACAGAGACAGTTAGACAGGTAGAGAGAGAGAGCAACAGTTAGACAGGTGGAGAGAGAGAGAAAGTTAGACAGGTGGAGACAGAGACAGTTAGACAGGTAGAGAGAGAGAGCAACAGTTAGACAGGTGGAGACAGAGACAGTTAGACAGGTAGAGAGAGAGCAACAGTTAGACAGGTGGAGACAGAGACAGTTAGACAGGTAGAGAGAGAGAGAGACAGTTAGACAGGTGGAGACAGAGACAGTTAGACAGGTGGAGACAGAGACAGTTAGACAGGTAGAGAGAGAGAGCAACAGTTAGACAGGTGGAGACAGAGACAGTTAGACAGGTAGAGAGAGAGAGCAACAGTTAGACAGGTGGAGACAGAGACAGTTAGACAGGTAGAGAGAGAGAGCAACAGTTAGACAGGTGGAGACAGAGACAGTTAGACAGGTAGAGAGAGAGAGACAGTTAGACAGGTAGAGAGAGAGAGACAGTTAGACAGGTAGAGAGAGAGAGAGACAGTTAGACAGGTGGAGACAGAGACAGTTAGACAGGTAGAGAGAGAGAGCAACAGTTAGACAGGTGGAGACAGAGACAGTTAGACAGGTAGAGAGAGAGAGAGACAGTTAGACAGGTGGAGACAGAGACAGTTAGACAGGTAGAGAGAGAGAGAGCAACAGTTAGACAGGTGGAGACAGAGACAGTTAGACAGGTAGAGAGAGAGAGAGCAACAGTTAGACAGGTGGAGAGAGAGAGAAAGTTAGACAGGTGGAGACAGAGACAGACAGGTAGAGAGAGAGCAACAGTTAGACAGGTGGAGACAGAGACAGTTAGACAGGTAGAGAGAGAGAGCAACAGTTAGACAGGTGGAGACAGAGACAGACAGGTAGAGAGAGAGAGAGACAGTTAGACAGGTGGAGACAGAGACAGTTAGACAGGTGGAGACAGAGACAGTTAGACAGGTAGAGAGAGAGAGCAACAGTTAGACAGGTAGAGAGAGAGAGACAGTTAGACAGGTAGAGAGAGAGAGCAACAGTTAGACAGGTGGAGACAGAGACAGTTAGACAGGTAGAGAGAGAGAGAGACAGTTAGACAGGTGGAGACAGAGACAGTTAGACAGGTAGAGAGAGAGAGAGCAACAGTTAGACAGGTGGAGAGAGAGAGACAGTTAGACAGGTGGAGACAGAGACAGTTAGACAGGTAGAGAGAGAGAGCAACAGTTAGACAGGTGGAGACAGAGACAGTTAGACAGGTAGAGAGAGAGAGAGACAGTTAGACAGGTAGAGAGAGAGAGAGACAGTTAGACAGGTAGAGAGAGAGAGAGACAGTTAGACAGGTGGAGACAGAGACAGTTAGACAGGTAGAGAGAGAGCAACAGTTAGACAGGTGGAGACAGAGACAGTTAGACAGGTAGAGAGAGAGAGCAACAGTTAGACAGGTGGAGACAGAGACAGTTAGACAGGTAGAGAGAGAGAGAGAGACAGTTAGACAGGTGGAGACAGAGACAGTTAGACAGGTAGAGAGAGAGAGAGCAACAGTTAGACAGGTGGAGACAGAGACAGTTAGACAGGTAGAGAGAGAGAGAGCAACAGTTAGACAGGTGGAGAGAGAGAGAAAGTTAGACAGGTGGAGACAGAGACAGACAGGTAGAGAGAGAGAGCAACAGTTAGACAGGTGGAGACAGAGACAGTTAGACAGGTAGAGAGAGAGAGCAACAGTTAGACAGGTGGAGACAGAGACAGTTAGACAGGTAGAGAGAGAGAGAGACAGTTAGACAGGTGGAGACAGAGACAGTTAGACAGGTGGAGACAGAGACAGTTAGACAGGTAGAGAGAGAGAGCAACAGTTAGACAGGTGGAGAGAGAGAGACAGTTAGACAGGTAGAGAGAGAGAGCAACAGTTAGACAGGTGGAGACAGAGACAGTTAGACAGGTAGAGAGAGAGAGCAACAGTTAGACAGGTGGAGACAGAGACAGTTAGACAGGTAGAGAGAGAGAGACAGTTAGACAGGTGGAGACAGAGACAGTTAGACAGGTAGAGAGAGAGAGAGACAGTTAGACAGGTGGAGACAGAGACAGTTAGACAGGTAGAGAGAGAGAGAGCAACAGTTAGACAGGTGGAGAGAGAGAGACAGTTAGACAGGTGGAGACAGAGACAGTTAGACAGGTAGAGAGAGAGAGCAACAGTTAGACAGGTGGAGACAGAGACAGTTAGACAGGTAGAGAGAGAGAGAGACAGTTAGACAGGTAGAGAGAGAGACAGTTAGACAGGTAGAGAGAGAGAGAGACAGTTAGACAGGTGGAGACAGAGACAGTTAGACAGGTGGAGACAGAGACAGTTAGACAGGTAGAGAGAGAGCAACAGTTAGACAGGTGGAGACAGAGACAGTTAGACAGGTAGAGAGAGAGAGCAACAGTTAGACAGGTGGAGACAGAGACAGTTAGACAGGTAGAGAGAGAGAGAGACAGTTAGACAGGTGGAGACAGAGACAGTTAGACAGGTAGAGAGAGAGAGAGACAGTTAGACAGGTAGAGAGAGAGAGACAGTTAGACAGGTAGAGAGAGAGAGCAACAGTTAGACAGGTGGAGACAGAGACAGTTAGACAGGTAGAGAGAGAGAGCAACAGTTAGACAGGTGGAGACAGAGACAGTTAGACAGGTAGAGAGAGAGAGCAACAGTTAGACAGGTGGAGACAGAGACAGTTAGACAGGTAGAGAGAGAGAGCAACAGTTAGACAGGTGGAGACAGAGACAGTTAGACAGGTAGAGAGAGAGAGCAACAGTTAGACAGGTGGAGACAGAGACAGTTAGACAGGTAGAGAGAGAGAGAGACAGTTAGACAGGTGGAGACAGAGACAGTTAGACAGGTAGAGAGAGAGAGAGACAGTTAGACAGGTGGAGACAGAGACAGTTAGACAGGTAGAGAGAGAGAGAGCAACAGTTAGACAGGTGGAGACAGAGACAGTTAGACAGGTAGAGAGAGAGAGCAACAGTTAGACAGGTGGAGACAGAGACAGTTAGACAGGTAGAGAGAGAGAGACAGTTAGACAGGTAGAGACAGAGACAGTTAGACAGGTAGAGAGAGAGAGACAGTTAGACAGGTAGAGAGAGAGAGAGCAACAGTTAGACAGGTGGAGAGAGAGAGACAGTTAGACAGGTGGAGACAGAGACAGTTAGACAGGTGGAGACAGAGACAGTTAGACAGGTAGAGAGAGAGAGCAACAGTTAGACAGGTGGAGACAGAGACAGTTAGACAGGTAGAGAGAGAGAGCAACAGTTAGACAGATGGAGAGAGAGAGACAGTTAGACAGGTGGAGACAGAGACAGTTAGACAGGTAGAGAGAGAGAGCAACAGTTAGACAGGTGGAGACAGAGACAGTTAGACAGGTAGAGAGAGAGAGAGACAGTTAGACTGGTGGAGACAGAGACAGTTAGACAGGTAGAGAGAGAGAGCAACAGTTAGACAGGTAGAGAGAGAGAGACAGACAGGTGGAGACAGAGACAGTTAGACAGGTGGAGAGAGAGACAGGTAGAGAGAGAAAGAGAGAGACAGTTACAGGTGGAGAGAGAGACAGTTAGACAGGTAGAGAGAGAGAGACAGTTAGACAGGTAGAGAGAGAGAGCAACAGTTAGACAGGTAGAGAGAGAGAGACAGTTAGACAGGTGGAGACAGAGACAGTTAGACAGGTAGAGAGAGAGAGAGACAGTTAGACAGGTGGAGACAGAGACAGTTAGACAGGTAGAGAGAGAGAGCAACAGTTAGACAGGTGGAGACAGAGACAGTTAGACAGGTAGAGAGAGAGAGACAGTTAGACAGGTGGAGAGACATGTTACCTGGACAGGTGTTGTCTGCTGGACACTCCTCTGTCTCCTGTGATGGACCGATGCAGGACAAGCGACACTCAGGGGAACTGGAGCAGACTCTCTCTCTCTTCCTGACTCCGCCTCCTCCACAGGTCACCGAGCAGGGCGACCACGGGAGCCACAAGCCCCACCCCTTCGCTACACACACACACATTAATCACAGACATGATGATGTGTGTAAATCAATGAGTGTGTGTCCCAGGTGAGGGTTGTTCAGGTGTGAGTGTGTGTCCCAGGTGAGGGTTGTTCAGGTGTGAGTGTGTGTCCCAGGTGAGGGTTGTTCAGGTGTGAGGTTTGTTCAGGTGTGAGGGTGTGTCCCAGGTGAGGGTTGTTCAGGTGTGAGGGTTGTTCAGGTGTGAGTGTGTGTCCCAGGTGAGGGTTGTTCAGGTGTGAGGGTTGTTCAGGTGTGAGGGTGTGTCCCAGGTGAGGGTTGTTCAGGTGTGAGGGTTGTTCAGGTGTGAGGGGTGTTCAGGTGTGAGTGTGTGTCCCAGGTGAGGGGTGTTCAGGTGTGAGGGGTGTTCAGGTTGTTCAGGTGTGAGAGTTGTTCAGGTGTTCAGGTTGTTCAGGTGTGAGTGTGTGTCCCAGGTGAGGGGTGTTCAGGTGTGAGGGTTGTTCAGGTGTGAGGGTTGTTCAGGTGAGGGGTGTTCAGGTGTGAAGGGTGTTCAGGTTTTTCAGGTGTGAGAGTTGTTCAGGTGTTCAGGTTGTTCAGGTGTGAGTGTGTGTCCCAGGTGAGGGGTGTTCAGGTGTGAGGGGTGTTCAGGTGTGTGCATACCGTCGCAGCAGGTGCCGCTGCAGGGGACTGTCTCCAGTTTGTCCTCAGCGTTTTCGCATTCTGATTGGCCGATGCCGAAACACTTCCTGCTCCTCTGCGTCACTCCTTCCCCACACAGAACGTTACACGGTGACCACGGAGTCCAGGGAGACCACACGGCAGGCCTGCAAACACACCAGCAGGACCGGTTGGACTACTGAGGACCAACAGAACCCTGGTCGCACCAGGACCTCATTGGCGTTCCTCTCAGGAAGACAGACGTTTCATCAGACTTCTTCCGTTCTGACTGGCTGGTAGAGTGACTCAGATATTTAACCTCCGGGATCACCAGGACCTCCTACTGTGGCCAACAAGCAAAGCCCTGAACTCCTTCAGACGACCACCTGACCATCCGACAGCAATAACGTGATTACTGGCACCAGTACAAGGATCGGACAGTGATGTTTTCACTCTGCGGCTGAGCTCACTATACAGCTCACTACAGAGGGAGGAGTGAATGAGCGGTGATTTCAGACACAGCTATTGAAGAGGACAGGAGGACCCTGTGTTTTTTAAACCCAAGAACACACTAAGACAGATGCTGGTCCACCCCAAAGACCGCACACCCAAACACAAGAAAAGCAATCTAGTGTATGCGGTCCAATGCAGTGAGGAATGCACAGACCTGTATATTGGGGAGACTAAACAACCACGACACAAACGCATGGCTCAACACAGAAGGGCCAACTCCTCAGGTCAAGACTCTGCTGTCTACTTACATCTGAAGGACAGAGGACACTCGTTTGAGGACCACCAGGTGCACATTTTAGACAGAGAAGATGGATGGTTTGAAAGAGGTGTCAAGGAAGCATCTACACCAGGGTTGAGAAGCCGTCATTGAACAGGGGAGGGGGTCTACGCCACCACTTATCCCCCACTTACAATGCTGTCCTTTCATCACTTCCCAGGAAACTCAACAAACGTAACCTATTGGCCTCAGGTGAAGATACCAACGATGGTCGTTCAGTCTTGGCCTCAGGTGAAGATACCAACGATGGTCGTTCAGTCTCGACCTCAGGTAGTCTTAACGACCGTAACGACTGTCGTCACAGCAACAAGGAACACTAACGAACCAGCGGTATCGATGACCCGGGCCAACGACCCCACTGAGGTTAAATAGCTGAGTTTCCCTGCCAGTCAGTCAGAACTGAAGAAGTCCTTTGGATGAGGGACGAAACGTCTTCCAGTATCTTCAACCAAGTCCAGTTGCCCTTGATTTTAACCTTCGTTGGAGAACTATGACCTGGATGACTGAGACATTCAGACAAAAAGCTAAACCTCCAACAAGCCTGAAGACATGAGGACGGGACTAAACGCCCGAATGTCTTCACGGATGAGGTTGGAATAAAGTTTAGATAAGATGATGTCACCACAGCGTGTGTGTGTGCGTGTGTGTGTGCACTGACCCACAGGACTGACACTCTCCATCTGCTTCCTGGTAACCATAGTGATGGTTCTGACAGCAGTCGTCTTCATCCACCTCGCCGAGGTCTTCATCACACTGACCCAGGTCGAAACGTGCAAAACACCGCACACACTCTGCACACACACACACACACACACACACACGTGTAAACAAAAAAAGAACAGGAAGATGTTGTGTGTGTGTGTGTGCAGAGTGTGTGTGTGTGTGTGTGCAGAGTGTGTGTGTGTGTGTGTGTGTGTGTGTGTGTGCAGAGTGTGTGTGTGTGTGTGTGTGTGTGTGTGCAGAGTGTGTGTGTGTGTGTGTGTGTGTGTGCAGAGTGTGTGTGTGTGTGTGTGTGCAGAGTGTGTGTGTGTGTGTGTGTGTGTGTGTGTGTGCAGAGTGTGTGTGTGTGTGTGTGTGAGTGTGTGTGCAGAGAAGTGTTTCCAGGATTTCGACACAGGGGAAAGTTTCTTCATGTTTCCGATCAATTGTTACACAATTTTAGGCAAATTTCCAGAAACCTCATCAACAACAAACACAAACCAGAGTTTAATTTAGTGAAAACTGCTGCAGGAGCTCCTCCCCCTCCTCCTCCTGCTCCTCCTGCTCCTCCTTCACTGGGGCGGCTGTGGCTCAGGAGTTAGAGCGGGTTGGCCGTTAATCGGAAGGTCGGCGGTTCAATGCCTGGCTCCCCCTGGCTGCATGTCAAAGTGTCCTTGGGCAAGATACTGAACCCCGAATTGCCCCTGGCTGGCCGCCAGTGTATGAATGTTAGTTTCCGTTTGAGCACTTAGGATCAGTGTATGAATGTGAGTGACTGGTGAATGCAGATGTAGTGTAAAAGCGCTTTGAGTGGTCGAAAAGACTAGAAAGGCGCTATACAAGTACGGAGCATTTACATTTACATTCACTGCTGTTTGGTGTTTAGACCATTTTCACATTTTGAATTAGTCACAAAGTGAAAGGTGGACACGTGGAGAGCTGGGTGACCAGCAGCGAACTGACAGCAGGGTTTGTGTCCTCGATAGACGCACATGTAGAAGAAGAAGAAGAAGAACCAGGAGTCCGTAGACTAGAAACCCTCCTCAGAGTAGGACTGAGATCATTGATGAAGCTTCAACACGAGTGAGACGTCGCTGTTATACCTGCACTCTCTGGGACAAAGTAGAAATTATTATAATATTTAGTAGTTGCAGGAACAGTGCGGAGTTTTAGACACGGCAATATAAATATTAAAACTCATGTAATTATGCACATGCTCCTTTCAGATTTACTGGCATGGTAAAGGAATTAAAGGCCGGTGAGTTCAGCAATTTAAGAAAATAAAAGCCGGGGCGTAGAAGTTTTACGGTAGCTTAACCTCATATGAGACATGCAAAGTACAAACAAACCAGGCAGCCTTTCACGTTTCGTCAGCACATCCTCTACATCAGGTTGAGCGAAAAAACAGACCGGACATCAAATGACTGAAAGCAATACAGAAATAACAGGATCTGAAAAGGTAAATACATAAATAAAATGAAAAAGGAAAATAAATAAATAGAGCTGCCTTAAATGGACTTAAACCTGCTCAATGATGAAACCACCTTAAAAGCTTTCTTGTAGGATGTAATCTCCCAAAGGCTCAAACTGGGTTTAGTCTAAACGAATCTACTCTTATCTGTAAATACACAGTTATATACATCAAAATTAAAACTTACTCCTGTTTGTTGGTCAAATGTCATTTAAAAAAAAGTTAACTTCTTTAACCTGGGGAGGGGGAAGTGGACATGAAAACCTCTTTGACTTTAAATTCCTACTGGGTCAGGACCCTCAAGCAGGAGGTTTCTAATAACCCTGTTGGCACATTTATCAACACAAAGGTCAGTTCCATCAAAACAACAGCAGCAGCCTCTGAGTCCAGATCTGAGAGGGACCGTTTGGCTCGGATCACTCCATCATGGTTTAACAGAACACAGGAGGTTAAAGTTTTTACATCCTGCAACAAATTTCCATTATCATCCATCAGCAGAGCAGCAGCTCGCTCCTCTGTGCACACAGATTTTCTGTTACGTGGTGTGAAGTCGTGTTTATTTGTGAACTTCCAGTAAAGAAGAGTTTGTTGGCCTCTAACACGAGAGGCTGCGGTTTCACTTCCTGTTTCACGCTAACTACAGATTGTTTTTTAAAAAAGCATGACCTCGGCCATTCGCCGAGCTGAGCCCTGTGGGTGTTATTGTAACCGTGGTGACGACGCTCCGCTGGCCTCGGCAGAGCTGCCATTTTAACAAAGGAACGCAGCTCTCCTCCCCTCAGCGCCGTCCGAGGACAGCCAGTAGAAACTGGCGACAGCTTCAGGTAACACCACCAGCCTTCTCCCGTCAGGCTGCAGATTCAGACAGCTGCTCTACAAACAAGAGGACGCCGTGGGAAACGTTTGGTTCTCTGCGCTATAAGAGCACCAAACTCACAAACTCATGATGCCACTGCTGTGTGAAGGTTGCTCTTTTAGGTAGAGTCTGTGAGGACAATAACCACTGAATCTGAGGGGGCGTGGCGGGGGCCCAGAGTCTGCACAGCGGCCCGGGGTCAAATCCTGCCTGCAGCCCTTTGCCGGGTGTCACTTCTATCTCTGTCTCCCCTATTAACTCTCTGTGCACTGTCCTTTCAAAATAAAGGCAAAAAAACATGTGAACCTGAGGGTCACGTCAGAGCAGAAAACACTTCTTCTATGGGAGCTGAGTGCAGGTTCTGCACCACATCTGATCACATGTGCATGCTCACAAGACAGAAACTGGATTGATTTGATCCAGATCCAGGTTTAAAGCAACACTCGGTTGGTTCTCCTCATTGTTTCACACAGAGCTCGTTTGTTGTCTTCACAAGCTGTGACAGTCGGTCGGTTCAGAGAGGCGTCACGTGGAGACAAGAGCAGGACTGATGTGATGTAGAAATGAATGTTTAAAACGTCCTAATATGACGTCTGCTTTCTCCAGGACCTCAGAGAGAACGGCTAGATCCAGGTCTATAGATGACCTGGATCTAAAGCAGTTTTTAAAAGAAGGGGTTTAATTCCAGCTACTTTAAAATGTAAATGTAAACGCTCCGTACTTGTATAGCGCCTTTCTAGTCTTTTCGACCACTCAAAGCGCTTTTACACTACATCTGCATTCACCAGTCAAACACATTCATACACTGAGCCTAAGTGCTCAAACAGAAACTAACATTCACACTCATTCATACACTGGCGGAACAGCCGCCAGGGGCAAATCGGGGTTCAGAATCTTGCCCAAGGACACTTCGACACGCAGCCTGGAGGAGCCGGGGATTGAACTTTAAAGGACTGTTGTTACTCAGCCTGCTAACAAAGACAGGCTGACAAGGGCGTCACTCTGTGTTGAGAAGTGGTGGAGACTCAGATTAGAGCTGTGAAGAGACACTTAGCTGGAGAGACATCACGATATCAGGTTCACGAGAACGAGACGAAAACATCCTTAAACAGTGTTTTAAAGATATCCTGATCCTGATGTCTGAGGGGGCCTCCCACCTGGAAATTTAGATCTTTAAACACTTTTCTTTACGTTTCTGCACCAATTTATGGGGGAAATGTTTGTTATTTATGTAAAAGGAAACAAAATTCAGGTGACAGTTCAAACTATATAAATCTAACAGAATCTAAGTGAGAGCAGCTTTCAGAGCTGTTTCTCATGCAGATCAACTTCTCTCCTGTAATATCATCCTGCTGAGGCCTGATTTAGTCTTCACTCCTCTTTGGTCATGTTCACAGGGAGAGAACGGAAAACTTAGCCAAAAACAAACTGTGTCCAGAAGTTGTTAAAGTTACTGACTGCTGCATGTTTTTGGGTCATTTCATTATTGTGCTGCATGTTTTCTTAATGTGCAAATAAACCTTTCTAAATTAATTTGTAAACTACTTTCTTATTTAACTGCAAGCTATATTTCAGACAAATTATGCTTAAAAGAGTGATGTGGACAAAATCAGCCATTTGAAAAGGTGCTGGGGACCCAGAGTTCACCTGTGCAGCTCGATCACTTCTAGTAAAGACGAGCCGACTGAGGTGAGAAGACATTTTGAAATGTTCTTATATAAAGAGTTTGTTCCTGCAGCAGCAGAAGTTTCAGCTTCACCTTCAACATGTTTCAGAGCTACAGAGAAACGACCCTCTCATCCTAAACTCACGTTCAGACGGCGGTTTACTGACCTGAACGCTCCACCGAGACCAGCAGCAGAACCACAACCAGCAGAACCCTCAGGACCGTCAGAACCTCCATCCTGCTGCTGCTGCACAGAAGTGAAGACGGAGAGCAGCAGCTTCACTTTCTCTTTCAGCAGCACCCCCCCCCCTCTGCTGAGGGAGTGTTTGCATTCGTCAGGTTCTGCCTTTGTGTCAGGGAGGAGGGTCGGCCCGCAGGGGAAAGTCCCCCGAGGGACGAAAACTGTTTGTTTGCTTTAGACTCTGATAGAATTAAAACAAAACCTACTGAGATACAATCAGCTGGTTCTACTTAAAGGGTTACTAAACCATTTGAATCTAAAAAGCTCACGCTTTTATCCAAAGTGACTTACAATTTCTATACATGTCAGAGGTCACACATGTCAGGGGGATTGAACCCGGATCAGTCACACCAAAGGCATGTGTCTCATCCATTGCGCCATTACCACCACAAGTTATAGTAATTTAGGAGCCCAAAGTGTCCGTGTCCTCTTTCAAACTGCTCCCAGACTGTGAGGATCATTAGAGGCTGCAGTCGGCTGAAGTTGATGTGAACAATGAACAATATAAGGGACCCCTCCCCCCCGTGCTGTGGACCCCGGCGGTGCAGCACTTCGCAGCTCGTCCCTCTGCACTCTGAAGATGATCAGCAGCTTCAGTCACCGGTTTCTGATCGTCGTCAGAGGAACATCATGGAGCACGGCTGCGAAATAAATCCTGAAATCCACAAAGGAAACGAGTCAAAACAGATCGATAAGCCCACACCTTTTATTTAAAAAGGACGTTTTTCAGAGGATTATTTTGTTACAGTGGACAAATGAAGGGGGCGTGGTTACCCCAGCGTGTCGAGGCAGGCCCCGCCCCTTGACACCCAAAGTACCCTTTTATCAAGGAAAGATTTCCTTTTTTATTCAAGTATTTTCGGTAAAAGCCCTTTTGTGAAGGCCTGCCCAGTCTAACTGTCGGTAGAATGAATGAATAATAATTTAGCTGTCAATAAAATGACCCACACGATGACCTCATCCGGGACATTTCCTCACCTGCAGACACCTGCTCAGTCTCTACACGGTTTGAACTCAGCTGCACCTTCAGGAAACAATTGTATCTCCGGTAAGTGGAGTTTGCAGCGCTGTGATTGTTGTGGGAAGAATTTTACAAGAGAGAGCTGCCTGGAGCCTGGAGCACCAATGCTAACAGTGCTTAGCCTCGAGCTAACGCGCTCCACAGCAGAATGACACCTCAGTTCATTCTGCTTCATTCTCTGTTCACTTAGTTCTGCTGCTTGAAGGAGAAAAGGTTGACCGGCGCCCAGAGGTCTGATCTTTGGACTAAAGGCCAATTATACTTCAAACTATTATTATTAGTATTTATTTAAAAAACGTAGTGTGCTTTAAATATAATTATCACAACGTTGGTAAAACAGGCTTATTTATCCGAATTATACTCATCGTATTATTTAAATTCAGAACAGGACTGGAACAGACAGACAGATATTTTCTCTTCAACAGCAACAGAAAAACAACCATATAAACTTAAGACACACTTTAGTTTCTTTATAATAAAAATCTAAATGTATCTCAGACTCACAATAGAATTTGGTGAAATCATGGTCACAGTAAAACATACTGTAAACACACTTACACCTCTGTCTGTAGATTTGTCTCGCTCATGGACACCCTCGTCCTTTCCTACATTAATGTCTCCTCCTCAGGTGTCATTTATAGTTGTATAATTATATTTATACATTTTCTCCTGCCAGCAAATTTTTTGTTTCCCTTTTTATATAAATAAAAACATTTCCAACATGTAGGAGCAGAAAATGTCTCCAGAATGCAGGAAATTTAGTATTTAATGCTCCAATTTTTCATATATTTCAGGTTAAAAATCCTTTTGTCCCCACCACTTTTCAACACAAAGAGACGGCCTTGTCTCTGAGAGCAGCTCCTCCTCCTCCTTATTATTAGCAGCAGCTGCAGCAGGTCAGTCACAGTGAACCAGCTCAAACACTGTCAGCGATCATCTTTACAACATAACAAATGTTTAATCAGCCAATATATATCTCCTCTGTTTGCTTTAATGTCTGTACTGTCAGATCACCTCCAGCAGGATCAGCAGCAACGACAGCAACTGTTGCCTGTAAGTAAAACTGGAGCTGAGTATTTCCTAAATGTTTTCACTTATTAGAATATTTTACATGTCCAGAAATGGAAAGTGAAGCGATGTGGTTCCTCCACAAAAAAACAAGAATTTCTCTCATAAATGTTTGAGTCTTATTTCAGAGATTATTTAAGTGTTTTACTTTGTAGGGTTGTGATCATTTATTTCCTATAAATTTACCACTTTCATCGTAGAAATCTGTATTTTTTTTCTCAGATTATTTTCCCTCTCTTCTGGCTTCATATAAACAATGGACTTGAGTTACATCTGGATCATATTACACATAAGAGTCCATAAAATACTAAATTACAACAAGGACACTGAAGATAAAAGTTTACTGAAGGCGCGGCCAACACGCCTCTCTGAGTTTGTCGGTCTCCGCGTTGTTAGATTGGTCCAAATGTTTCTTTGAACTCCTCGTATCCTGACACGGAGCAGGAGCTGTTATGAAAACCCCTTCATGCGAACGGACACCAACTCCAATTAAATGAACAGACTCAACTAACCAACATCTTAGGCCCCTGTCCAGACTAAAACGACGAAAACGCAGACCTAAAACGGAGAAGTTTAGAAACGCTGCCGACCCCGTTTTGCGTTTCAAAACTCCGGAGGACGTTTTAGTGAAGACGGGCCAAAACATAGGACTTTAGAAACGATGACGCAGCTGCTCGGCTCTCTGATTGGGTCTTGCAAAGCAGAAGCACGATGCTACTGTCCGGGTTTAAAAATATCATATTTTTATTATAATATTCTGTAGAGTGCAAATAACCCTTGTACTGTGCATGTCGCCGTTTACTTTGTGACGACTGCCAGTCTGCTTTCCGCTGCCACACTCCCGGGTTACATTCAGTAACAGTCCCAGCTCATTATTGATGCTTAGTCTGTATTTATTTATTCTTTCGCCAAATCTTCTATAACCAGGAAGAGACCATCTGCTTCATGTTTACACTGGCACGCGCATACCCAGTGCACCTGAACGGGCCCTACTGTGTCGTTTTACAGTAGACTGAAATCAACTCCAATGATGATACCATAAGTCAGGTTAGGTGGTGTAGAAATGCAGGACGTATGTTTTCAGTGCAGTCCCCCCCCCCACACACACACACGCAAGTTATGTATCTGTTTGTTTGGTTCTCGTTTTAAAACGTGACCAGGTGTCCTTGCACAGGAGTGTCAGTCTGTTTACGCAAAGAAACTCTGCAAATGAGTCACTCTGTTTTTCACTTTGAGTCGATGGCAATAAAGTTCACTGACCTCCAAACTGACTTTCACATGAAGCCACACGCACTCTCACACACACACACACACACACACTCTCACACACACACACACACACACACTCTCACACACACACACACACACACACTCTCACACACACACACACACACACACACTCTCACACACACACACACACACACACTCTCACACTCACACGGACTTGTGTCACTATCTTCGTGACAAAGAAGGAAAGAGGAACAAAAAGAAGAAGGAAGTAAAAAGAAAGTAAAGACTTCATGAAACAAAACTTATTGTGCTGAATCAGCTTCAAGTAGTTTTTACACATACAAAGAATTTGCTTTGGTGACCTGCATAAAGGACATAAACTATTTACATTCTCCTCCCAAAGTATTGGAACGGTGAGGCAAATTCCTTGGTTTTTGTTGTTCATCTTTTGATCTTAAACCCAAATGTCTTCAGTGAACAACAAAAACAAGAGTTTGCCTTCTCGTTCCAATACTTATGGAGGGGACTGTAAATGTAAATATATGAAATAAACGGGACATACAAGCACCACAAATCCAGCTACTGCACATACGGCCAATGGGAAGGTAACGTTGCTGGAACTAATCCCCAAAGCTGCAGTGATGTTGACCGGAACGTGTCCTGCGTCTCTGGGAAATACAACCTTCACGAGTAAAAAGCCAATAGTTTGTCAGTGCCAGGGGAGCAGTTAGAGGTTCAGGGGCTCCTTTAACAGCCAACAGACTGAACTAATGCCGCCCAGTAGAAGAAATAATGGGAATCAAAACGCTGCAGTAAGGACGTTAGCCCTGTTCGTATATCGTGACTTTGCTGATGTAAATGAAAAAGGCGTTTTTGTCTTCTCTTATTTAACATTGGCTGAATAAATCAGCTGAGAGACTGAACTTTGTATTCCCTCAAAAATTAAAAAAACGCCCCGCACCAGGATTCTTCTCTAAATAGGTTAATCAAGCAGAGTGACAGGCTGATCCTGGAGCATCAACCTACCTTTGAAAGTCATATCTTCCCCCAAGAGAGGGAAGAAAAGTCCAGCAGAACAACTTTCAACAGAACGGTGAGCACAATCACAACTTAACTGTTAAAGTCAGCAGTTTAGATTGACAGCAGTCAGCGTGGAATCTAGCTTGATACATATTTGTGTTGTTGGCTAGAACATAAATCATTACTGTAACCGTCACCACAGACTCAGGGACCAAGAGAGGAAGGGGGCCCACAGAGACTGCTCGTGTATAGGGTCTAGAACTGGAGCTCATCAACATCGATGGTTCGCTTTCTAATTTCCTCAAACATCTTGGACATATCGAGTCTGTTAATCTGAATTATTTGATGATTCGTGTGAACAGCTCTCCAACACGGACCCAAACCCACCACAGAAGAACACCTTTAAAACAACCACAACCAGGATTTATTACCATAAAGACAAACAAACAACCAAGACGATAAATCAGAAATACCAGAAGCTTAAACTCCGACTCCCAGGCTGAGATGCAGCAGACAGCCGAACCCGTTCTCTTCTGATGGCGTCACAGGAGCTTTAACCTGGCCAGGTGGGTCTCATTTAGCAGTCAGCTGTAGCTGACAGAACAGGAGGAGATTCGGGATTATTACGCCAATCTGCCGGCTTGCCGCGGTGTGTGAAAGGTACCGAGCCGGATAGGGGGGGGTCAGATTTGACACTAACTGAGGCGGAACGATGTCTGTGTGAACAGTGAACAGGAGTGACGTTTCGAGCTGCTGTGTTACAAGTTGCAGCCTTTTTTAAACGGTCTAACTCTGAGAGTCCACTGACTCCGGCAGCAGCATGGTTTTGTTAAGTTTGCAGCCCGAGTCAATGTCCACTGGAAGCGTGTCATCACTGACCTGTTGTTAATGTTGTCATTTTTGTGCTTCTCCTACCTTCTTCACAGCTCTCTGTGACCCCGTTTTGTTCGGTCAACATTTGTTGACGTTTCTAGATTTTGTTCATTTGGTAATTAGCGCCTGCTTTTGTGCTTCTACTATGAAAGTATGCTATGTAGTTAAATGGTTTCTTTTTTAATAGTGTTAAATGTTGTTTATGATTGGTAGTCTGCACAGGGTATTTTATTTAAAAAATTGACCGGATGAGCTCCGGCAGCCGCGGCGTAGGCGGACTCAGTGGAGGTAACCCGGAAAGCCAGAATGCTATGTGAAAGCACACGCGGTGCCGGGATTACGCCGCAATATTTTGTTCAGCAGAACGAGCGAATGTGGTATAATGGCGGACGTTCTTTCCACGTTTATTGCAGAATCTCTGTGTGAAAGCGGCTAAACAGCAAAGCTGGAACGATCACTGTTTAGAAAACAGCTGTAAAGTTTAAGGGGCGGCGTGGTGGTGCAGCGGTTAGCACTGTCTCCTGCTAATGCAAACGTGGGTTAGGGCCCTCCAGCAATAATTTAATTACTTTGATAGCGGCAAACAAAAAAGTTACAGCGGCTGGTGCGGAAATAGATCTCAGTCACGACAGCAAAAGTTATTCACATAATCACTTCCTCTTAAGTGATTTTTGCCTCCAAAATGAAACGCAATACCGTTTTTGCAGCAGAACTTTAGGTCGCGTGAAATTGAGAGATTTTACTTTGAAAAGTTCTGAAGGAAAGAGTCTCAGTTTAAATGCTTTGATATTGGAACAGTGGAGAACTTGGTAACGTGTCCAAAAATGATACCTGATTCATTCCTATGGGCTCAAACACCGGGGTCCTCACGCACCACAGAGCATGCTCAGTAGAGTCCTTCTCCTGCCCAGCAGACACGTTAAATGTTTATTAACATTTATTAACAACATTTATTAAACTGTACGGATCACATTCTGATAATAACTTGAGTCATTTCAGGGGTTTTGACGCTCAAAGTAAAATGTGTTCACCGGTTTACAACCCTGTAGAGCCACGACACCAAACTTACTTCACAGCCTCACTGCTGCAGTAAAGATATATTCAAAGTAATACTAATAATATATAAATTGGAACAAAGTATTTCTTTTCTTTTTCTTCAGATGCAGTATTCCATCAGCTCAAACTCATGTTTGCACCACAAGATGGCGCCAAAGGTCATCTAATCACGCTCCCCTCTCAAGTTGGACTTGATGGTCCTGTCGCTTTGTTCCATTTCTTTCTTTCCCCTTTATTCTCACATCATTTATATAGATGCAGCTGGAACATACGACATGTCCAAATGTACTGCTCTGTGTAAGAAGTTAAATGAACAGCCAAGGCTATTTCTTTTCTTAATATAAACTATATGTTAAAGGACAAAGTACCAGTCAGTCACAATCACACGTTCTGCATAAAGGTGAAACATAATGCAGGAACACGTTTTATTTAGCAAATGATGTTTCCATAGAAAATAAGGCTAGAAAATGAAGATCTTAGTTGGGAGTGAAAACACATTTATTCTCATTTCCAGCCATGTGCAACTCTACATACAGACGTGTGTGTGTGCGCACACACACACTGATTTAAACTGGACGTTGTTGGGAGATTTATTAGCGCTGTGTGGGAAATGTCTGTGTTGGGTGACAGGGAACAGCTGCTGTATCTGTTCCAACTGTAGACTTACAGCTTACACAGAGACACTGAGGAATCACTACCAAAGAACGGGTCAACCCCCAAACTAAACTCTAACCCAAACCCAAAGCCAGGATAAAGAGGTTCAGTGAATGTGGTGTTGAAGGTGTGGAGGTGGATCAGTGTGTCAGAGGAGACTCTGTAGAAGGACAGAGAGCCAGCAGGACAGTCCACATACACTGCTGCTCTGTTAGAGGAGGAGGAGGAGGCGGGGCAGGAGGCGGGTATTACTTTCCCTACGCCATTATGCCAGACAGAGATCCGGTCGAGAAAGCAGCTGAGACTCCAGGACTGATCATTCCTTCCAAACCTCCAGTGAAAATCGCTTCCTTTCCTTTCGACCCCTCTGTAAGTCACTGCGATGTTGACGTCTCCTCTCCACTTGACCTCCCAGTAACAGCGACCAGTCAGTTCATTTCTGCACAGCAGCTGCTCCCTGGTGTCAAACCGGTCTGGGTGATCAGGATATGGCTGGTAGTTTGACAGCGTCACCTTCCTGTTGTCGTTAGACAGTTTGAGGAATGTGTTCGCTGTGTTTGGGTCCAGCTCCAAATCACAGGCATCTGATGGAGAGAAAAATACAAGTGAGGACTTAATATTGTTGTTCTACACGTTACATTCTGGGTAAATAGACACCGCTTGATCTCATGATGCAGTTGTGGGTTTGAGAAGAAAGTCTGTCCCATAAATCTATCACACAGGTGCTTTCACTCTGGACAGGGAACCTCAGTTATTAAGTCTGTGTGAGTTGTGCAGATTTACACTGCACTCTGTTTTAATTAATTCCAGTTTGTACATTTGGCCCCTGGAGTTCCTGGTGAGTTCTGTATGTTGTTAGTTTCAAATAAATGTACAGTTGGCACTGTAGGAGCTATTTATGTTTATTGTTGGCATGATATTTTATTTCGTTTGGACATTCATATTAGAATTTTGACACTGGGTGGCAGTGATTAGATGCACATGGTTGTCTATAGGGGGCGTAGGTGACAGGAAGTAGTAGGCACAGGTAGGGGGAGCACAAACGGTTCTCACCAGACCACCGAACAGTATGTTCATCCATTTGTACTATTCTCAACTGCAATGAAATCTGGGATATCTTGTCTGTCTGCGTAAGACTTCACTATCTACCTACCAGTGTATGATGGCAAAGAGACTGGAAATCAAAGCTAAAGGTAAAGCAAAGAAAAAATTGCCTTTACAGGCACATGTTCAAACATTCCAGGGATCACATTTTTCTAAGTGTGAGGTCGAAAAATCAATATACATTTAGTCTGATTAGACCATTCAAAGCTGGTCTGGCAGATAAAATCTGAGTGACGAAGTTGGTGTAATGACTATATTTTTCCCCACCTTCCTAAAGTAAGTAATTGACTGGCAGTACCTCATTATAAACTCCTATTAACAATATTTAATTGGATATGATCTGCTAAGTCCTGACTGGAAGCCAGTGAAGGTGTAACACCTTGCAAACATGACTGAGGATGACTCGAACCAGTTTCGGTTGAGGCAGTTGGCCACCCACCCCAAGTTTAGGTTCTGCGTGAGGTTTCTACCTGTGAAAAGGGAGATTATCTTTGTCATCGTAAACAAGTTCTTCCTTCTGGTTGGAAGTTTTGGGTCTCTTTAAATATCTTTACAACTTGGTGTGCATTTTCACTGCGTTAACCATCATCTTGATTCACTGTAGGATTTTACTGAATATATATTTTAACATTGCTATATGAATAGTTCTATCTACTGTTCAAATGACTTTAACAAAACACTTACACTTCCTCGAACCAGGTTTCAACCTCTGCTCTCCACCGTGGTCCACCCTGCAGAACCAAACACAGTCAGACACTGGTGATGCAACAGAGTGACCGTACTATATGCTTATGGTACAGTAGAGCAAAGTGGAGAGCATATTTTTGTCAGTCCATGCCCCAGTGTGTCCAGTCTGGTGTCAGCCCGTACCTGAGAGTGTCCAGTCTCCAGTGTGGATTGTCCAGTCCAGCAGACAGCTGCTTCACTCCTGAGTCTCCTGGATGATTGTAGCTCAGGTCCAGCTCTCTTAGATGGTAGGGGTTGGAGGTCAGGGCTGAGGCCAGGAAAGCACAGCCCTCCTCTGTGACCATACACCCTGACAGCCTGCTTGACCATATATAATTAGATTAGGTTTTTACTGTTGCTGATATGAACAGTCAACCCAAAAATAACCAAAGCTCTGTAGAAGTCCTCTCATCATATCGAGATCCTCAGCATTTGATTCATCCTTTCATCACCATCACCAGTGTCTAGATGTCTAGGTTTTATTTCTATACCTCTATGGCTTCACCACTCTCTTTTAAATAGCATGTGATGCCATGCCCTCACTTTTGCTGATAATAACCATAATTATTATATAATATGGTGGTAAATGGGGGTGGTGATGGCTCAGTGGATAAGACGCATGGCTTTGGTGTGAGAGACCCAGGTCTCGCCAGGTTTTTCACTGAGTGTGAAAGATTGCTCAGGAGCCTACCCACCCCGAGCAGCCTCACTTTGTCAATCCCACAGTGCAAGCGACAACCAGCAGCTCAGGAGGTACAAAACTGGCAAGGTCCCTGGCTCTGACGTCACGGGAAGGCTGCCCAAGAACTGTGCCCTGGAGCTCTCTCCTGTTCTGCAGTCACTTTTCAAAGAATCACTACTAACTGTCCGCACCCTCTGGAAAACAGCCAGAGTTGCGTGCCTCCTTCACACACTCCTTCAACATCTGGACTCCTATGGCCACTATATCAGGATTCTCTTTGTAGACTTGAGCTCTGCCTTCAATAGAATTCAGCGCCACACCATGATAACCAAACTCCACCACTTCCATGTGTCACCTCTGCTCATTTGCTGGATTCATAATTTCCTAAGTGACAGATCACAGGCAGTGAGGGTGGGAAGCACCACATCCACCACCATTACTGTCAACACCGGAGCCCCCCAAGGCTGCTCCTCGGTGTCTTTCTCTACACACTGTACACCAGTGACTGCCTTAACCCCTCTCCCATTACAAAATACTTCAAATACTCTGATGACACAGCCATACTCGCCCTCCTCTCTGACACAGAATCAGTTACAGCATATCACCAATCCATTGCCCACACAATGGTGTAAAGTCAGTCACCTCCTCCTCAACCTCACCAAGACAAAGGAACTCATCCTGGACACATGCCGTAAACTCTCCACCCCTCACTGCCCCATCTCCATGAACGTCCAGCCAGTAGAAATTGTTGACAGCTTCAGGTATGTCAGCACCATTATGGACACATCACAGACATCCATTTTTCATTATTAAATCTTTGAACTGTACCTGATCTGCCTTCTGGCATCTGCATTTGGGCCTAATTCCTTGTTTTAGTGGTAAACCGCTAGCACGACTGTGAGAGAGAGCAGCAGTTCAACAATATAACTAGGAGCTAAACTATGAAGGGTTTCAAAGGTGATCATTAAACTCTTAAAATTAATTGTAACACCAGCGAAGAGGCTGAAATAGAGCTGGGATGTGGTCTTCTATTCTCTGTTACAAGCTTAGCATCTGCATTTTGTACTAGCTGAAGCTGTGAGATTATTTTGACTCAAACCTGAATAAAATGGATGAGAAAATACTTGGGATATGAATATGGAACAGAACTGGCAACGTAGGCGTGAGGTGGGGCAGCAAGTTTGACATCGATGTCTGTGAACCGATGACGTGAAGTGATAGAGAAACCGAGCTATTTAACTAACTACTTTAACTTAACTAACTGCAGGAATATTGTTGAGTGGCTCAACAGACTTCTCTTTGGTATGAGCTCCTCGTTTTTGCTTGTATGCTCTGATTCCTCCTGTTCAGTATTAACGTTACCCAGTTCTGAGTAAACATCTCTCATCTCCACGTTTGTTTATCGTGAATGCAAGTTTCATCTCCACAACACCGGCATGTGTGAAAGAACGGACCGCAGTGAAGTTAATTTCAATTTGGATACATTGGATATTTTACATTGGATATTCGGCAGAGGTCTGTTGAAAATACAATGTAAAACTAACTTCACCAGGTTTCTAGAGGCATTTTAAACATTCAATGGCTCTTTTTCTTGGATCTGCTGGTGGGGTGTTGCCTCAGTCTCTCATATATGTCTGTGAACAGTATGTTGATTCTGGCATGGTAGTCCGCTGTGTTTAAGACCACTGTGTATTTTCCTTTGTCAGCAGGTAGGATAGTGATGTTTTGATCCTTTCTCAGTGATGTCACAGCCTTCCTTTCTTGGATGATGAGATTGGAAGTTGTTCCTTCACATTGGAAAGGGCTGCTGATACCTTCAGCCTGAGCTGTTCTGCTGTTGTGTGATAGCAAAGTTTAATCAGAACGTCTTGCTTGGTTGGGTGAGTTCCCTATCTGACATCTTAGCCTGTCTTTCCTTACTCTTGGTGTGTAGAGATACCTATGCTTTGTTGATGAAATCAGTGACTTAAAGACTGCACACCAAATACAAGAAAAGGAATCTAGTATATGTTGTCCAATGCAGTGAGAAATGCACAGACCTATATTTGGGGAAACTAAACAACCACTACACAAACGCATGGCTCAACACAGAATGGCCAATGCCTCAGATCAAGAATAAGCACTTTTTTGAGGACTACCATGGGCACATTTTAAGACAGAGGATGGATGGTTTGAAAGAAGAGTCAAGGAAGCCATTTACACCCGGATAGACATACTGGAGTTCTGAGACACCACTTATCCCGCGCAATGCAGTCCTTTAATCTCTTCTCAGGAAGCAAGGGTTTTCCTACTGTTCAGTCAGAATCCCACTTGCCCATGATTGTTTGACAGGGACCATTTACATGGCCACGTCTCCAGAGCATACTGTACAGGTGGCTGAAAATCTCCAAATCACGCTGGCAGAGCATAGGCGATATTTTATGGGACTGGAGCAAACATTTTCATGCATTTCGATGACACCAAAGGCTGAGCTATTAAGCTAAATTGTTCCTTCACTCACTCATTTCCTAGTCACGTTGGAATATCGTAGATGCCAGCATGAACAACAATATTTATTAAGCACCCTCAAGTAACTCTTCATCTCCTTGCACTCATGCATTAGTTCCTGTTGTTCGCTGTAATTGCTGTGGCTGCTTTGACGTTCAGAATGTTGGTGTTCAATTTTGCTGTCTTCTGTATTGTAAACGGATCTTAAATTTTTTTGTAACTATCAGTTATCCTGGCCTTTAAAATTAACAAAAGGTAATGCTAAATCAAACAATGACTGGTTTGGCCTCTTTTGTTAACAAGGATTTTGTGGAAATACAAGTGAGGTACAGAACTTCATTTTCAAACAATACCGTGGCCTCGTTTTTACTGATAATAACCATTATTATTGTAAACTGTTAATAGTAAAGTGCAGGGGAAAAAAACTGAAAACTAACCTGAGAGTTTCTAGTGTACAATGTGCACTCTCCAGTCCAGCAGACAGCAGCTTCACTCCTGAATCCTGCAGGTCATTGTTACTCAGGTCAAGATCTCTCAGACTAGAGGACTGGCAGCTGAGGACTGAGGACAGAGCTTCAAGACTTCTCCATGACAGTTTACAGCCACTTAATCTGAAGAAGAGGAAATCTGAATTTATACTATGTAAAGTGGTTATGACTTAACTACAGCAACAACTGTCTGCAGTGTACGGCTTAGGCTCTGTTATAGTTGACTTGCGCCTCCTCAAAAATGGAGGAGGCATGTCAAGATACAAACAACATGTCACTAACATGTTGCAATGACATGAAGCAATAAATCGTCACGTTTGATTTTATGGGTATATCCATTTATCTGTGCACATACAGAGCTTTCTTGGAGGCTTTGACCACTGGCAGCAGCATCAGAAGAGCTTTCTCTGAAGCAAAATATTTCTTCAGGTCAAACACATCCAGATCTTTTTCTGTTGACAGTAAGATGAAGACCAGAGCTGACCAGTGAGCAGGAGAGAGTTTATCTGTGGAGAGACTTCCTGAACTCAGGGACTGTTGAATCTCCTCCACTACAAAACAATCCTTCAGTTCATTCAGACAGTGGAACAGAATGATGCATCTTTCTGGAGTGGGGTTCTTCCTGATCTTCTTTTTGATGTACTTGATTGTCTTCTGGTTGGTCTTCGAGCTTCTTCCTGTCTGTGTCAGGTGGCCTTGTAGGAGAGTCTGATTGTTCTTCAATGAAAGACCCAGGAGGAAGCGGAGGAACATGTCCAGGTGTCCATTTGGACTCTGTAAGGCCTTGTTCACTGCACTTTTGTGTACACTTGTTGCAGAGGTTTTGCTGAAACATTTATGCAGACTTTGGAGTGTCTGTCGTGGTGCAGGCATGACATTTTTGTTGTGGTCAAAGAGCGATATGTTCACATGAAGAGCAGCCAGAAACTCTTGAATGCTCAAGTGGGCAAAGCAGAACATCATATTCTTGTCCTCATCCTTCTTCTGCCCACATACTTGTTTGAAGATCTCTGTGAATACTCCTGAGTACTTTGAGGCTTTGCTGATATTAATTTCACAGTGTTTCAGGTCTTCCTTGTTAAAGAGGGTGTTGCTTTTCAGTAACTGGTGAAAAGCTAGTTTTGCCAGTGACTGAATGTACTGAATGCACTTTTCTGGGCCATACTTTGCGTGATTGATCTGAAACACCAGGAAGTGGATGTACATCTCAGTCATGGTCTTGGGCAGCTCTCCTCCCTCTCTGGCCTTCAACTCCTCCAGAACTGTAGCAGTGATCCAGCAGAAGACTGGGATGTGGCACATGATGTGGAGGCTTCGTGATGTCTTGATGTGGGAAATGATTCTTCTGGCCTGCTCCTCATCTCTGAATCTCTTCCTGAAGTACTCCTCCTTCTGTTCGTCGTTGAACCCTCTGATCTCTGTCACCATGTCAACACACTCAGGAGGGATCTGATTGGCTGCTGCGGGTCTTGTCGTTATCCAGACGCGAGCTGAGGGAAGCAGTTTCCCCCTGATGAGGTTTGTCAGCAGAAAATCCACAGAAGTGGGCTCTGTAACGTCAAGAGACTTACTTATTTTGCCCATAAGATCTAGTTGAAGGCCGCTGTCATCCAGTCCATCAAACACAAACAGAAGTTTGAATTCACTGTTCTCAAAGTTGGAGTCTCTTGACTTCTGTAAAGATATGAAGATGTCATTAAGAGTCTGCTCCTTAATCACGCTGGTTTCTGGGATACATGTGTGAATTAGCTCTGCCAAACTAAACCTTTCTCTCCTCCACAAGCTCAGCTGCCGGACAGCGAAGGGGAACATCAGATGAAAATCTTGATTGGCTCTTTTTTCAGCCCAGTCTAACAAAAACTTCTGCACAAGGAATGATTTGCCAATTCCTGCAGCCCCATTGGTCAGAACTGTTCTTATCGCTGTGCCTTTTCTGGAGGGGTGTTTGAAGATGTCGCTGGGTTTAACTGTTCTCTCTGATTCTCCTGGTTTTTCCAAAGTCATCTGAGGCTTCCTGACTTCATGCTGTGTGTTAGTGCGTATGTCCCACCCGTCCGTGATGAACAGCTCTGGGTTAATTTCATGCAGAAGTTCTGCATGCTGCTGCTCTATCCATCCTTGTTGTGCACACTTGAACATGTTCTGGAGCTCCGACTGCAGTGTGAGTGGGTACGATGTGTTGGGTAGTGGAGGGTGTAGTACTGGCACCGTCACAACTGTGAAGAACAAAACAGTGTTCATGAAAAAAGTTAATTTATGAAACTGTCCATTATCTGTCTCTTCCCTAGCTGTCAGCACTCAACAGATTTATCGTTTTTTGTTTTTGATTAGGAAAAGGAAATATAGAAGTGTTACACGCATGTCGCATACATGCAAGGCTCTATTTAAAGCATCAATGGAAAAATTACATCGGCACTCCAAGCTACAGAATGTATTCAAATAGACAACATTTTGATCACAGTTGGATCCTTATCAGGTAAAAATGTAGGAATTGTGGAAGCATTTTCAAACATTGATAGTAAGGTGGCTTAGCAGAAGATTCATGCACCTTGTGATCAAAGCATCAAATTTGGTAAAAAAACAAACAAAAGGGCAATGGCATTCCAAAAGATTCTGGATTGGACCATCATGAATTTTCAAAGTCTTACATATATTCTCCAAATGGCAGTTGCCAAGAACTATGCGTGGAAAATAACTTGAAGTAATTATGTCCTTACATCACTGATAGAAAATTGAGGCCATTTTGAAATTATTTCCCAATATTCAGCTTGTCTTTTCCAATAATTGTACCAAATTTCATGTTTTATCACAAAGTGCATGATTCTGATTTTCTCAGCTATGCTGACCTGACGAACATCTGCCTGGGACCGAAACGCTGTCTATTTGAAAACATTTTGTGACTTGAAGTCAGTGTGGAGGCATTACTGTTAAAAACATTTAAGTAATGTAAGCAGGCATCGTGTTTTTAGCTGATGCTGATCGACACTGTAGCCAGTTAAAACTTAAAGCAGATTAAATCAGATGTGGCTAATTAACATGAATTCCTTAATGGCTGATTGATGTACCTCTGCAGCCACGAGACTGTGTTCAGTTTTCTTAGTAGCGATTCTAAACTGAAGAAAAGAGCTGTACAATTTTGTTTGAACATTTTCTTTGTTGTTTGTACGGTTGGTTCTTTGACAGCTTTGCAAGCTCCTACACCCTGCACAGATTTAGCAAATTTTTTCATTCATTCAAAGAGGAGAACATCTGAACCTTCGGTCTGCCTGCTGACAGCTGGAGGATCTGACAGAAGAGCAGCTGGTGGTTGAACAGATGAAACTGCTTCGTTCTCTGAAGTCTCTTGAACATCATCGACTTCCACTGAGGATAGAAAGAAACAGCGATAGGTCACATTATACTTTTTACTGTACTGATGACAGCGTTTACTACGTTGTGACATTCATTGAGTTATTTACACTGTGTTACGGAGCATGTCTAACCTCAAATAGTTCCTGTTGTTAAACCACGTTATATTTTCATTTCAATGAAGGCATGTTTATCAGCTATGCTGTATTGTTAATGTTTTCTCTAGGGATGTAATGAGTAAATATTAATTTATTGATTCATAAACTAGTTATTTGCTCAGTTAACTGAGTAATTGTTTTGTCTGTATAACCTAGTGAACATGATGATGCCTTTTTTGACTAAATATTCAGCTTAGAAATACTATGGCAAATAATCACAGGAAGAACGAGTGAGTGAATTAAGTTGCTGATTAATATTTGGATATTTGACTAATCGACTTATCTTCCACTAAGTGCAGCTCTAGTTCTCTCATTGATTTACTTCATACTTGATTTTTGTGTGAGTCAATCCCCTTTCTTAGGAATTTAATTTCTTTATCAAGATTATTTGATTTTTTTTTGCCATTTTTCATCATTATAACTCAGCGATAACCCCGCCTGACTTTGTGTCTATTAGGTCGTTTGAGCCGTTCCCCTGGATATTCTGCAGTTTCTTTCCTTTCTCCCCCCAATCCCTTAGCCCGAAGTCTTTATGTAACTATTTTCTTGGTTCTCTACTCAGAGTCTAAAAGGTGTTGTGCCCATTGTGCTGTGTGTGAGAGAATCTGTCATTATAACATTGGGCTATATGTATGTAATATTGCAGAGTTGTCCCGGGTTCGATCGTGTCCTTGAAGCCTCACCGGCTGCAGGTGCACCAGCTGACTGACCTGCAGCACAGACACATAGTTGCATGTTATTCATTTCTGAAACTGCTGTAACTGCATGATGTGCCTGTTCTGTTTTTCTCACACTGACCTTCAGGTTCTGGGTTGCTGTTTGACAAACTCTCCACCAGATCATTCCTCCTCATCCTCTTTAAAACCCTCTTGGCCACCTCCACGCACTGATTGCTGTAAGTCTGCACCATCAGATCCACCGTGTCCGGCCTGTCTGCGCTCTCCAGTTGGCTCTTTGGGATCGGTGGGAGGTCCTTGAGGAAGTCCGGCTGCTGCAGGTACCACTTGAAGGTTTTTAGCTCTCTGTCTCCCAGATCCTCCAACGTTTCCAGCAGCTCTATTGCTGTCGCCATCGTTTCTCTGCTGAAATCACAGGAAATCTTCTGCACCAAGGGAACGTGATTTTTTTTTTTTTCATCTGGTCACTTCAGTACCTGTGGGTTTAGACGTGTGGACGTGGGATTTGGCAGTTGATATTTTTGCAGTTACATTTTTTTCCACAAAATCTTTTAAAGAGCAGTTTAATGTGTCACAAATAGGTTTTAATGTTTGTCATTATAGAATTATACCCTGACTCTTTTTTAAAGCAGTAACATTTGGGCTGGGCAATAAAACATTAATGATAATTATCAGAATATAATTTTCCTCAATGACAATATAATAAATGTTCAATATATTGTCAATGAATTTTTGATTAAATTCATTTGAATCACAAACAAATTAGCACATAATATTTAATGTGAAACATTAATTTTGTTGAGAAAAGGGGACTAAAAAAAGATTTACCAATTTGTTGAAAAATATTTTATCATAATAGTTTTGAATGTTCTACCTCTGATTTGTGATGTCATCCACTGTTTGGCAACAAGCGTTGGTAACAATCTGCCCATATAGAAAAGTTTAACCACATAATCTGGTTTCTTTACCTTTCACTCAGGAGCAAAAATCTGCCTTTAAACTTGTAAGAAATAATGATTTTAAATATATCATGATAATTATCGAATGATGTGAAATGTTTTTATCGTGATAACATTTTTGGCCACATCGCCCAGCCCTACTGCAGCATAATAATATTTTATTTGTAAAGTGTTAAATATGTAAGCCCCGCTGTGGTCCAGAGGCTTACTGTCCATCAGCAGTCTGAGGCTTTCCCATCAGTCTTTACCTTTCACTTTTTGTTTCTTTTGTAATCCAGTAGATTAACACCTGATTGGGGTTTGTTTGTTTTTACGATTCTGGTGCCAAATCGATCCTTTTAAAACAGTTCCAGTGCCTGAACCAATACTTTCTATATTTAAAGTTCTTTAAATTGAACAATATATTAACTGTTTAAGATATACTTAAACATAAATCTAAGTAAATACAAAAACACAAACAAATTAGATAACAAATTCACAGTATACCAATAAATCAAACCTAACCCAACTACAGTAATTTAACATCAAATAACAGGTACAATACTAACAGCAAAATCTGTTTTGAGTTGGTATACTTGCGAATGGCGAATGTGTGATGTGTGTAGAAGCCTATCAGTTATTTATTTTCCTACCTCTGATTGGCAGAGCGTTAAGGTGGCGGTTGTTGTTGCCTCTGCTAGTTAACACATGTAGCTTGCTCCTGAGCCAGGCTTCTTTCTTTGGCGTAGGCTGTGGCTCACGGTAGCCTTGCAGTATTAAGAACGACCGAGTGAAACCGGCTGTCGTCTCGTAGCTGATGACTGAGAGACACTACAGTGAATGGTGGCAACGCTTCTTACGCCCGAGCACCAGAGCAAAAGTATTTTAATCGACACATTTTAGTGGCACCAAAATTTGCGTTCTAATCGGTGTAGGAACCGCTTCCATAGTGGAACAGACCAACCTAATGGAGACTGATCTTAAATGCAGTCAGTCCTCAGTGTCGTCCACTCCGATGGTGAATCAGTTGAAAGAGTCTCAGCCTTTCAATATATGTGAGGTTGTGCCCGTTGAAAGCTGAAACTTGCAGCAAAGAATATTTATGATTTATAAGTTAAATAAGTTTAGAAGGGACCTTCATATCCTTCAGTGTCTTCAATGATTATTACAGAGCATCCTAAGCTGGCTTGATTTGTGTGTTTGGGAACATCCATCGGTACGAAGTACAGGAAATTATAAAGACTGCCAGTAAGACCATCAGAACCAGATCAACAGCAGCTTTATAGTAAGCTTATTTTAAATAAGGGACCCGGCATCAATAATAAAACTCAACCTGTTTACCAGAAGGAAACGGCAGCACATGATCAAAACCACAAGCAACCGTTTGTTCCTCCCATCATGCAGCACTAGAGACGTTTTCGGATCTATTCTCAAGAGGTCAAGAGGTCTGAGAGCCCAACAGATCCAACAGAATACTTTGAGACACTAAAGGCTTCATGCTGCAGAGACCTGCCATGTGTACAACAGGTGGAGTTCACCCTGAAACCCCACGTCCTCTAGTAACTTAAAATAGCTTCTGTCAGTGTGAGTTTCTGTTGATTATTGTGAACGGATGCTTTGTTTGATTCTTATTTTCTAAACTTTATCCCAAAACATAAATTCTTCTTTTATGTTGTGATTGAGGATATTTGAGGGATCTTTCAGGTCTTCCTGCAGCTCCATGTTTGCTAGAGGCAGCACATTTAGGGTTACGACACCTGCATGAGTGAGTTTCCTGTACGCTGCGGTTATTTGAAGACTTTCGTAATTCGCAATCACTGACATGTAAAATTTCACTTTTAGATATATTTTTTATGCCTTTATCGGCGAGAGCACAGCGATAATGACAAATATGAAATGTGCCGTTTTTTTTTCATCTGCAGCAAAAAGGAACAAACAGCAGATAAAACTTCATCAAGGCACCAGTGAAACATATAAAGTAATGTTTGTCTTTTTATTGTTTTACTTACATTACTGATGTAAACTAACCTTTAGCAGCAAGACCATTCATCATTTAGGATAAGTCTACTTCCGTCCCTGTATCAAACAGCGGTACCTGTTGTAACTGATGGAAGACGTGACTGCCAGGATCTCTGCTGCTGCATCGGGTATCTTGTTTCAGGAAGTTACCACATGAAGGTTTCAACCACATCCTACACAGCTGAGAGTAGAGCTGCAAACAGGGCGGCTGCTCAGTCCCGATCACTGCCACAATATTTATTAGGATTTATTATAATGAATGACAATAAACCTTTTTTATTCAGAAGTAAAGCCGATAAAACAGACTCTCCTTTTCAAACAGTTTTGTGAACACAGATTCTCATGATGGTATGATGAAATGACGATATCACGCACGACCACCTCCCGTTGAAGTCCCTGAGCTCTGGACCGGGCTAACCTTCACTACAGACCGCTGCTTTCTAAATGAAAGGGATTTTTTCCAGCAAAGCTGTTCACCCGTCTGATGCTGTGAGAGGAAGGTCTAAGAGATAATGTCAACATGAGTAACGTCTGGTATTAATGTTATAAATATGCTGTTTGTGTAGGTTTGCAGAGGAAAAAAAGAATTGCCTCCTGATTTCTTCTATTTTGTCACCGATTTTAAAAACATATTTTAATTTTATTTGATACAATTAACATGCGTATAAACAGAACTAAACCTTCCCCAACTGAACAAGATGAAATAGATGAAATAAACATTGTATGTACAAATTACGCTGAATAAATTAAACAAATATAAAAAAATAAATAAAATAAAATCCAAAAATAAGTCCAGATGACAAGAACGACTTACAGAATAATAATGAATAAATATCCATCTTCTAAATTCAGTCATTTATCAACTTCCTGTTTCATATCTTCAGTCCTCAGCCTACCAAAACCCCATCTCCCACCTCACACAACGGTGCACCAACAACTACCCCCAACTGAATATAAGTAAAACTAAAGAACTATTTATCAGTGCCCCCAGAAAACGCAGAACAGCCCGGGATTCATAAAGAACCTGTTGCAGTGTGTCAGACTCTCATCTGAAAACTTAAAGCTCTCCGTCACCCCCGTCACCTGCTGCTACTGTACAAGAGCATGCTCCAACCCGTTCTCCTCTACTGCCCCCACTGTTTCTGCAACACGTTAACCGCCACCAATGGGAACAAGCTCACACTGCATCAAAAGTAACTGGCCTTCCCACCCAGAATCCATCAGACCCCAACGGTAAAGCCACCACAAGCAAAGCACATGACCCTAGTTACCCTCTCTCCCTTTATTCACACTACTTCCATCAGGACGCAGATACAGGTCCCTGGCCTGGAAACTCTTCTGCTACAGCAAAGGTTTTCTGCTTTCCACAATAGCATTGCTCAATGAAGCAAAGATCAAACTGATCTATTGGGGAGTCGGCCTGATGAAGGCATTATAACATGAAACAAATGCATGGTTCATTCCTAACTGCAGTCTAGACATCTAGTCTCTTAATTTGCCAGCCTTGGAGTTGTCTGTGTTTTTCACCATGATTATAAGCTGAAGTCTGGTTAGACTGTTATCAGTTTTTAGTTTGGAAAGCTCTTCATAGTCAGCTTTAAGGGCATATCGTTCTTGTTCTGTGTTTGTACTGAATCTGACCTCTTTTTCGAAATCTTGAGTCCATCTCCTTCATTTTCTGTTTGAACATATTGAATCTGGAACTACAAAAGAATATTTTGCCCTCTAATATGTGCTTTAACACTAGAACCGCCAGGGTTCGTTGTATACCTATAACCTTTGTGATTATTTCACACTTTGGGAAACTTTTAGCACATTGGCTGTACATTTCCTATAAACACCATCCCCATATTTCAGGCATTTACAGAAAGTTTATTCTATTCTTTGTCTTCACTGTGCAGGTCGATCGCTTGCGCTGCGCATCTGTGAAGGGCATGTTCACATGCGGCGGCTCTTTTGATGTCATCCACTCGCCGCTGTTATAGCCTAGTTATATTCTAAACACAGCTTGAATTTTTTAATTGAAATGTAACAATTTACAAAAAAGACTGACTGTTGTTGAAGTTCAACGACTTCCCCGAGTTGTTTGATGGAAAAGGACTTAGAGGAGACGAGAGATCAGATTCAAATCACACCTTTATTGAGACAGATATCTGGACACCATTCCTGCACGCTACCTAAGTAAGCGTCTGATTACTCTTCCGCTAAGCTGTGTATATGTTGATGAGACGTCACCCAGCTGCACATCCCGTGTTACCTTATATGGAAGTTGTCAATAGGTGTAGAATATTTCTAGTGTGCCTGAAGGGCTGTCATGTGAGTGTGAGTGTGACTGTATTAAGAAAAGTGTGAAGTGTGTCTGTTAGATTCCACTGAAAAGGATTCAAGCGCCGACACAAACGGTATGAAGAAACAAGAAACAGTCCAGCACACTAAATAAGCAACACAGCACAGCCATGAGAGCTGGAATAACAACAATTAATTTAAGTAACTGAAAGAAAAGCATCAGGAATAATTCTACCAGGGACAACCTAAGTTTGTATGTGTGTGTGTGTACATGTGTGTGCTCATAAGCCTGTTAAAGAATGTAGTTGTTAGAGAGAGTGGGACGCCACGACTGTAACAGGCAGGCAAGAACCCCAGTAGCCAATAGGGGTGGGAGAAAGAAAAGGAATAAATCAATCAAAAAAAAAAACAAAGACTCCCAGATGCACCGCGATGCAAACGCAGAAGACCCCGACCCAAATGCCAGCTGACAATGTAATCGGCACGGAGAGAATCTGACAACGGTGTTTCTGGACTCTGTCAGGGCGGACAGACAGGCAAGCAGGCTGAGAGCAGATAGGCAGGCAGGCAGCGACTCCGCACACAGTATAGCTGTGAGACAGAAAAACAAGACGTTAGGTGAGATCGCAGGAAGTACTCAACAAGACATGTAGAGTGGCCGGAGCAATGTACCACTGTAGGTAAACTGACAAACCGGCGACTAGTGGGAGCTGAACCAGAGCTTAAGACTGCAGGAGTTGATAAGGGTGATGAGCCACAGGTGTGGAGCGCTGCAGGTGGACCTGAGCCGGGCCCAGACAGACAGGCAGACAGACAGACAGACAGACAGGCAGACAGACAGGCAGGCAGACAGACAGGCAGGCAGACAGGCAGGCAGACAGACAGGCAGGCAGACAGACAGACAGACAGACAGACAGACAGACAGGCAGACAGACAGACAGACAGACAGGCAGACAGACAGACAGACAGACAGACAGACAGACAGACAGACAGACAGACAGGCAGACAGACAGGCAGGCAGACAGACAGACAGGCAGACAGGCAGACAGACAGGCAGGCAGACAGACAGGCAGGCAGACAGGCAGGCAGACAGGCAGACAGGCAGGCAGACAGGCAGGCAGACAGGCAGGCAGACAGGCAGACAGACAGGCAGGCAGACAGGCAGGCAGACAGGCAGGCAGACAGGCAGACAGACAGGCAGACAGGCAGGCAGACAGACAGGCAGACAGACAGGCAGGCAGACAGGCAGGCAGACAGGCAGGCAGACAGACAGGCAGGCAGACAGGCAGGCAGACAGACAGGCAGGCAGACAGACAGGCAGACAGACAGGCAGACAGGCAGACAGACAGACAGGCAGACAGGCAGACAGGCAGGCAGACAGGCAGGCAGGCAGACAGGCAGGCAGGCAGGCAGGCAGGCAGGCAGACAGGCAGGCAGGCAGGCAGGCAGGCAGGCAGGCAGACAGGCAGGCAGACAGACAGACAGACAGACAGACAGACAGACAGGCAGGCAGACAGACAGACAGACAGACAGACAGACAGACAGACAGACAGACAGGCAGACAGACAGACAGGCAGACAGACAGACAGACAGGCAGGCAGACAGACTGGCAGGCAGACAGGCAGGCAGGCAGGCAGACAGACAGACAGACAGACAGACAGGCAGGCAGACAGGCAGACAGACAGGCAGACAAGGGAAAAACTGGGAACAGGAGGAAAAGAGAGGAAGGTGAAAGCCAACCCATAACAGTGTCAGAGTGTATTATTGTTTCCTGTTGTTCAGCACAAGCCTCTAACTGTCTTAACTGCTGAGTTACCTAAGATAAATATTGAGTATCATATGAGCAATCATAAGTAATAAATAAGCATATAAGAGAATCATATCCTGCAATATCACTGTAGGGTTGTGTTGTATATCCACAATTTCTCTTCTAAGAGATCACTCCTCAGATTGGAGTTGATCCACCTGGTGCTCATCATCAGCTGCGTTTGGCATCATATGCATGTACTGACCGTCTCTTTTTTCCACAGCTGTGGTGATCACCCTTTGGATCAAACCACGAATACAAGGAATACAACAACAACCACATGTAACTAAAATAGCCATAAACGTAGCAAAAGATAACAATTCCCATTGATAACCCCCCCCAACAGCCTAGGGTTTCCCCACATCCCCATTTTAATACTCTGGTTCTAGTTCTAGAAACTCTGAACTAGGAGTTTGAAACCTCCTGAGCACTACTACGCTGCTGCAGTCTTCTTCCTGGATGTGGAGCTCCTTCTGCTGATCTTCTTTCTTCAGTCTCAGGGGTAGACTACCCCGAGACCCTTAACACAGACCAGGGGATTATTCTGCCCCTATGTTGAGGTCTGGTTTCTTTCCGACTCGTCCGAGTCAGTGCTCTGTGCTTGGTTGTGCAGGTCCTTCTGCACCTCTGTTAGGGATCTCACTGGTTCTGGTGCTGCTGTATGCACCAGAACCAGACATGTATGCATGTCTTGGAATGTAGTGATTAATCAGACATTTAATCACCGAGTTGCTGTCCTCCCTTTTTGTAGGCCACGCCTCTGGCCACCCTGTGAAGGTGTCAACGCACATCAGTACGTACCTGTACCCTCTGATCGTGTCCACCATGTCTGTGTAATCGATGGAAATTTCATGCCCGGCCTAGTGATCATTGAGAATGCGCCCATTTCCGGTTTCACTGTTGGCCTTGGATTATACACCATACGTACCTGACACCCTCGCACAAACTCCTTTGTCATATCTGTCAGATATGGATGCCACCAATGGCACAAATGCCTGTTCATCTGAGCGGGACCAGCATGTCCTACACCGTGAGCCTCTTCCAGTACCTTCTGTCTGATGGTAGGGGGAAGAAGTACTCTCCCATCTGGTCCTCTCCAGAGACCACCTGTTTCCGTCGCTCCTCTTTGTTTCCACACTGTTTTCTCCTGTGGAGAGGCCTTTTGTTGACACTGTTTGACGTGTTCCTCGCTGAGGCTCGTGTGTTGTTGCACTTCCTCCTCTGTGCTTATCATTTGTAGTGAGGGGGAATATCCCACCACTTGCTTAGCAGCCTGGTCTGCTGCTTGATTTCCTTTGGCCACTGGAGTGTTTGCGGTGTCATGCCCTTTACACTTGACAATTGAGGCATCCGGTGTTTTTTGTCCATATTTCTTTACATTGATCTAAATAGTCTCGGGGATTTTGGCCTGGCTTCCATGGGAACTTAGGAACGGTAGCTGCATTGGGCAAGGGAAATCTCTCTCTCATAGCTCTGCCTATAGCTGTTACCACCACCATTTTTCCCCATATCCTCCCCCTAACTGGACCAGTGGCATAACATAATTCTTCTTCTGCGCTCCCTTAAGTCTTTTGTGTGTTTTCTCTTCCTTTGCTATTAGTTGCTGTTTCTCCCTAGAGTCCTGTATTAAGGCTTGTACTTCCTCGCTTATATGTTCTATCCCTGTTTTAGTTGGACTCTGGTAGGTGTGTCCCTCGGCTTCCCCTGCAGCCTCCCCAAACAACTCTGCGGTCCCCCGAATGAGGTTCGTCTCGGGACATCTTGACCTGATATTAGGGAGCCGGTCCCCTCGCCTTCCTCCTCAGCACTGACCTCATCCTCTGGTTCCCAGTCCTCCGTATTCATGTCCACGACAGTTTCATCCTTCTTCCAGATTCCGGACAATTGGCCCCATCTCTCCTTCTCCATTTTCTCCGCTTCAGCTCTGCACTTCCTCTTTTGCAACAAACTTGCAGTCTTCTCCTTTTCTCCGTTTCGCTTCCTCTTTCTCCTTTCTTCTACCTTTATTTTTTCTCCTGTTATTTATCACTGCCAAAACATTGTCAGTTTGTTCTCCTCAGGGCTTCCACGGGCCCCAACCACCGTCATCAATTTCTCGATCAAATTCTCCGTCCATCCTGACCCTGCCTAATGTGTGTACCAGCCATTCAGTTTGTATGGAATTCACCCGAGCAACTGACCCGATCAAACACTACTTCTCGCCTTTATTCACTTTTGTTGTCACTGTTAGGTATCCGTGAAATAAAGGGGAGGTTTTTCGTGTTTGAGACACTGATGCACAAAGTATCCCTTGGAGAATATCACTCACACTCACTCCTCCGTTCGTTCACACGTAGCGTGCAGAGGTCCCAGACCTCCAGCGGCTGTGGCTCAGGAGGTATTTGCCCCTGGTGGCTGTTCCGCCAGTGTATGAATGAGTGTGACTGTTAATTTCTGTTTGAGCACTTAGGCTCAGTGTATGAATGTGTGTGACTGGTGAATGCAGATGTAGTGACTAGAAAGGCGCTATACAAGTACGGAGCATTTACATTTACATCCAGAGATCCCAGATCTCTACTTTAATTTTACCTTATGAGAACCTAAACCACGATGCTTGGATGGTCCAACTATCCGGGCCTTCCACCCTGCTTGGAGATCCCAGATCTCCGGGCCTTCCACCCTGCTTGGAGATCCCAGATCTCCGGGCCTTTCACCTTTGGTACTTCGGAGGTCCTGAATTCCCCGGGGCTCAAACCCAGCACTCACGGTTCCCAACCGGAGTCCTCTTGAGATAGAGGTGGAGATGCCAACTCAAGGACAAATCACAAACTATCCAGTTGATTTACTCATCAGTTTACACACAAATCCTAAACCATAACAGTTTGTACATTTACCGAAACAGTATTTTCTCACAAAATTTGAATCTCACCTAAACCGTCTGTCTCTCTCTCTATTTTGGCACTTCAGTCAGGACTCTCTCAACTCCATAATTTAACAATCAAGGTCAAATGTGCAGATTCGCTTAAACAGGTTCTGCTTGCCTTTTTATGTGCCGCGGCAGAGGAGATTGAAGGCCTGAACGGCGTCCTTTCCATCCCGGACGAGCCCCCAAAACTGTTGAAGTTCAACGACTTCCCCGAGTTGTTTGATGGAAAAGGACTTAGAGGAGACGAGAGATCAGATTCAAATCACACCTTTATTGAGACAGATATCTGGACACCATTCCTGCACGCTACCTAAGTAAGCGTCTGATTACTCTTCCGCTAAGCTGTGTATATGTTGATGAGACGTCACCCAGCTGCACATCCCGTGTTACCTTATATGGAAGTTGTCAATAGGTGTAGAATATTTCTAGTGTGCCTGAAGGGCTGTCATGTGAGTGTGAGTGTGACTGTATTAAGAAAAGTGTGAAGTGTGTCAGAGTGTATTATTGTCAGGGCCCAGTTTCCTGTTGTTCAGCACAAGCCTCTAACTGTCTTAACTGCTGAGTTACCTAAGATAAATATTGAGTTTCATATGAGCAATCATAAGTAATAAATAAGCATATAAGAGAATCATATCATGCGATATCACTGTAGGGTTGTGTTGTATATCCACACTGTTGTAGTGTTTTAAAGGCGGTAATAATAGCCTCATAATGTTGGCTAGTTGTTGCTGTTCTGCTTGTTTGTTCAGACTCCATCGGGCATCCAGAGAGTAACACTATTTATTCGAAACAATTATTATTAATTCCAAATTTCATAGTAGATTTTTACCCCATGGAAAAATGTATAATGATCACTTTTACTAAAAAAATACATAGTATTGAAAACGTTATAGCCGGTCAAAAAGCACACAAGGGAGCCGCTCGCTCTCTTGAAGGGACCGCAGAACACAGGGAAAAACTGGGCCACTGCAGCATTAGTTCTGATGATCATGTAGCAACACAAAACCTACAAGCAGCGGCTTTTATGCATGTTTACTTCCTACAAGTGGATCGCTGTCAGATAATAATCCGTCAGATGCAGAATCAGCCCAGGACACATCGCTCAGCGCCCACCGTCAGACTCTCCTTCACTCACTGTGCTGAGCAAGTGTAATGCCTGTAGTGGGAAAGGTATTGCCAACATAGACACAGCGCTAAAATGACAGTATTCTCTATAGGGGTAAATTAACCCTCCTGCCGCTTATAGGCATGCACGTGCAGAGGGGGGTGCTATGGCTGCTTGAGCACCTGCCCTTTTGCACTTTGATGCCCAAAGTGCCCTTTTGTCAATGACAAATTTAATTAATTAATTAATTTTTAAATTTGTAAAGGTCCTTTTGTGAAGGCCTGCCAAATCAAACTATTAGCGCCCACAGCTAACGTTGCTTCTACACACAGATAAACAAAAGTTGCTCTGTTCACTTCGTTCTTGCTGTTTGAGGGAGAAAAGTTTCACGGGCGTCGTGAGGTCTGGTATTTTTTATATAATTTGACTAAAAACCTTTCACTTCAACTAGGATTATTACAGTAACTTAATAAAAAACGTAGTGTGCCTTAAAATAATTATAACAACTTTGGTAAAACAGGTTTATTTACTTACTTATCAGCCCGTTTTAAAACAATCATTTAAATCAGAACAGTATTTGAATAGATAGCAAACCTATTATATGAACTAAATAACTGGAAGTACATGTAATAATGTCAGTGTCAATATAAAATAAATAATATTCCTGACATTGAAGAAGAAATGGTCCTATTAGATTTCAGAAAAAGGTATGAAATGTTAATGTGAAGGTAAATGCTGCTCTGTCATGGTTATTATGGGCCAACAGAAAGAACACACACATCTTTTTAGATTAATGACTAGACATATAGTCAATCAAAATCCAATATATATCTCAGATTGAATGTAATATATAAAATCATTATCACAATATTGCCCACACACACCCAGTACTGTTTCCTTCCCAGATTATTTCCCACACTTTTTTGAACCTGGTATCGTATTTCCTCTCCCTGCAGCTCTCGGTGTGCAGCCGTCTCTGTGAGCGTCTCCCTCTTATTTCCTCGTAGCAGCAGCACTACAGCAGGTCAGTCATAGTGAGTCAGTCCCAGCCAATACTGTCAGCAATCTTTACATCTTGTCATGGTCACATATTTGTTTCATCAGCTTATATCTCCTATGTTTGTTATAATATCTCTAGTCACAGATCACCTCCAGTAGTATCAGCAGCAACCAGAGCAGCAGCAGCAGCAACATCCCCAGAAATCCCTCAACAGCAACAGTTAAGTTAAGTAAGTTATGTCAGCCCACCGTGTTTTAAAGCTAGATCTGGGTATTCTCTGTGTTTCTTTTTCAAAACTGTGTCACAGCATTTGTTGATGTATCGATACAGAAGCATCTGTATACACATATAATCAAGGATTACATAACAATATATTTCTGTATCGATATTTAAATCCTTGTTCCATGTGTCCCCCTTTATGCTTTGAGCATCTGCCCTTCCAGAGGTCTCTGCTTATAGGTATAAATGCCCATTTTTTTAAATCTGGCTTTATCTTGACATTTTTTAACAACAGGGGGTGCTACATAACACACTTTTAGGAAAAGTCAGAGACTGGGGGACTTGAATATTATATTGAAACAAAGATACATACAATCAGAAAACAGCCACGGGTAAATTTGACCCGTTGGCGGTTCGAGTGTAAAAGTCTCCCACCTGGTGCCTGCAGATATTTGGTCTGTATTTATTGCAAAGTATATATAAGTAGTATATAGTAGTATAAGTATATATATAAGTCTCTATCTCTGGGGTGGTGATGGAGCAGTAGATAAGACACATGCCTTTGGTGTGAGAAATCCGGGTTCAACTCCCCATTGCGACCTATCCACCAATATGTCCCTGAGCAAGACACTCAACCCCAGAGAACCTCTGACATGTATAACAATTGTAAGTCGCTTTGGAAAAAAGTGTCAGATAAATGAATGAATGTATCTATACGCTCCCCCACTAGTGTTGGGCAGTAACGTGTTACTGTAATATTACTAGTAGTGTAAGGGGGTACTACTTCCAAAACATTACCCTAATATAACAGTTATTCATTTAGTTAAAGTAACACTACGTTACTGCGTTGTCAGAACACCACTTGTTTTGTTGTCCTTGATGTGAATGTGTGTTCAAGTCCAGCTGCTTGTCCAAAAGCTAAAGACAAAATGGAGAACGGGGGAGAGAGGCCTTCTTTTCACAGCTGGAAGTCTCACCCTTCTTGAGTCACTGTCTGAGATGTAAAGAAAATCGTCGTCTGTTGAAACTTTGTGTGAGCAGCAAAAAGATTTCAACCGCCAACAATTTGATTTACTGAAGCATTTGAAGCAGCACAGCAACATGAAACTCCGGCGCTGACAGGTTGGAGCTACTGCCAGAGATGCATGCTGGGTGAGAGCGGCGTTAAGCAACGTTTTATGTTGTGTAAAAGCACTCCTGTAGTTCGAATCCTACCTCTCGGGGAGTTCCTACAATGTGTTGTGACCAAACAATTATCTTCCTCCCACTAGGGCTGGACCTGAATGTTCGAATATTCGACCGTACACATTCGATGTTCAATTTTGAGATTCGATTATTGAGGGTTTTTTCCGCTGACAGCAGTGAACATAACGCTCCAGTTCACATCAAAGGAAAACCAAATGAATCCCTGAGCTGTGTGGGAGCACTTTAAACTGAGTGATGGCAGCAGTAGTGTGGAAGTTATGGCGTTTGCAACAGTCAAATTTCCGACATTTTAAAATGAATCAGTAAACTGTAGGCTGGAAACAAACAAACAACACAGTGAACACATTTAAATGATTATATTAGGCCGATTGTAGAAGAAGAGCATTTAGTTGCTATAATAACAGTTAAAAGATGAACTTAGCATAATAAGGTGTCGGATTTAGTTCCGCTACCGGAAATACCGCTCATCCCGTGTGCTCTCCACCTGGACCCCCGCCCGGCTAAACTACTCCCGGATTCTGCTCTGGACCTGCTGGATCAGACTCTCTCACACTGGACTCACACAGCCACCAACCCGGTTCTCGCACTTCACCTGCTAAATATCCGATCCCTTTAACCCTGCAATTAATATTTTTCTTTTATCCAACTCCTCCCTTTCTTAGTCCTGCACTTGGGCCTGTTAGCCTTGCTGTAACGTTAAAAACAAAGTTTTGGTAATAATCACTTAGTTAACCGAGCTGTGAGAATAAATAATCTCTCTCTCTCTCACGCACACGCAGACGCACCCATGCCGCCGTTATCTGTCCGCCATCTGATCCTCCCTCACTCAGCAGAACATCTTGGGCATTATTACAGCCCCTGTGTATTATGTGTTCAGAGTGAAGGTGTACAGGTGGCTGTACACTAATGAGCTATAGGATTGCCTGCCGAGTATTGGACCGAATCACGTCGACTCCTCCTGCTGTCCTACTGGGCTCGATGACGATTGGCGCGTCCGGTGGCGGCGATTGACAGCGGTTAGATAGAGTGTGTGCTTGTCACTCGGGGCAGCTGTGATTTTCATTGATGGGTTTGCCTCGCTGTGTCAGCTTGTGTCTGAGAATACTGTTCGCCGAGCACGATTGTGTTATTTTTGAACAACTGATGTTAACCTTGTTTATGAAAATAGGGCCCAGGTTTAGCTTTAAACTGATTTCGCTACCTCCGTGTAGTTGTTTTGTGTTAGTTTCACCAGGTCTAAGGGTGCTGCTCTCTTTGGGTTGTGGTTTTGAAATTGTTAGTTGTTTTTGCTACCTTGCGTAGGTTAAGCTCGCTATCTCTCTCAGTAGACGGGGGTGAAGCTTTGATTATTCGCTGTTAATTACTATCGAAGCTCAAATGACATTCAGGCCAGCCCTACCTCCCACTGCCTCTCCACAGAGGAGCTCAAAAGCTCTGTGCAAGGGCCCCATCTCTCCTCAATTTACACCACCTTATTGGGGCCGATCATTTGCTCCCATGGCTTCTCTTATTGCTGATACGCAGACGATCAGCATTGCCTAGGTATTTCACCCTATCTCATTGACAGGCAGGAGGTGGTCGTTAGCATCAGGTAACACATTTAAAATCTAGTGTCACATTTTCACACATTTCTGCTCATTGTGTTCAGCTGTCTGTTTGTACCACACTTCATTTTCTTTATTTTCTTCACTTGTTTTTAAAGACATGATATCCTGCTCATTTTCAGGTTCATAATCTCATTTAGGGGTTGTACCAGAACAGGTTTACATGGTTTAATTTTCAAAAAACACCATATTTTTCGTCATACTGCACATTCCTGCAACTCTCTTCACCCTGTGTTGAACGCTTCGTTTTAGCTATGGAGTGATACATCTTGTTTCTAGATGATCTTTGTTGGGAGTTGCACATGCTCAGTTCCTAGTTAAGGACTACTAGCCAATCAGAAGCAGAGAAGGGCGGGTCAGCGAGAAGCCGGCTTCAGTTATGATGGGAAGCGGCCGGACTACAAACGAGCTGTTTTCAGTTCAGAGCAGAGTTTTCTGAGGGAGATGGGAACTCCCTTTGGGCTTTTTCACTCTGCAAACCTGTTACATGCACAAAAAAGGTTTATAACTCAATAAAAGAGAGGGGGAAAAGCCAAAAAGCAGAATACCACCTCTTTAATGTGATTGTATGAAGAAACGACGTCCCTCCTGTCTGTGGACAGAGGCTCGCTCTACTTAGCAGTTTGCGTTGCAGCTAAACTCTGCCTAGCAGCTGATGATGTAATAACTTAGCTAATGAATCTGTATATTTCACAGATGGGAGCATTAGACTGAGGTTCTTACTCACACCTGTCTATCAGAGAAACATGTTGTTCTGAAGTTTTTACATTAACAGTTGCTGCAGTCAGACACACCAAGCTAGCTATCAGAGAAGTCAACTCCATGAAATGAGCTCCCACACTCAGCTTTGTTTAATAGGAATAATGTTTGTTTGTTTGTCACCGTTTCATCTAGACTGATGTCAAGGCCTTTGCTGAGTTTAGTTTTTTTCTTTTCTACTGGGGCTCTGCAGAAAACTGATAACAAGCAGGCAATTTAAACATTGTCACTCCCAACACCTCACATGTGGACACTTGGTCAAGACTCTTTGCGTTGCTTTTTAACACCCTGGGTAACACGTTTTTGGACTCGTAGGGCTCCGCAGTCAAGTTAGCAATAACAAATAAGTAACGTACGGTTAGACTTTGAGAATAAAAACTTAATATTGTGAAATGTTGCAGTTTGGTTCGGTTTAGGCACCAAAACTAATTGGCTATGTTCAGGATTTAAAGTTACGCAAGTAACGCAAACAAACGTTACTTATGTAACTTAACTAAAAGCAATCAGTTTTGACTTTTTGGTCTCCTGGGTGATAGTCTCTGCGCCACTTGTACACCCCAACCATCTGCTTACTGTCTTTTCTGTTTTTTGTATGCTACACCTAATTTTAGCATTCAAAGGTTACACTATAGGGCTTCCCAGAGTGTTACAAAGTGATGCCAAGTGTCCACATGTCATGACGTGGATGTTGGAATGGTTTAGGGGGCATTAAACACACATTCAGTCTGATTATTAGGTAAGACTTCAAACAAAAGCATTTAACAAAATTTGGGGTGTCCGTTTTGGACAACAAACTCATTTCAAACAAGTTTATCCCAGGAGAAATTTGGCTATAAAACGCCGGCGGCTTGATATGTCCCTGTTGACCCTGCCTCTTGGCTGCTGCTGGCTTGGTCTTTTCCTGTTTACCCTGCCTTTTAACCCTGGGATGCTTGTTAATCTGATCTTATCAATGCTGTCACGCAAAACCTTGCCGAAAGCTTTAGCCCCTTCCTTCGCTTTGTTTAATTTCTTCTGAGTGACTTCTTCCACTTGGTTGTGGTCAGGAGACGCTGAGACGCTCACGATGGAGAGGAAGAGGAAGGACGACATCAGCAGCAGGCCAGGAGACGCCATGACTGCCAACACACAACATGACAAACACAAGCACCTTAATTACTTCTTCATTACGACTCAACACTATTTACTTCATACAGCAACTAGACATGCAAAAGTTCTACTAGTAGTAGAAGTAGTATTGATGAATAGTAAAAGCAGAAGCAGCAGTACAAATAGCAGTAGTTGTACTAGGAGGTGCTATTCCTGCTGGAGCTTAATGCTTCTGCATGGTCAAGAATTCAAAAACCACCTGGAACACTCCGATTGGTGTGATCTAGAGAAACAGATCATGTGTCATAATCTCTTTTGCTTAGTGATACACCTGTCTGCCTGAACCCAGTTTCTTCATCAAAGCCTAAAAGAATCAGTAGACAGACCTGATGTCTCGTTGATGCCTGGTTGGTCGAAGGGCAGCTGGTTGGTTGGAGGGCCGGAGGTTGGTCGACAGGCAGCCGGTTGGTCGGAGGGCCGGAGGTTGGTCGACAGGCAGCCGGTTGGTCGGAGGGCCGGAGGTTGGTCGACAGGCAGCTGGTTGGTCGACAGGCAGCCGGTTGGTCGGAGGGCCGGAGGTTGGTCGACAGGCAGCCGGTTGGTCGGAGGGCCGGAGGTTGGTCGACAGGCAGCCGGTTGGTCGGAGGGCCGGAGGTTGATTGACAGGCAGCTGGTTGGTCGGAGGGCCGGAGGTTGGTTGTTGGATGTGATCGCAGTCTGTCACGACAGTCTGGAGGTTGTTGAGTCTCAGAGGAACCTCTGATCTCTGAGCTTGACAGGGCAGAGCTGGTCACTTTGTAGGAAGCTGATTGGCCACACCTTCTCTACAGATGGATTATTAATATTCATTTTTGGGCTGTCAGAGCTGCACAGCATCACCTTTTATTGGGAAATGATAGAGAGAGGAGGCAAGGCTGATAACCTCCTCTGGGCTCATCTGGTCTGTGTGGCAACGTGTGCTTTTGCAATCATTCCTAGTTATGCTTACATTTTATTTCAGTTAAGATTTCATCAGATTAAGAAACACGTCTAACAGAGTGATCAGAAGCTCATGCTGTGCAGCCAAACATGTTCAGACCCACCGAACTTCATTTCAACTTCTAGTGGAGATCTCAAAGGTTCCACAGAAAACAGATCTATCAGGCTGAACTTTGGGGAAATGAGTCTAAATGATGCACAAAAGAAACTTTATAAAACTGTTAGATATGCAGGACATCATACTGTCAAACAGATCCACTGATTTAAACAGCATTAAAGCTTCTTAAAGGCTCATGCAGACAACACGACTTCCAGCGTCGGCCAACTTGCCGTCTTGTGACGGGAGTCTTGAAGTCGTTGTGGAGTTCACACTACATGAGCTGACAGCTAGTCTCCAAACCACGTTTTGTCAAGAAAACACACGTGAAATGTGAAACGGGAAAAGACGCGAACCTACACATGAAACAGCTGTTGTTTGTTATTCAATTCAATTCAGTTCAATTTTATTTATATAGCGCCAAATCACAACAACAGTTATCTCACAGCGCTTTTCATAAAAGAGCAGGTCTAGACCGTACTCTGTGATGGTATTTACAGAATCCCAACAGTTCCCACCAAGAGCAGCACTAGGAGACAGAGGCAAGGAAAAACTTCCTTTAAGAGGCAGAAACCTCGAGCAGAACCATGACTCAGGGTGGGCGGCAGAGAGAGAGAGAGAGAGAGAGAGGGGAGGGAGAGAGAGAGAGAGGCAGGCAGCCTACACAATATACACACAGAGGTACAGACAGTAAAGGTGATGTTGCTATAGACTAAATGAAAAATGGTACAGATATTTATAGTAGTGTTAATGGTAACAATCGTAATGTTAATGCTTATAATAACAATAATAACAATAAGACTAGCAACAATAGTCGTTGCAGCAGAGGGTGTCGAGCAGGAACACGGGGGCAGCAGGTGACCCGCAACCACAGATCCAGACTCCACAGCTCCAGAGCCAGAAACACCTGCAGGAAGTGATAGGAGGAGAGAGGAGAGGGACGAGAAAGCACAAGACTACCGGAAAGGGGAGAAGTTGTGTTAGTAACATGCAATAATGGGGTGAGGTTGCATACAGAGGGAGAGAAAGTAGAGGAGAGAGGAGCTCAGTGCATCATGGGAAATCCCCCGGCAGTCTAGGCCTATAGCAGCATAACTAAGGGATGGTTCAGGACTCACCTGAGCCAGCCCTAACTATAAGCTTTATCAAAGAGGAAAGTCTTAAGCCTACTCTTAAATGTGGAGATGGTGTCTGCCTCCTGAACCCAAACTGGAACCTGGTTCCACAGGAGAGGAACTTGATAGCTGAACGCTCTGGCTCCTAGTCTACTTTTGGAGACTCTAGGAACCACAAGTAACCCTGCATTCTGGGAGAACAGTGCTCTGGTGGGGTAGTAAGGTACTATGAGCTCTTTAAGATAAGATGTTCCCTGACCATTAAGAGCTTTGTAGGTGAGAAGAATGATTTTAAATTCTATTCTGGATTTTACTGGAAGCCAATGCAAAGAAGCTAAAACAGGAGAAATGTGATCTCTTTTCCTGGTTCCTGTCAGAACACGTGCTGCAGCATTCTGGATCAGCTGAAGAGTCTTAACGGACTTTTTCGAGCAGCCTGATAATAAGGAATTGCAGTAATCCAGCCTAGAAGTAACAAATGCATGGACTAGTTTTTCTGCATCATTTTTAGACAGGATGTTCCTGATTTTCGCAATATTACGTAGGTGAAAAAAGGCGGTCCTTGAAATTTGCTTAATGTGAGATTTAAACGACATGTCCTGATCAAAGATAACTCCAAGATTCCTCACAGTGGTGCTGGAGGCCAAGGCGATGCCATCCAGGGAAACTATATCTTTAGATAATGCGTCACGGAGGTGCTTAGGCCCCAGAGCAATAACTTCAGTTTTATTGAGTTTAACATGAGAAAATTACAGGTCATCCAGGTTTTAACATCCTGAAGGCACATTTGAAGTTTAGCTAACTGATAAGTTTCATCTGGCTTGATCGATAGATATAACTGAGTATCATCTGCATAACAATGAAAGCTTATGAAATGTTTCCTGATAATATTGCCTAAAGGAAGCATATATAAAGTGAAGAGGATTGGTCCGAGGACAGATCCTTGAGGAACTCCATGAGTAACTTTGGCGTGCATGGAGGACTCATCGTTAACATGTACAAACTGAAATCGATCTGATAAATAGGACTTAAACCAGCTTAGAGCGGTTCTTTTAATGCCAATGAAATGTTCCAGTCTCTGCAATAGGATCTGATGGTCAATGGTATCAAATGCAGCACTAAGATCTAATAAAACCAGTACAGAGACAAGTCCTTTGTCTGATGCAATAAGGAGGTCGTTAGTAATTTTCACCAGTGCTGTCTCTGTGCTATGATGAGCTCTAAATCCTGACTGAAAATCCTCAAATAAACTATTGCTCTGTAGAAAGTCACACAGCTGTTTAGCAACTGCTTTCTCCAGAACCTTAGAGAGAAATGGAAGGTTAGATATAGGTCTATAGTTGGCTAAAACATCCGGATCAAGTTTGGGCTTTTTCAGAAGAGGTTTAATTACAGCTACTTTAAAGTACTGTGGTACATAGCCTGTTGATAAAGATAGATTGATCATATCTAGTATAGAAGTGCTGACTAAGGGTAAAACATCTTTAAGCAGCCTAGTCGGGATGGGGTCTAAGAGGCAGGTTGATGGTTTAGATGAAGAAATTATTGAAGTTAGTTGGTAAAGATTGAGGGAAGCAAAACAGTCTAAACATGTATCTGGTTCTACAGCTGTTTCTAAGGTTCCTGAGTTAAGAGATAAGTCGGTGCCAATTGAGGGCAGGTCTTGGTGAATTTTGTTTCTAATAGTTAGAATTTTATCATTAAAGAAGCTCATGAAATCGTAACCGCTGGCTTCGCTAACTTCACGTTTCTCAAAATGAAGCTGCCAATGATCAGTTGGTTTCTCAGCGGGTGTGTCGCTGAGTGGGGAAAATCTGTTAGAAACGTGAACAGGTTGATGATGCCCCGTGGACTTTGAATGCTTACTATTCCTCCTTTGGACAGTCATCCAGCCCCCACCCCCCTTTCCTGGCTGCACAGGAGATGGACGGCTACCAGAGGCTAACTCAGGCCGTTCAGCACCGACTACCGGGGACTGGCTAGCTACAGTAGCTAAAGACTGATCTACCAAGGTGCGGAGCAGGACTTCTAAATCACTGAGCCTCGCCTCCATGTCTATAAATAAACTACACTTATTACATGTACCATTACCGCTAAAGGAGGCAGAGGAGTAACTGAACATCTGACACACCGAGCAGGAGAAAGTAGGAGAGAGAGAGGGAGAAGGAGAAGCCATCGCTAGCTGCTAAGCTAAAGTCGCTAACGGCTAAGCTAAAGTACTGTAGCGTCAGCTACAAAAACTTTAGAACAACTATGAGATTGAACAGCAGTCACTAAAAGAAGGAAAGAACTGTGAGTGCTTAGGCAAAATTACTGTAAAGAATAAGTGTTTAGCGAACAGTTGGCCACTGTAATCTAACAAATGTAACTGTTATTTAGCGAGAGCAGCACAACACGGTACCAACACACAAGCACCGGAAACGGAAATGAGTCGACACGCTTACCGCAATACGTCTTTTATGAAGACAAAGTATCTGGGTGAAAGAATGGATCAGCACACGCAGGTAGCAGGGATCGTCTGAGCTACAGAGAGCTGGAGGGGAGTAAAAAGTGTTTTGCCATGAAAAGCAGCTGCCTGCTCTCACTGGCTGGATGTGGATGTCGAGTCAGCCGGATATTTGCCATGCTAGATATCTGGCTGGCGGCTGTGATGTGTCAGTGATGCGTTGACGAGTTGTTTTGACGCATCCTTGAATAGTTAACGCATAACGACTGGCGACTGCCGATCGATCACTGACTTACCCCTGATCACAGCCCGACGGTCACCGAGCTCGCCGACTGGGCTAAAACTTGTGTAGTGTGAACTGGGCTTAAGGAAAAAATACAGTGTGTTGAAGGGTACTCCACTACATTTAGATGACAACTTTGGTTACAAGTCAGAATAATAATACAAAATGAACTCCAATATCTGATGTATTATTGTAGGTTTAGATTAGACTAAATTGATCCTCAGGGTGAAATTCATAAGCTACGCAGCAGTATCAGGGTTCCAGACTAACTTTTCCCCTGGTAGCACTGGTGCACCAGAACATGAGGTAATCCAGGTATTAAGGTCCAGGTATTGTGGTGGGGCTCAGTATTTTGTGTGATACATCGGTCCCTGAAAGTTTTTTGTTTCTTACTGTTGTTGTGTAACTTCAAAGAATAAGATTAGAGTTGCCTGCAACGGAGGAGCCACATTGCCCACAATGTGAACACAGCAGAGCATTGCCCTCATACCGCAACAATTTCATATATTGGTATACTGTATAGCTCACCACTTGTATAATATTAATTTCAGTTCAGGCAGTTTCATGTCTTTTTTCAGGGTAGGTTGCAGTATTAATTTGCACAGTGTGCTCAGACTTTAGGGGCATTTTGCGAGTGAAACGGTCGCGCTGCAGAGCCTAATGATTAGCCTGCTAATGGTCTCCTTGCAATTGCACGAATGAAACCACATGAAATTTTGACTTAAAAAATTAATAAAGTCATAAAAATGAGCTCCACCTTTTACCAGCTGCAACATTAAATAGATGAACACATGAATGCATCAATAATTATAATAATACTATTCTGAAATGGGCCCATCTGCATGATGAGTACTTCTACTTCTCTCTTTTTGGTGATGTTGCAGATGGAGCTGCATTGATGTAAAAAAAGTATTATCATCATTTAACTTT